CCCCGGCCAGTCGCCCAAGGTTCCAGCCGCAACAGTTCGCGCGGCCCCAGCTCTTTCGACCGCGCCGTCTCCGCTGAGCCCATCTCAACCCAGGACTCCCGTTCATCTTCGCCTGCCCGTGCCCACAACCATGAGGGTCCCCGCTGCAGCAACTGCAACCACCACGTCTCTCGCAACAGCGCCCTCAACGCCCTGGAATCTCCCTACGCTACCCGCAACTCTGGCGCTACTTCTCGTGAGTATCAGCATGCGCAACAGGATGAGCTATGCTAACAGACCCAGCCCCCCTAGGTCAACAAGGACAGTCTGCAAGCAACTCAAGCCGCCGCACCAGTGATGAGTCCAACTACATGGCAGTGGGCCAGGACGTCCGCACCTACGAGTCCGCATACTTCAGACCCAACCAACCCATTGACCCCAAGACCGACCTCGAACTCCTCCGCAGCCATCGTCTTTCCCACGTCGCCGAGACTGGACAGCTCACTCCTCGAGTGCGCAAGCCAGGTAATAGCGGAGAGTGGGCCAGCGTGGCGGACAACCAAGTGTCCTCGGTCAATGGTGTTAATTATTTCATGCCTCAGAAGTCACCCTCTCCTCCACTAGCCACTGTCGCCGACCATTCTGAAGACGTATCTGCCGGACCGAGTCACGATGGCAACGCAGCGAACCAGGCAAGGCAAGCGGTTCCCCTGACCGAGTCTTACGCGCCCAATGCTCCCTACTACCCCGACACCTACGAACCCCGTGGCCCCCACCACCAATACAGCTACGATCAGGTGCCGTATGAAGTCAACACGGAGCAGAACCAGGACCGCGATGACCACGTCCTGCGCTCCGTCAACTCTGGCTTCCAGGTTCTGAAGCCAGGCACCTTCCAGCCACCCACCCCTGAGGAGGTCGAGCTTGCTGAGCGGAGAACATCAAAGAAGCTCCAGAAGAAGAGGAGGACATCCGGCGATTCGCGAAAATCAGCCTTTACCGAACAAGTCTAATTCTTCATTACGATAATGATAATTTCACTCCGGCTTCCACCTTCCGCGTTCACGTCCTACCACAATCACGTGCGGGCACCGACTGCATTGATGTTTTTACAGCGTTTAATTTTGTATCATCTGGCAACATCTCGGGCTTCTTCTGTACAGCATTCTGGCACTGGGTACTTTGCATGTACGGTTTGGAGCATGGACAGGCCCACCCACTGTTGTTTTTTCCTTAATACACTCTCTCCGCCGCAACGGGTTGATTGGCATACCAGGAATGCGAGCGGCGTGTAGTAAACCATCATCATAATTGGGGCGTTATAGACACAAAATGGGCACACCTAACGATCGACACGTAGCATGAGTACCAGGGATCACGGGCTCATTGCATAGCATATAGTAGAATCACGAACTTTTTCTCTGTATTTTCCATTCGTTCCCGTATTTGACATGGTCTTTGCGGCGCTGAGGTTGATGTGACGGGAGTGACTCGCTTCACCACTCTACTTACAACAGACTACGGCTATAATGCCCAGCACAGGACGAAGGATTAAAGTTCTTACCCCCTGAGCGCCCGTGGCTTGGATTAACGAGACACGGTAAGAAGCCAAGTCCACAGTTGCCGTCCGTCAGTCGCGTCAGCAAAGCGGCAAGCCACTCAGCTGAACAATGTGCGCTGACATCAAGAAACTAGGCAAGTAAGCCACGCTCGACGTCACAGCGATGTGATTGGGCAGAAAGAGATGGGGCAAAACAGACTCTGCAGCAGGCAGAGAAGAAGAAAACCAAGTCTTACTTACATGAATGAAGGTATGTGTACGTGTATGCATGTGTAGGGCTGGAAGGTGTCTCGGTAGTGACAGCCTGGGCTGCGTGTACATGAGGCTACTGGATGCGCGGGTTGTGAAGCCGCGGGAACTTAGGCAGCCGGTTAGGTTAGCCTTTGTTGTTGAATACCTGCTCCTACTGTGCGGTGAACATAGGCCAGTTTGTGTGAACGCATGTTTACTTGTTTTCGCTTATTTTGATTTGATGGGGTCGACTGGAGGATGTGAACTGGGATAGGAAAGCATCACGTCTCACAACACGAGAAAGACGCGTGGTTCGGAACGAAGATGGAGAACGACTTTTACAGGTTTCGCTCTCTACCTTCTGATGTCAAATGAGGGCGTCGAGATACGATCTCGCAATTCATCGCTACAACAGAGGAAACCAGGTTCCTGGAGCGGCAAAATCGGCTCCTACTTACTTACCGTCTGCCGTGCCCCGACCCGTGTCCCTGTTTTCCTCCTTCCTTCTTTTCTCGCCTAGGTGCCTTGTTGAGTGGCGTCCTGCTCTAGTCGGTCTTGGTACATTTCCCAATTTTCTAACCCATCTTCTTTTTTTCGAACGTGCGTTCTTGCCTTCGGCCCGGTTCTCAGCTCATTGATGAGGGAAGGGAAAATGAGGGGACTGAGCGGGATGCGGAGATTGGGGAATTTCTGGAGAATTGTTACCATGACACGGGCGATGCAAGCTAGAAATTGGAAATGTCATGCTGGTGTGTTTCTGACCCGACACGTTCACATGTTCAGCCAAGTAACATGTCTTCATCGATTGCGTGAAGTGGATACGAACATATTTCCAAGACCTCGGCTTCCGCTTTCATTTTCTAGAACCGCCCTTCCCTTGCTCAACATACATCAAGTAACTCACTCACCTCACCGGTCAAGACTCTACGCCTTGCATACCACGTCCCCATGTCATTGCCTAACAACATATCCATCGCCGCGCGCTAGACAACTAAGTAAGGAACCCATATACCTAAATTAGCAAACGTCGAGCCGTGTGGCTTGCAGGAGTTACGGCGGGGTGGCTTGCCCACGTTCTCGCGCAATCGATAGGTCGCTGTTGGCGGTTAGCGAGAGCGGGGTCATGGGCGTTGAGTCTGGTCGCGCCATCCTACCCGCTGGCTGCCTGATAACCTGATTTACGAAAGAAGAAGTCTCGTCATCATCCACGACAACGACCTTTTGAGTTGATTTTTTACTTTTGCGCTGTAAACTCGCGTATTACCCTGACGTTGTAGACATGGATGAACGTGTATTACAAGATGTAAGAGGCTAAGACAGGCGGGGCGCCCCGTCCGTGATGCGCTGTCCATCTAGGCGAGGTATCCAGGGGACAAGGTCTCAGGTACTGGTCTTGACAGGTGTGATGGACAGTGACCTGTGGCCCATCATTGTCGTACATGCATCGGTTTCGGATGCCCTGGTGCAGGATCTGTGTACGCCAATCGATGTCTTGTCTCTGCAGATGAGTTTTGGGATTTGATCGGTATAGCGTACCGTACACCGGGTCTTTATTCCTTGATCTTGGCTGGCACTCCTAGACTGGCTGCAGCTGCCCTGTTTTCGACCTGTCGATCAGAGAACGCAGATCCTGCCGACTTCCTTCTAGACGTGATCGTCCGTTCTTCTTACCGAGTGCGTTCTTGTGCGTCTTGAGAGCGGAGGCGGGCGCATCAGCTTTGCAGGTATACGTATATTGTGTATGAGAGAAGTTTTTCCGCGAATCTGGAAAGATGACGGCTACGGTGTGCGACATGAAGCAAAAAAGCAGTGGATTTGGTGGTGGCGAGTAACAGAGCAGGTTTAAGAGTTGGGGTCGGTCGAGAGGCGAGGGTTGAAGGACGAAGACTAACGTGTATAGCAACTGGGGGCTTGCATGACTGATGAGGTGAACAAGCCGCTCTGATTCTGGAGCATCGTTTTCAGTACTAGCGGGGCATCGAATATGATAAGGACACTGACGAGAAGATCTTCTTGCTCTGTAGTAAGAGATGGATATTTCCAAGGTTGTGTCACTGATTTGCGGGAAGAACTGAACTCCCGCTTTTTACAAAGAACTACAAAAAAACACTCGGAAGTCTACGTTACTTTATGATTCTATTAGCGTTCCGTTTTGTGACGATGTAGACTGCAGCACACCTGTTTGCGGAGGTTGGTCCTTACTTGTATAAGGTGGGAATCGATCGTGATGTGCGTGATCGGTTAGCGCGGACTCTAGGCTGATGACATTTGGGGGGCTCGATCCGAGGTTACTTTCGACGACACATCAACATTTTGCTCTTCGCATGCTAGCATTCATCATTTTGGTCTCGGATCTCGACGTTCCATCATCACTGTACGGATCACCTTCATGACAATGTCAATGAGACCCAGCAGGCGTGTCTTGGGCAGCCCAGCTTCGCGGCAATGCGTGTGTTAGCCTTGCGCGGGCATGTGTCTTTCATGCAGAGGTCGCCAACAAGAGAAGGATGATGGGTCATGCAACAGATAAACATTGAGGGAGGCCTCTTGGAAATTGTGTCTGGAATGGGATCAGCCTGGGACTGTTGCCTTACGCATCCTGGCTTTGTACTACGCGCGCGTGCCACACAGCCACACCATTGGGCCATTCACTGACCGGAATGACGCGTGGTCTTGGAATGCATGAAGCAGAGGAGCATATCGGATATGGCGTGGGAATATCAGTATACTCAGCCTTGTTGTCTTGCAGACAACGAGGCCCACGTCGCGGCGAAGTGATGAGGCGTGGGTGAATCGCTGCGCAGTGCTAAAGTGAAGGTGAAGTCTGTTTGCCTGTTTAAGACAACAACGACACGCACATACAAATTGCGCCTCTTCCAAGCGAGCACCTCTTTTGCGTCGTACAGAGTTTTCGTCCACCGTCTTTCGTCTTTTCCCCCACCTTGTACTACCGCTCTCGCTACCACGACAACACACTTTCCCCTCATCGTTTTGGTCGTGATTATTGCTACACCATCTTCGCTACTGGGGTAATACCCTGGGAAATATTCTGCATTCTAAATAGACGCACGAAATAGCTGAGCCTATTAGGTACGTAAGGTCCGTCGCGCCTGCAGCGCAAGTGCTACTCGCACAGCAAATACCTATACCCTTACATGTACTCTTTTTAGGGCAAGGTTACACATGCTGATTCATCTATCACACAGTGCGCTCCTGGGGTGTCTGCGCGATGGCATCGGCAGCAGCTACGGCCTACGCCTATCACCATGTGATACTGGCTCCGAAGCTCCCGCAGCAGGACGACCGCAGCACCGCGCACGACTTGACTCTTGTCGATATCGCCATTCACGCCCTTCAGTCTTTGAAACCCTTTGTCAGCAGCGAGCATGTTGGCTCAGTCGAAGTCGCAGTCGCAACAGTCGAGAACCTCCGCAGGTCTCGCGACCACCATGGCAATAACAGTGAAAGTCAAGTTCAACACATTCTTGCCAATGTCGCAAACGGCGTCGCTACTGGTTTAGTTCCACTGGAGATCAAAGAACAGAACGCGGGAATTCTCGTCGGCCGCTCTTCAAACAACTTGGTCTTCGAGTTCTTTGAGCTTTCTCCTACGAACGAGGCGGCTATGCATTCAGGCCGACTAGTACGAGAGTTTCCTGCCCATGCATCACAGATACCGATCGGAAAGGTCAAACCCGATCTTATCGAATCGATCTCCAGGACCATAGCTACAATGACAACGCAGACAGCTCCTGGCTTCCAGCCCAAGATCACCAAGAACAAGAAAATCATGGATGAACAACGCGACACGACACACCCCGGTATGGTCACCGACTTCCTCATGAGCATGATCACTGCTTTCGGTGAGCCGACAGATGTACGACGTAGCACGAAATATACCCGAGAAGAGGTGCTTTGGAAAGACTGCTTTGCACCATGGCGACGGTCCCCACTATGGCTCTTATTACGCGTATCGCTACAGCTGCTGTTCGCTCGACAAGCACCCTCAACTCTCCATACTGATGGTCTGTACAAGGCCTTCATGATCTTCGTGCTAACACGATTACTCGATCTGGGGAAACAACACTGGGAAGACATGGGGAGCGAGGCGATTCACATCATATTGGCTAAGTTATCCCGACGGCTACGCAAGTTCGAGCTTCTCAAGCAAGAAGGATATCTACGACCAGTTTGGGCACAGCATATTCATGACAGGATGATTAACGCCCATGTATTCATCAACCAGCACTGGCAAGATCGGATCGCCAACTCTCAGGCCAATATCGACTTCAGCACCATTTCCCAGCTCAAGCCTAAGGCCGATGTCGACATGGACCTCTCCGGATTAGATGCATTCTTGTTGGGCGTCACATCTCGACAGCGAGAGGTCTCCTCGTCTACCTTCACTCCCACTTCCGAATATCCATCTTATCTAGCTACTCAATTACCGGACAGCATACAGTCGTCCAGTTCTCCTGGAGACAGATACTTCCGCCTAGCCGCTTTCGAGAAGTGGGTCGAGCATCATCTTGCTGACTGGTACATTTCTCATCTCCACGATGAGGATGCATGCGGAAGACTGCGGTCAATCATGACTAGCTACTATGACATTGCTAGTAGCACCTATGCTGGAGCGCCTGTGGGCCTATCCATCATGTATCTGACGCTTACTGAGCTTTGGATCGCGTGCGACCAGATTGCACGCACGATATATCCTATGCTGGTCGAGTATGATCCTGAGGTCGATCTGGAGGAGTTTCAATGCCTTACACTTCCCCTTAAGAGCCACCTGAACCGCTTGAACGCTTCAGAGTGCTATTTACGAATGCGACGAGATTCAGCAGTGAAGGGAAGGCCTTCTGTCTATCGAGAATTTGGAGACCCTGCCTCGTTTGCTGTCCGGTACTTTGATCAGTGCGAGGCTCTTCAGGATACATTATCAGAGATCGAAGTCGATGCGACTGCCAAGCGCAAGCAGAAGTGTGAAGAGCTGGTAGATCTCAAGCGTCAGTATCAGCAGTACATGGACCGCTACAACAGCAACTCATGTGAAGAGGTATGGGAAACCTACAATTACAGATATGGCTACAAACACAAGGTCCACTCAAGCTACTGCAGTAGATGCGCCGCGAAGAGAAGCGCAGATGGTCTCACTATCCAGATATACGAGTGGCCAGTCTCACCACAAGTAACTGTAGCAAAAGCCACGGTATTTGAGTTAATGGTACCAGGCTCCTACAGCAACTGGCGCGACGCCTCAGCGCACTTCATCACCACGGTTCTCGGTCACAAGGACGCGAATCAGTTACGACCATCATGCTCATACACGCTGAACAACCATCACGATCTGGCTCATCGACTAACCTCCCTATATCATGAGCGACGAGTAATTCCGCTCTCGCAAGTTAAGAGCCACACTGCCACCCACCGAAGGCAGATGAAAGCTATACCTCAGTTGAACGATGACGATGTTTGCCTCAAAAACGCTCTACGATACGCCTACTACGACGTTTCCAGTGGTATCTTCAACACTAGTATTCCGGGTTGCACACAAGAGGTCCCGAAGAAATGCTTACACCCCCTGCCAAAGCGGTCAAAGGCTCTTGAACGCTTCATGTATCGCCCGCCAACTTCGCCCGATGGTTTACCAGCCAATGAAGTTGTAAGTCCCACGCCTACTGCCTCTTTTGTTATCTGTATTATCGTCCAGCTGTAGCGTACCCTGGAGGTATTCGCATATGTTTTTTTGCTGGTTCGTCCGCGCAGAACACAGCGAATATCTCCAGGATACGTTGAGACCAGGGATATATCATGATACTGTCCACTCCTCCGCGCGCTATCACAGACCTCACTAACATTTTGAGTAGGTCGCCAGCTTGTCTGATTGTCCAACGCACTTCTCGATCGACGAATACAAGGTAAATTTCTGCTGTACGAGATGCATGTGAGACATACACTAACTTCGTGTCTTTACGTTTGTAGGCTCTGGGCGCGCTACCCCTTGGGAACAACATTATTCATCCGAACATTCTTGCTCAGCTAGCGATTCCATCAGTCGACTATACAAAGATCGAGACGCAATGTATAGTTCTCCAGGCTGTGTATCAGGCGGGTCCGCCAAGTCAGTGTATTGGGCGTTCGGGCCACTCTATTCTTACAGAAGCCTCGTTTGGTCATGCTGTGATCGCGCAGCTTGAGACCAACTTGGGCCGTATCGAAGAAAACTGGGAATCATGGTAAGTTTTGATTGTACAAAATGCATGTGAGACATTTACTGACTTCGTACGTCCTCCTCTGTAGGAGGGCTGCAGCGACATTCTCCCTGCTCGCCCGACGAGTACTGAGCTTGACACTAGCCCCAGAAGTTCGTTCTCGCGCACTTGATTACCTTGAGACGTTGCGAGCGGTCTGCTTGAGATGGTTACGACGCTTGAAAGAGCGAGTGGCTGCCTCAACGGACGACGGCCAACGTACAGAACTTTGGAGTCGGGCTACAGAGGTAGCACTGCTGTGCACCTCGACGTACGATGTGGAAGAGACTGACTTTGAGACTGTTCTTCAGCAAGAGTCGGCAATCTCAACGTTGCTTCAGTCGTCTATTGTTGTGCAGGAGCACTGTGGAACCATGCAGTCGGATTTCCCCGAGCTTTTTAGTATCTCACTCCAGTCGTGGAAGTCACTGATGTATCGCATCCTTCAGACACTACGGAATCTCGTCCTCAAGAATCACAGCGGTCTTTCGGATGCCATCAAAGCCAATTGGGCCGCATTCGAAGAATCGAATCCCAGTAATTCTTGGAGTTCACTGGACGAAAACCACCAAAAGCAATGGCTGCTCACGACATCTGGGTCCCTGCCGGTGCACTTCAACTTACTCACTGGAGAATTGCTTGTCAATGGCCTTCCGCTCGCTCGTCTTCCTGCCGAGTATGAGCGCCATAGGATGTATGAGCCTTTATTTCACAAATCAGCTCTGGAAGTTGTGCCAACCGATGAAATTGGGTTCAGGTTCTCTGCTAAGGCTCTTTATCAAGGCTACAGCCTTCATTTCGGCATGAAGGGCGAGGACATGATTCTGTCTGCTATCGGACAGGGTAAGAGACGGCTCGAGTTGGTACCTTCACGTCTTTTTCAGGGCTTGTTACCTCAGTCCTTCGTGACAGATGCTGTACACTGGTATGATTTCAACGCTCAAGAGCTCTTGCTTCGACCTCTGTATTCTCCCTGGTCGACTGAAGACGACGATACACGATGGCGCCTTGTACGACACGGAATGTCATGGCGACTAGTCAACAAGGACAAGGTTATGATCAGCGTCCGCAGCAGTACTGCTCATACGATCTCGCACATATTGGCACCGCTAGAGAAACCGCTACACATGCACATGCGTCTTGTTGGTTCAGACGATACTCCTGATTCCTGCGTCGAGATAGAGCTACCGCGACTACAGATCTCCTTCGAATTCACCGAAGCGAGTGACCGTTTGCGCTCTCGCCAATTTCGCGACATGATTATCGACTCTGATCAAACGATGGGTGGCCTTGTTGGCATGCAAAGCCGGTTAATATTGAGGTCAGACGAAGGTCAGCGAATGATCATCATTCCGGAAGGATCAGTCAGTTTCACGAAGGGTGACCTAAATCATCCTGAGGTCAGAATTCTAGAAGACTCGGCAACTCGGATTCGCGCTTATCACGTCGACGAGATTCTTGGCCAGATAACTGGAGATGGAAGCCTACGAAGTCGCCTGATCTTGTGCTACTTGCACGCGCTAACATCTCACTGCCTACCCGATCCTCTCACTGGATGTACCGGCACTGAGTCAGCTATCTCAATCCTTAGATCGGCAGCTGTGGGGTCGACCGATCTTCTCACACCGGATGATATAGATCTCCTGACTCGTCTGGCAGCCCTCTCCGCTACGCGATCCTTCTATCCAAAGGATCTGAAAGTAATGCAGTACACAAATTGGAATGCATTACCGTCGTTGTCTCAACATACGTCTTTGCGGACCCTTGTATCGAGCCTACTACATCAGGTCGGAAGGATGCGATTATTCTACCCTGACAAATACAACGACTTCGGGATGATCACACACGCTCAAAAAGAGTTGTTGTCGTCTTCAACCGCTTTTTTGGATGAGCGGTTTTCAAATCGAACTGCCACGTTCCATGTTGCTGGCTTTGGCGCAGAGCACTTCACCTCTGCGCGAGACTTGCACTACAGTCCCCGAGATATCCAATCAAATTCTCAGAGAGGAAAGCGAGCTAGTGCGACAGCCAATCTGATCCTACGCGATAGTTTCAGCCTTCACACCCGTATTCCAGATCTCAAAAGCCGTCTTCTCCAAAAGCACTTCAAATATGCTACCATCCTCGGAGTAAATAGGGCCTTCGATTCTGCGGGCCTCCGGTACGATTCAAAATGGCTGGGCGATGCATCAGAGGGAGTAATAGAGCATTGGTGCACTCTACAGCCAGGTCTGGCTGGCGTGTCTACCAGTAGCAACAATCACTACGACATGATCACATGGCTCTGTACGATGTCCTACGCTGAGACATCGGACATGGATGTCATACAGGCTTTGGCCGCATTCTACAGGGTGCATGAACTCTCCACAGTACAATCGCCTATCGCACCGAAGTTCGAGCTAGCTAAAGGACATGTCTATCACAAAACAACGATTGAGAATATCGTTCAAAACAACACCAAGCCATTCGAAGAATCTGATGAAGCGAGATCACAGAAGATGGAATCAGAGACTGAACAACAGCATCACAACAGGATGGAATCCACGTTTCGGCAACAGAAGATTAGCGCGATCCAGAAATTCGTGAGCTGCTTGGAGAAGCAATGGCCAATGCAAGTTCCTATTTCACCGCAAGCGGCTGAAATTGACACGTATGTCAATGTTCCCGATGCAATGGTCACTGTCCGGAATCACTTTTACAGCTGGTACGATAACCACATATTCATGAAATACCTAGGCGAATTGTCAACGATCATGGCCCGACAGGCGGCGTCGCCGGTGCTGGCACCACGACATATCCTCACCTCGCCGCCAAAGCAGAATCAGCTCAGCGACTCGACTCGGCATCTCAGTGTCCTGGATGTGTTCGCTTCAAGTCCGTCTCCATCCATCGAAGCCCTCTCAATGATAGCTCCTTCCGAACCTGCGGTTACAGTCGCCAAAGGACATCTGCCTGAGAAGCATTTGGAGGTGAAAGAAAGGCTTGAGGAACTTTGCCGAAGGAACATGGTATACGCCACGTCGAAGTGTGAGCGAGAGTACATTGAGAGTCTACGATCAAGTTGCAATGCCCTCAACTTGTTTATCAACAGCAACGTCATGCATGATGAGTTAGTTGCAGATGTTCAAACTCTACTACATGCCTACCTCAGAAAGTGCCAGAACCATCTTGAGACCTTCAACTCCGCATTGAAGGGGCTTTTTAGCCATCAAGTCGCCTTTCCAACACAGCTGTCTCCACGACTATGTACAAAGTTTTGGCTCAGTCAACTACACAGAGACCGATTCGACACACTATCGTCTGCCTGGAAAGAAACTGTCATTCAGTATGCGCTCTCCATCACCAATTTACAACGCGCTCAGCGACTGCTCCGCTTATCTAAGAAGCCGGTTGATCTCGTTGAGGAGCTTCGCCATGTTGGACATAGCAATTGGGATGTGCATCAATATCCAGAGACTCTTCTCATCGAGGCTGAGAGCGGGATCCTTGTACGAGCTGAACAGGAGTTCATTGCTGACCAGATGCGTTCGCCAAAGGATGGCTGGAATATCGTGCTTCAATTGCTCATGGGCGGTGGCAAGAGCTCAACTATCCTTCCTATACTCAGTGCTTACCATGGAGACAAGAAAAAGTAAGTTTCTCTAATCTCAAACGATCGGACTACAGCATACTGACACCAGAACCTAGGCTTGTCCGAGTGGTCATTGCAAAGCCTCAGAGTCGACAGATGCTGCAAATGCTGGTCGCTAAGCTTGGTGGTCTCTTGAACCGAAAAGTTTATCAGATGCCCTTCTCACGCAACCTCCGACTTAGTGCTCAAGATGCCCAAATCATCCGCGAGATCTACGAAGAGTGCATTCGCGAGCGCGGTGTATTACTGATTCAACCGGAGCATATACTGGTAAGTCACGGCTGTACAAAACTCATATAAGACATATACTGACTTCGTACCTCTACCTCTGTAGTCTTTCAAGCTGATGGCAGTGGAATGTGTTCTCATTGATCAGCCGGAAACCGCCCAGAAAATGCTAGAAACCCAGCAATGGTTCGACGACGTGTCATGTGACTGTATCGACGAGAGTGATGAGAACTTCTCGACGAAGTTTGAGCTCATCTACACGATGGGCAGTCAGAGTTCGATAGAATACGCCCCAGAGCGATGGTTGATCATTCAGGATCTTCTAGCGCTAATCCCCACTGTGGCTGAGCAGGTCAAGAAGATCCATCCCGAGGCGATTGATGTAGAAGGCGATGGCGACGGGCGGTATCCCAGGATTAGATTCCTACGACCTGACGCTGCCGATCTGGTGTTACGTCTACTCGCGAAAAAGGTCGTTAGATCAGGCGTGGGAAGTCCTTCTCGTTCGCAGTGTCCCCAAATGCAGGCAGCAATACTGCACTACATCTCCGTAACAGAGCTGAAAGCTCACGAGATTGAGACAGTCGAACAAAGCAAGTTCTGGACCGAGACGACCAAGCCGGCACTACTGCTTCTGCGCGGGCTATTTGCAGGGGGCGTGCTGAACTTTGTGTTCTCGCAGAAGAGGTACCGCGTTAACTTCGGTCTCGACAGCTCCCGCACTCCAACCACCCGACTAGCCGTACCATACCGCAGCAAGGACTCTCCTTCACCTAGGAGTGAGTACTCACATCCTGACGTTCTAATTTTGTTGAGCTTGCTATCCTGGTATTATGAGGGTCTCGGGAATGAGGACCTCTTCGATACCTTGATTCATCTGTTGAAGTCCGATCAAGGGGCCATTCACTTCGACGAGTTCGTCAGCACCGCGTCGTCAAGTCTACCCAAGGCCTTTAGACAGCTCTCCGGCATTAGCATACGGGATAGACATCAATGCGCTATGGAAGTATTCCCAGGTTTACGGTATTCCAAGAAGGCTGTGGATTATTTCCTCTCACGCTTGGTATTCCCAAAAGAGTTGAAACAATTCCCTTCCAAACTCAGCGCAAGCGGCTGGGACTTAGCCATTCGGAAGCCGAACCCCACGACCGGCTTTTCCGGAACAAACGATACCCGGCACCTTCTTCCACTTAACATGCACCAACTTGATCTGCCGAGCCAACAACACACCAACGCTCGGGTCTTGTCATATCTGTTGATGAATGAGACTTCTGTGGCCCATTTACCCCCTCGCTCCATTGGTAGTACAAGCACAAAAGATGGACAGCATCTTCTTACTTTCATCGAGGGTCTACATCCAGACATAAGAGTGATACTAGACTGCGGAGCGTCGATCCTTGATATGAACAACCGAGAGGTAGCTGAAGCCTGGTTGAAGCTACGAGACAACGACGTCGCAGCCGTGGTCTACTTTGAGGACGAGGAGTTGTCTGTCCTAGATCGCTCTTCCAAGATCGAATCCTTCCAGACATCTCCATACGCGAAGATGCTAGATTCGTGTGTCGTCTACTTGGATGAGAGCCATACACGGGGAACAGACATACCAGGATTACCACGACACTATCGGGCTGCCCTGACATTAGGCAGTCAACTGACCAAGGATCGCCTCACACAAGCAGCTATGCGACTACGAAAGCTCGGAAATGGCCAGTCGGTGTGTTTTGTCGTACCCGGGGAGATACGTACCAGGATCTACGAACGAAACGGCAAGCCGCCCGGTACCCCAATTGACGTATATGATGTACTGGCATGGGCGATAGGCGAGACCTGGTCTGATCTTAAGCGCTCGCTTCCGCTCTGGGCAGTGCAGGGGAACCGCTTCGAGAGCCACAAGCATCTGTTGCTGGACGGTGCTAGCACGACGAAAGAACAAGCGGAAGCTTTCCTTGAAGACGAAGCAGCAAGTCTAGAGACTCGATACAAGCCACGGGAGCCAGACAACGATGGCTCCAAGCACCTCCGGGGTTGGGACGAATCTAATGAGAACATCGTCAAGATCGTATCACGATGCCGTGATTTCGAGGCCATGGGCTTTGGTTCAGCAGCTTTGAGTGAGGAGCAGGAGCGAGAGGTAAGTCGTAACTGTTCGAAAGGCATATGATACATACCCTAACTTCGTATCTTCATCTTTACAGCTCGCACCAGAGATTGAAGAGCAGCGTCAAATCGAGCGCCCGCCACGCTTGAAAGCGCACCCCCACAGCTTTCACCCAGACCTCAAGCGCCTCATCAATAGAGGAGAGTTCTGCGTCAGTTCAAAGGCATGGGGACCGGCCTTCGAAGCCCTCTGCACCACGAGCGCTGCCAAAGATGTTGATCTGAGTAAATTCCCTGACGACTTGCTGGTCACAGCGGACTTCATGCACACTGTTCAAGTACCTCCAGGATCGACCCGCGCGTCATTCGTATCCGACTCGTACCAACGACCTGTACAATTCGTACTTTCCATCCATCGCCAGGAAACTGTTAGCAACCTCATCATTGTCAGTCCTTACGAGGCCAACCAGTTACTACCTCTCCTCCGTCAGTCGAAGACAGTCTGCCTGCATATCTTCGCGCCGCGTTCCAATGCCAGCTACGCATCGGTCGATGATCTAATGCTATATAATGTCGGCCGCACCTTCTTGCCTGGTTCAGTCTCGCGTAGCTTGACGATGCAGCTGAATCTCTTCGCCGGGAGCCTCTATCTGCGATCCCTGTCCGAGTGCGCCGAAATTTGTGATCATCTTGGTCTTCTAAAGGGAACAGCGAAAGACGGTCAGGAAGTCTATGCAGATGGCTTCATTGATCCGCCAACTGGGATCTGGAGGCTGGAGAAGTCTCCTGTGCCCTTCCTGCGAGCCCTACTCATGAAAATCCGGCGGGAAGGAGAGGGGGTCGAGAAGACCCATCTAGGCAGAATGCTAAGCGGAGTTCAGCTAGAAGAGAGCGACTTTATGGAGGAGGAGTAGTTGGCTCTTTTGACGGTTGGTTAGGATCTAGAGATGAAGATTGGATGAGAAGGGATAGAAGGAATGCCACACGAGGAGGCGGTCATTTAATCGGCACAGCTCTACACCACGATTAGAAGCACTGCCGATGTGTCAGCAAGTAGTAGGTATAATGCACCTTTATGGTGTTCCTGTCGTTTGCTGCAAACACGCCATTGAACCCTAACATCTAGACAGGTCTCAAGGTTATGTATGCGTCTACCTTCATGGTGCTGCTAACAATGCCTTTGCAGAACGCGACACGAAACGCACCCATTCCTACTGTAGTGCGAGCGACTCACGACTTCTGGTCTCCCCCACCACACCTATAAAACCAGGTCCTCTCAAGTTAGAAGTATCGCCTAATCAAAAACTCATCACCAAAGACTTTCCGTGATCTATACGAGCGCAGGATACCAGCTAGTCACACGTCCTTATTGCACCCCGAACCTTTTGATCTTCACCGTCCACACACTGGCTATACATCATCACACTGTCGCCCTTGGCACCTCCTCACTCTCTAGTCACACGTCATCAAGAGATTCGAAAAGCAACCTTCTCGATTCGCGCAACTCTTTGTCGCCAATATATACAAGAAGTCAATGTATGTACAATACTTCCAGAGCGAGCATAACAGATGCACTGCATCCCCGCCACCTAATGACAACCTATCGATGCCCGCCGATTCGTCCTCCACATATTGTTTGAAGTCTTGCCCGAAACATCCTAGCAAGAAGAGAGAGGCTCCTTGTAGATGCAAGACTCGGATGGGCCCTTGGAAACGCTCTCTGGCTCGCTTCCAGAAGCGACGCCCTTGAACTCCTCGCAAATGACCTTGACGGAGCTGGCGCAGTTGGTAGCGTCGATCGTGGCGGTGTCACCGAAGTTGGGATTAATCCCAGCAAGAAGCTTGCCGTTGGAGGCCTTGACATTCTTCATAATAACGTGACGCTCAGCGGATTGCTTGCAGTTACCGCAGGCACGGTATAGCTTGCCAAAGGTGTCAACGGTGAAGCCGTCGATGGTGACAGTTCCAGCGCCGTTCTGCTGGATCTGCAGCGGTAGAGGTACGAAGTCAGTATATGTCTCACATGCACTTCGTACAGTCAGAACTCACCACCTTATCTTCAGCACCTGTTGCTCCTCCACCGATCACTAGAAGGCGTTAACTCAGTCCGGAAGTATGTGCAGAGAAATCTTACCCGTTGCGTCGCCATCCTTCTTAAGAGACAGCGCATCTTCACAAACTGCAGCCCACCAAACGTTCTCAATGGTGCAGCTACCCTCGCAGTGGACACCCTCGATCTGATCCTCTCCGATAATTGCCTAAAAATTCAGTTTTTGTCTCACATGCAGTTCGTATACGGATATTACTGACGTTTTTGAGGGTCGCACCATCTTTCAAGATAAAGACCGCGTCAGAATCTCCGCCTTCGGCTTGGCCAGTGCAAGACACGCCACGACCATACGTCTTGAGGCCACCGTCAAACGTGCCAGTAATCTCCATGGGCTCCTTGAGCGTCTGCGAGCCCTTAGAAGCAGGGATAGGGAGACTTGCTCGCTTGTTCAAGCTAAAGAAGTTCATGGGAGAAGGCTTGCTAGGTCCAGCCGAGACGGCCACAGCGAAAGCCACGATGGCAGCAGCGACGGAGGCCTTCATGTTGATAGTTGGATTGGTTGGGGTTGAAAAAGCTGGAGAGCTGAAAGATTGTTGGAATGAAGAGAAGTACGTTGGGTTCGGCTAGCGAATGTAATGCGTCGAGCAAAGGATCGAAAGAAGATGAGAAAGCTGAAAGGCTGTAAAAGACTGTTGGCTCGATGATGAGTACAGACTTCTGGGTGCGTCTCCCGCTCCATCTTATACCATCCACGGACCTGTTCCGACATCTTCTGAATGCCTGCCGACGGGACAACTACGGAAACTTGCAGGTTTGGCGGAATCGCATATAGATTGAACCCACACGGCTCCGCCTACCCTCGTGGGCTTTGTGCTTGGCGATTATGCTCATCTGTTTGAAACAGTCCTTGGACTCGCGAATCGTGATCCACGCGGTCTCTACCTGTTTCGCCTTTCACGCCAAGAGCGATGCGTTTCAAAAAGGTGACCTGGAACTTCCTCCAATCGTATGTCATCTGGAAGGTGTTTGTGTGCGCACAGCATGGAGAACAACGTAGCCTAACCCTAATCTGCAGCATGTCAAGTGTTTATCGTTTCTTCGTATCGAAGAAGGTTGCGGTTACATCTGTAAGGTCCAGAAGTCCCGAGGTCCTTGTTCTACACCCAAAGCAAGTAGCAACGACTGTGACATACGTTGTGTCTTCGCAACGCTCACACAGATTGATAACAGGAGACTGCAATGGCACATCTGGTGAAGTTGCGCGCGGGCGTGTCCCAGCGCGAAAATATTGCACTTGAGTGGTGGAAGAAACAATTCAACACCACAACTCGAGCACGTGGAGCGACAGCGCTTCTGGGTGCGATCATCACCATCATAGTTCTTAGTGTATTGAATTTGCAAACGTGCACCAGCACAAAGAGATCGGTGCTATCGAGCCGCCTCACAAAACAGGACCCCGTTCTTCACAGACCACGTCAGGCTTCGCGGAACTTTTAGTAGCGTGGTTCGAGAATCATAGATGCGGCGGGTGGTCGTAAGCCGCTTGGCATTCCCCACTACCTGGCGAAGCAAGGGGCGGGAAGCTTGTGTATCGACATGGACAGCAAGGCTGCAGTACAATCCACTGACTCAAAGTATCCACATTATGTCGTCGACATCGAGTTTCCAGATATCAGGCCGCATATCTGTAACTCACATGCTGGTTTGTTCAGTAAACATCGAGGACCTGAGGAAGACAGCCGCCCGTCACAGCACACCAGGACGCAGACATCGCGCCAGGCACCGAAATGAGAGTGACATGCATGAACCAATCCTCCACGCGGCATTTTCGCACAATGCTCAGCGGTCAAGGGTTTTTTTCTTTTGGTGAAACATACCCAGCTCCGAAGTTTGCCCATTCCAGGCACCCTTCGCCATCTGACACCACCATCAACAGCACGAACAGCCTGACGTCGCAGGTCTCCACACGCTTGTTCATCTCAGGAAACATTGCTTTTGTCGTAGGAATGCATGCGACGGCTCTGAACTTGACTCGTAGTGCATCCTCCTGCGAGCAATGACGGCAACGCTGTAGGGCAGGCAAGCCGCACTCCCTGGACGAGATCACGGAGTGGTACGTAAGACGATCGATGGTGCGTGCCCCTGTGGCTCGGGCCGTGGCTGTGCGCCCCACTTTGAATGCTCCAATCGTAGCTTCTTCGTGACGCTGCTGCGCACTTTCCATGCTACTTCAGTTCACACACAACTCTCTGCCACAACCGACAAAGAAACCTAACATATGACGCCTTTGGAAGGTTTTCACTGATAGCGGCAGCAGCAAACAAAAGATGGATTGGGACTCCTCACCTCATCGCGTCCGTGCGCAGCTAGCGTCCGCTAGCGTGTGCTCGATATGTACAACTTTTTGGCCGCCGCTTCTTTGCTCCGCACCGCAAACATCCCAGTTCAACGCACACGTAGTGTGCAAGCCGACCCTCGGTAGCTGGGAATTTGCGGTCCTTGCGCAGGTCAAGTATACCTGCACCCAATCTCTACGCCGAGATTTACACCCGTCGACCTTCAGCTCCTCACGGAGCTGGGTAAGACAACCGACCTCTACTCCTCGGAAACAGTTGCCTCTGGTGACTATTTCGGTCGTTTAGACGTCGTTACTATATCTAGGGTCACCTTAGTTTATAGCATTCCTTCTCTATCTAGTTCTTGCGCAGGTTAAGTATACCTGCACCTTGTCAGCTCCTAGCGGAGACGGCGAGGCTCTGTCCGCTATTGCTCTTTAATAAGCACGGTAGACAGCTAACCTCTACTTCTCGGAAATAGTTGCCTCTAGTAAATATTTCGGGCGTTTAGTTGTTGGCACTATATCTAGGGTCACCTTAGTTTATAGCATTTCTTCTTCATGTCTTCCGAGACAAACTACACCGCTCCTCTCTCCCCAACAGTGGACCAAAAATTCGGGCTCTTCGATGATACGCGGCCAAAGCCGTGCAACACCTGAGACTTGGGTCACATATTGTGGACTCTAGCAGATTGGTAGGCACTGGCGTATCTTCTCCACACGGTTGAGAGCACTACGGTATGTCGACTATAGTTGTTCAATCCGGACGACGGGAAGTTCATGCCTTGAAGAGACGGAAGACAGCTGAACCTCTACTTCCAGCGGCACGAGTCGCTCACGACTCCCGCAATACACAACCATCTCGTACGCAAACGCACTGCTCAAATGAGAGAGATCGCAAAGATCGGAGACTTTCAGGTAGGCGTGCCAGCTACATCATCGCCATATTTACCCTATATCACATATTAAGGTCTATGTCATCGTCAGTCAGTTACTACTTTTACCCTGCATCACGTATTAATGTCTATGTTGTCGTCAGGCAGTTATCACACATCGTCATTTCTCCTGTCAATCCATCAACTACCAGAGCAATCTGACCACAAACAAAGGTCAACAGAGTCCATGACTCATCGCAACGAGCTACCATGCCGAGCTACCGCACAACTCACTTGTCCTCTCCGAGCCAACACAGCCTCGCCAACCCCTCTCAAGCCCCAGGCTCAAAGTCACTCTCGAACGGCCCGCCACAAACCCCTGCCAGACAAACAACAGCTGCCTGATACGTCACACTCCCCGTACTAGTGCAATCTTTCCTCAGCTGCGCGCTTCCATAATAGCAATTACCAACCGCAGAAATCGTTGTTCTTCCGGTCGTTCAGTTTGCCGGTGCCGGCGGATGTGCCTGCGGAACAGAAGTCGCCGGTCGCGAAGCCGTTTTCTTGGCCTTCGATGCCTGGGGGTTGAGTGTTAGATTGTTAGGGGTCGGCGAGGCTGGGCTGGAAGGTTACCTGCGCTGTTCCACGTCCCGATGATGTGCAGTTGGCCTGGAGTTGAGAAGGTGCCGCCGAGTTCGGAGCCGGCGTACTTTCCTATGATGAAGTCGGCGTAGGTGGAGGTGTTGAAGGGGTCCAGGAGGGGGATGAGGGTGAGCTGGGGAGTCTTCATGCTGGTTGTGAGAAGTAAGGTGTCGAGGTCGGTTCGACGATGTTGCAGGAGAGAGTTGGAGTTGCTTTCCAGTGCGGATGTCCTTCGATTTGCTATACAGCGGAAGTCTATTTATACGTCTCTTTCTTCCCATCGGATCTTACCGTTGTGATGGAGGTCATCGCGATCGATCGTCTGCCAACTCTTCATTCCAGTGTTCCACATGAGCTCGTGCGATGCGCGTTGGTTCTATGTCCCATCATTGCTGTCAGTAGGTCTGGTCTGAAGTTGCAACAAGCACCCTAAGGCCAACGCCTGTTTCATTCGGTATAAGAAGGATGCATTCGGCTCCACCTCCAACAACAGTACGTAGTGGTAGTGGATACGGTGAGCGTCGAATGCCCGTGATGAACGCTCATCGACCACCTCAGCCTCGACTTCGAAGATAGTTAGCCTCAGCGTAGCATTAGACAACTTTTAGGATGAGCTTGTCACTCAATCGAGCGACTTGTGCGAAAGGCTTAGAACCACGTGATCATCCCCAAACCTTGGATTCCAAAAAGCTTATGGCAACCTCCGAAGCGCGTGCATACTTGAGATCGAGAGTAAAGACTCAAACAATCCTTCTGGGGAGCGGAGTTGCGAATAATGGGACTGGAGGCCTGGGTGCCTGGAGAAAACGTGGTAGGCCTGGCACTACCATGCCGATCAATAAGAAGCCACTAGACATGAATGGGGAAGTAATGCGAAGCTAAGAAACTGGAGACCTGGTTGATTGCTTTGCATCACTTGTGGAAAGACGTTGGCGAAGAGTATGGCCGATGGTAAGTCGGTGTGCGTGAAACCTTGACCAAGATGCAGTTTACGAAAGAGTGCGAATGACTAGTGGTTCAGAACGCATGAAGCTAACACTTTTGATTCCATATGACTATCAGTGAAGTGGACATTGCAGTATGTGACGACACAGCAGACCGCATGTATATGCCCGCATCAGATTGTACATATCTAACACAGGGTTCGCCCACTCCTGGGCCATACTCAGTTCCCATGCCCCATCGCAGCAACGACACACCCCTCATTTATGTTCCCAGTGGACCATTGTTGGTTGCACCGCCAGTCCTCCTTGACTTTCCCCCAAGCGAAAAGTTTCCCAAGCCACGCACACCAACACCGCCGGCGAGAGGCTGCCTGGTCATCGGCGAGTTCTGGTACGAGGAATGCGCATCCTGATCCAAGTACGGAGGAGGCTGACGTGAACCACCGAGGACTGGCAGCTGGCTTCTATGAGCTTGCGAAGGCGTTCCGACTGGAACTGAATATTCACCGTGTCAGCGCGCGATGCTCTTAGTACGATCGAGGAAGTAACTCACGACTAGTATTGTGCCTCACACCCAATCCCCGTCTCTGCAACTGTGGGTCGAATGGGGGCCCGAGATGAACACCGCCCTGTTGCTGTCGTCCACTGCTCCCAGAACTCCGACTAAAGTCTCTGTTATGAGGTCTACCACCACCGGCTTGCTGTGACATGTTCACTTGGCTGTAGTTGGCCGTTCTCGTCCGCGTGCCAGGAAAGCGGTCGATGAAACGGTCTCCACGAGCAGTCTGAAGTGTGAACGCCGCCTCATCGCCAGCCGCATGAGCTACCTGCGATGCCATGACCTTGCCCTTGAGTTGTTGATAGAGAGCTTGGGAGTGCGCATGCGCTTTGGTCTTTTCTTTGAAGGCCTTTGCGAGTTCGAAGTTTTTGTTCTCGAGAGATTCTTGTTCGGCTTGCATGACTACGCGACTGTTAGTACTAGAGCGTTCGGAGGAAGAGGCTATTACCAACCCTGCGTTTTGTCCTGCAATGCCTTGATCTGCGAGTTTGCATCATGTACGAGCTGATCCATCTGCTGACTGAGCGTATCGTACTTGCCAGTCAAGCCTTTTGCGAGGTGCTCCTGATAGATAATCTCCTGCGACGTTTGATAGCTATGGAACGCCAAGCCGCGGCTTGCACATTCCATAATGATTGTTGGGCTCAGGCCACTAAGCACCGACGTCTTGTAGTCTTCTGATGGATTAAGACTTGCGACAACCACATCGTCGGGGTTGTGCAGTGACGAGTTGCATGCTGGACAAGTTCGATGTGCATTTGTAGACCTCGACAGCCCGGTGACATCTGCGCAGTTGCTGCAAAAGACGTGACTTGTGCGATTGTCAGCGAGAATGGCAGAGGCAGGTGAGATGGACGAACCTGCAAGTAGTGACTACGGCGCGTTCATGAAGCTGCGATCGACACTTGAGCTCATTGCAACGCAGAACGTACTCCATGGCGAGTGACGAGTGACGATTGTGCGGTAGAGGAATTTTCTTTTCGAGGTTGGCGGATGGAGAAAGCACAATGTTGACGCGAAAGCACGTGGTCCGCTCACTGAGGCAAGAGCAACCCAACTCGTGTAAATCCTGCCCTAACCAGAACATAGCATGAATTCATGTCTTACGAATGTGGTATCTCGCCGCGCTTGCAACACTAAACAACAGGATGCGTCCGGGGGCTCTTCTGCTTCCGCAATCGAGTCTATCGATCATCCTTATCAGGCTTCCGCCGTTGTCTTGTGCTCTTCTTCCCAGCCACAGCTGTATCGTCCTCCTCTTCATCTCGGCCCTTGGCGAGTTCTCCATCCAACTCCCACTCCTCGGGGTCATACCAGTCCTCCCCATCGCTCATCTCTCCTACATGGGCTTCCGCTTTTGACCATTTGTACACATCCTGCCTCATGCGGTCAGCTTGTAGTAGGCCCTGATACAAGTCGGAAGTTATCCGTGCGACCTCCTCCTGCTTCTGTACGTAGGCCATGAGGAGCATGCGCGTCTCCTCGGCTTCGTTCGGCGGAAGACCAAAGTCGCGGTCTGGCAACGAGTCTGACGGATGTATGAAGAGAGGATGTATTGCGCCGGCGCCACTCGAGGGCGAATGAGGTGGGGAAGGAGTCGAGGCTGCGTGCGCCTGGGCTCGTCTGCGCGTCGTCATCCTATGCGCCGTTTGTTGCGACGCGGTGTCAGACGCATCTTCGGGCGTTCCTTCTCCATTTTCTTGCACTTGCTCTGCATCTCCGGCATGCGTTCCGTTTGTCACAGGATGTGCGCCATTGACCCTCTCTGAAGTTGAGTCGCCGTTGGTCTCGGTCTGCCGGCTAGTGCCATTTGGCTGGCCTGCATCCTCCATGTCTACGTCATGGGGACTTTCTATGGTCTCGCGCATCTCCGCATCTTGGATTTGTTGCTGCTCTCCCTCTCCTGCACGCTCATTCGCGCTGCTAGCCCACGGTTCTTGAAAGGGTGCCCTGCCCATAGCAGCCAGAGCAGCAGGCGCAAACGTAGAGTCGCCCTGCAGTTTCACGAATAGAGTCTTTGCCCGCGCGTTGGTGACCTGCTCTTTTCGCGAAAGAGCGCCCGCTTCGCTTGCGAGATCTGTGAGATGCCGAGAGGAGTATGCCACGCTCAGGGCAGGGTGATTGGGTAGGTCGGCGGCGGAGGTGAGCGGCGCAAGAAGGCTCTCGAGCTGTATGTTGCCGTAGGGATTCTCCTCGACAGCTTCCACATCTTCCTCGTCTTCGTATTCTTCGTCGACTTCGACGACATCACCGTCCGCATCGTATCGTGGAGGGTTGCGCTGCAGGATAGACCTGTGGTAGCCGGCATGCTCAATGCGCTGGAGGCGTCAGTCTACAGTCGGCACCCGAGTCGCACAAGCCAAAACGCACCTTCTTGTAAGGTCGCGGGTCTGAAAGGAAGTCTGGGTCGCTGGCGCGCGCATAATGAACCTTGCGCCTCAGATCCTGCTTGTTGCTATTCAAGGGTGTTTCGGAGTCCTCTGTGTCGGCTGCGCGGTGTTAGCTAGCACTGGGCTGAGGCAGATATGAGCCTACAGTCGTCTTTTCGCAGCATCTTCCTCTTCATGCTGAAGATGGTATCAAGAATTTGCTGCTGTTGGCCCGCCATGGCGTCAGGGCCTCTGGCCAGCGCGGGTGGAAAGTCGTGGAGCGACGGGTATAGATATGGGCGCGTTGAGCTAGTACAAGGGCGTATTGCGCTGTTAGAGGTACTTCGGGGTGTGGATACGCGTAAAGGCAAGGTTGAAATGCAAAAAGTATAGCTGGTGGTGGAGGAGAGCTCGTGCCTGTGTAGAGGAATCGCATGGCCGCCAGGGTTCAGCTAGCGGATCTTTCCCGCCGCGACGCAGACACCCACCGATGACGAAGACCCGCCAACAATCTGTACAGTATCTTCATGCTGCCACAAACACGCTTGGTATCGCCAATCTGACACAGATTTTTAGAGAAGCCCAAGTCTGGCCTTGCGGTTCCCGTGCGACGAGCAAGTCAAACTCCGCAGCACCTCCGCTTTCCCCAACCCCGAGTAGCAGCATCAGGTCAACACCACGCTTGTGAGACACAAGCTGGAAACAACGCGACTTGGGCATGGAGCGATCATGAACGCATACCCATCGGACTTCACTGTGCACAATCTACCCTTCATCGTCCTTTCAGGACTAGCCACCAGCAAAGAGGCCGATCCCCCTCCATCTGTCCAACATGTGCTTCCTGGGCGCGCTGTCACAAATATCAGCTCAGATCTACCCCCCGCAGAAGGCAACCGGGCAAATGAGCTTCTCCAGGAGTTTCTGAGTGCAGACGGAACGAATGCGCCGTGGAATGGGCGCGACTTTAGTCGCCGAGGCATCACGCATGGCTTCAGAATACGGACTGTAGGAAGGGTACAGGCGCCAGCGATTATGCCACGGGAAGGAGCCATGGGCTGATATTTGCTAGAACTTCCAACTGCCTCCGAAAAAGGCAGATGCGCCCTCAAACTCCGAGACAACACCTCCAGGCAGTCCCACCATTGCAGCCGCAACATCCTGGGTCCTGCATTCGCCCATATCCCCGCTCTCTCCGATATCTCCCTCCTTCCCCGACGGCGTCATCGCTCCTGCCTGGGTCGCCAAACACCAGCACTACGTTCCTTCCGTGTTCGTCTCCTTCTTCAACTTCACCACAGACCCCATTACAAACAGCTTGCACGATAATCAGCTGAAGACGGACATCAACAAGATCAAGAGCCAGATACAAAAGTCAGACTATCGAACAAGATACGTCGTAGTATTGTTGAGTGACAAGACTATAATTGAGGCACCAGACATCGAGGAGCGACTGGCGGTGATACGGCGGGCTACAGGCTTGGATCCCAAGAACTCACTCTTCTTTCTGCCTCCACGAACATCCAAGGTCGAGCTACAGGCCTTCGTCACTTCTATTCTGGCCATACTACAACCCGTCTGCGTCGAGTATTACCGAGACCTCACAAAGCATGCGCGGAGGAAGAAGGGACGAGGCACAATTCCTCCTCCAACAGCTCCGCCGACGCGTGGCACATCCCAAACACTGTCATACCCTGGGTGGGGTGTTCGCTATGACTTCAAGCTGGGTATTCTTGCCGAGTTTCGTCAGGAGATGGACGCTGCACAGCGACACTACGGTGCTGCTTTGGAGGCATTGTTTGGTGCTGAGGGCTTGTTTGAAACAACAGCAAGCTGGTCTCCAAGATGGGACGAGATACGATTGCTAGCAGATACCATCGCACTACGACATATTCGATGTCAACTATGGAACAATTTCCCTACTTCCGCAGTCCAGTCTTGGTTACGATACAAGTGGAGATTACAAGACGTACTCGATCGCCGAGGCAAGGGTACTAACAACTATGGCTGGCAGGCTTGGGAATCTACCTGGGCACAGGTTATGGCTGAGACCGTTCGACGAACAGAATTGCCAGTCTTCAAGATCAGAGATCCCGTCCCCGACACGGATCCCTTGCCAGACATCCCAAACTCACTATACTCTCAGCCCGAGAAACAGTTTCCTGTTGGAGAAAGACTGCCACCATGGGAACTATTACATCACCCCGGGTATTGGCACAAGATTTCCAGCGACCACGCGAAGAGGCGCTACATTCTTGCCAGAGAGATGCCAGAAGAAGACCGAACACCGCCCGGTATGTCTCCTGCCGCAAAGGTCTCGGCTCGGAATCAAATATACGATCACTACCTCGTTCCGCAACCTCACGAAGAGTATCCTATACCTGGTATTGGTAATGGATTCGAACACTGGAAAGACATCTCATCCAAGCTTAATGCCGCGATAGCTGAGTTCAAGGCTCGTGGACAACACCGGAAAGTAGATCAAATGCAACTCGAGGTGGCTCGGACATTGCTACACGTGAAGAGATTTGACGATGCCTTCAAAGTGCTGCGATCACTCTGGGAGACGATGGCTTGGCGGAAGGAAAGATGGTGGAGCCTAGCTTCGGAGGTAGTATGGGCTCTGCACGAGTGCGCACTGCGAGTGCAAAGCCGAGAAACATATGTAGCAACGGAGTGGGAGCTGTATAGTCAAAGTCAGTGTTGTTTGCCCTCCATAACACAAACTTTACTAACACCTCTCAGCGATTCCTGGCAAGACGAAATACAAGTACGACTTGATGACATGTCTGGACGTCTTCTCGGATGCGACTGCCGAGAAGGTTAGTGTGAGTCTGAATGCTAAAGACCACATATCCTGCTGTAAGTATCGAAGTCTTACGCAAAGGCCCATGCTGACGGTACAGTGTCAACATCTTTCGCCTTTGCTGAAGCCGAAGGTAACGTCGGCGAACCGCTTCATGCACAGCTCGCCGTCACCTCCAATGCTCGATCAGGCTCCGCTCCTATTACGTTGTCTTTCCTCCAGTATCAGTTCAATGGCGGCTTGGCTGAAGTCCGCTTGAACCACGATGCCGAAGGAGAACCCTCCGGGAGTACCTCAAGAATGTATCCCTGTACATTAGAAGAGACCCATTCCGCTACCGGAAAGCCACGCTGGGCAGGAACAGCTGACCTCACGCTTCATCCAGGGCAGACCAAAGTGTACAGCCTTCCACTCATTCTGCGTGAGTCAGGGGATGTCGATGTTGTCGCATGTGTCTTCGGCGTCAGTACGGAGAAGTTTGATCTCGTTTGCTCAGACACAGACCCGGAAACTCCAGCCCATCCCGTTTGGTGGATCAAGTCAGATACCAAGATCAAATCCAGATCATTGAAACATGGATCTGGTATGTCGGTGCACATACTACCCAAGCCGCCAAAGATGGAAATCAACCTACCAGATGTTCGCAACCAGTACTTCACAGATGAGTCTGTGACGCTGGCAATAGAGATTCTGAACCAAGAAGAAGAGGACACTGAAGCTGTCCTTGAGGTGCGATTACTGGGTCGCTCCAAAGACACTCTAAGCTATACGTGGGTCGAGCGTCCGCCAGAGTCACCCATGAAGGAAGTCCCGCCAGCGCTCGACGGTTCAACAGATGTAGACCTCCCAGGCCATGTAGTAGGAAAGCTAGCCCAGGGCGCAAGAACAACAGAGAGAATCCGCTTCACTGCACCCGCAGACCCAGCAGACTACGCCTTGGAAGTCAAGGTCTTATACCACCTCCTCAGCGATCGCGATATACCCATCTCCAAGATTATGGTCGCCGATCTCGTGTTCAACGCACCCTTCGAAGCGAGCTACGACCTCATGGCACGCGTACACCCCGATCCATGGCCCAGCTATTTCGAGCTACAAGAGGCCGAAAGCAATGTCAATCCTGAATCACCCGATGCATTCGGCATAGCACAAAAATGGGGACTGCGAGCCAAAGTCGCATCCTTCGCCGACGAACAACTCATCGTCAGCGACCTAGCCGTGCAAGTCCATAGCATCCACGGCGGCGCAACATGCGACGTCACGAAGGAATTCACCATTGCAGAAACAGCCATGGAACCCCAAATCCTCAGCGAATGGGGCTTCAGCTTGGATATCCGCAAGAACAATCTCGAAGAACGTCGCTCGACCGCCCTCGACACCACTCTCAACATAACATGGAAGCGCACGTCCGACCCCACGGCTTCCCCAGTAACATCCTCTCTCCCCATCCCACGCATCCAAATCCCCTCCTCAGAACCCCGCGTCCTTGCCTCTCACCACCTCTCCCCCACGACCCCGTCACTCATCCATCTCGACTACGTCCTCGAGAACCCCACCATGCACTTCCTCACTTTCGAGCTCGCCATGGAAGCCAGCGAGGATTTTGGTTTCAGCGGACCCAAACTGCGGACGCTGCATCTCTTGCCTATGAGTCGGCAGACGGTACGGTATAACTTGCTGTCAAATGTAGAAGGGGAGTGGATTATGCCGAATCTGAAGGTTACGGATCGGTACTTCAATAAGACGTTGAAGGTGCAGGGGACGGAGGGGATGAGGGTGGATAAGAAGGGTGTGGGGATTTGGGTGCCTGGTGATGATGGAGGGGTAGGGGAGGGAGAGGGGGAAGGGAAGGATGAGTAGGTAAGGAAATGAGTCGCTTAAGGGTTTAGAGGTCTTGATGGGTGACAGAGTAGATGAGCTTGCGCCTGTAGAGTTGTGCTTTCGATATACGAATGATGATAGTCAAACGCCAGATGCCCTATGTACAACCGCTCTCGACATAATGACTCCTCTCGTGCATCATATCTCCGATGCAGATCCCTCCCGAAACCCTCCCAAGCGATGACCATCTACCCAGACCCCCTACCCCTTGTCACCGGATCCCTCCCCGGAACCACATCCCTCCAAAAATCCTCATCCTGCTCGTCTTGCGGGATAAAACGCCGTGGCTCCGTAAACATAGTTTCACCGGTGATATGCGGCATGGACATTGTAGTATCTATATTGTTCTGAAATCTCATCAGTTATTAGGGACTCCCTGAGAGGATTATGTTGGGGAGGAAGAGGCTGGGCATACTGCTGAGATTGCGGTTCTTCGCCGTAGTAGATTGGGGTTTCGAAGTCGGTGGCGGCGTGGGAGAGGATTGTGGGGTCAATTGGAGGGATTTGCGTTGATGAGGGTGGTTGTGATTGGGACGGTTGTTGGGAGATGGTGGTTTGTGGTGAGCTCATTGTGTTTGCAGGCTGCTGCGGCTGTTGCGTGCTGGCATCGACTTCGACGATCTTGTCTTCTTGTACTCTTACTTCGCGGTCGCGCAGACGGCGCATTAGTCCGAGGAACTGTGAGTTCTGGAACTTCTCGCTTGTGTTGTCTGCTACGCGCTCCAGTAGTCGGCCTGCGGTTGCTGCCATTTCGTCGTCTTCGTTTCTTGGCGGTTGGTCTTGCTTCTGCTCTTCTTCTGGTTTCTGTTCGAAGTGTTGTAGCGGCTCTGGTGTCCTCATGTAACCTGCTGCTTCAAGATCCTGCCATATTTGCTCCTCGCTCATCTGAACGCGTGATCCTAGTGGGTATTGTGACATGAGGCGTTGGTTGATCGCTTTGATAAGCTCTTCCGCACGGGTCTTGACTTCTTGAGGGGCATCGCGGTTCACGATTCTTTGGAGGGAATCAACGATCCATTTCCCTTCGTTCGCATCTTGTACCAGTGTACCGCTCTTCTCTAGGCGATCCATGTTCTCGAGGTAGGCTACTGCTTCGTCGGTTCGTCCGAGACCGGTTTCGCTCCAGACTTGGATTGCGGAGTAGACAGCTAGCTCACAGTCAGCACTCGTAGTTGGTTTGACGGACACTACACACCTGGCCGCGTTTCTCGTATCCGTTGAAGAAGAGGATCCATCTCACCCGGCCGGTCCAGATCCAGCGCCTCTTGCGCTGGCTGTGTGTGTACTTGTTCTGCCTCTGCGGTCTCCATCATGTCTTGTTGCGCCTGCGCAAATGCTTGTTCAAAGGCCGCCTCGTCAAAAGCCGGTACGTCATCCTGGGCGCGCTGCTTCCCTTGCGCGATCTCTGATACTTGGGCGTTCTGGAAACTCGGTGTCTGCATGTATGCTTGCCCACCGAATCCACCCATGTTGTATCCTGACATGCTTCCATATGGGGTTTGCTGTAACGCAGGCGCCTGCGCGACCGGGGCCTGCTGCCTCAAGAAGTCCTGATGCCATGCTGACGCCGCGCTCGCCGGCTGCTGTCGCTGCTGCTGTAACGTCTGTGGAGGTGGACTGCTGACATTCAGGCGCTGAAAGTCAGCGGCCCAGTCGGGTGCCTGTGGAGCCTGCGCAAACTGCGGAGGAGGTTGCGCGAACCGTGGATCGAAGGGTTGGAAGTTTTGTGTTGGAAGAGGTCGGCCGCCGGCTTGAAAGGCTTCGAATTCGTTATCCAACGCGCCTACATTCGGTCCCGGAGACGATCTAAAGCCCTGCTACAGTTTAGATGGCGGAGCGCAAGTTTCCGGTATGACCACATACTTGCGCCGGTGAATGTCTGCCGACCAAACGGTCTTGCTGAAGTGTCCTGTCTACGGTCGTGTGTTTCTGGAAGTTTTGCAGGGCATTTGAAGGGCCACAAAGCTCCGCCATGTTGAATCTAGAAAGAAGGAAAGTACGCTATGGGGGGTATCAACGCATGCTAGAAGGGAAGTGTGAGAGAGCTTGTCGGAGTGATGATGTTGCGGCAACTGATCTTCGGAACATGAAGCCCAGTTGCCGAGGCGCTCGCGGATGCGGTTAGCCCTGCGTCAGATGTCAGGAAAGCGCGATGACGCACAAGCACGTGCTACACTTTTCACTTCCTAAACTGTGGGAACGCGGCAGTCGGTAAGGTTGAGCGTTGCGTCGATGAAGTCGCACGTCACACTGAGCAAGAGGTACTGGAAATCACTGAATAGTCAACTGATGTGGTATACATTATCCATTGACGAAACCAGGCCCACTACATATGTCGCTACTGACTAAACTGCCCATCGTCCGCGCGACGCCTTCTTTGCCTCTTCCATACCCTTGGCATCGCGTCGCAATACAGCTCCCACGACCTGTATCCTGCACACATCTGCGTAGGCACCCTTCCCGATCTCCTCTGGCCACATATCTGGATGCAGAATCGTGTACTCTGCAAGCTCCGCGCCTTCTATTTGTTGAAGCTTCTCTAAGAAGATATCATGGCCAGGATCGGCAGTGGGCATCGCGACACCCGTGTAAACCACAATGACACCAGTCAACGATAAGACTTTCATGCCTTCTTCTACGATGCGTATGGAGAGGTCGAGGCCGAAGCTAGCGCCGCCATCTGCGTATGTGGGTAGATCTTTACCATCTGTACTGGATGCGATGTATGGTGGGTTGCTCACGATCAGATCCACGCCATGGTGCTTCAGATCTTCAGGCACGGTCGCAAAGAGGTCTGACTCGGCAAAGCCCACCTTGACGCCTGCCAACTGTGCATTGACCTCTGCCAGACTCAGCGCGCGCGGATTTAGATCTAGTCCCAGCGTCTTCGCCTGCGGGTACATCCCTGCCATTTGTATCGCGCCTGCACCAGCCCCGCAGCAGACATCTACGATGCTGTTGGGTGCATGTGGAAGGTGTCGAGATATGGTTTGGAGGAAGCCAACAAAGAAGTACGTGTCGGGGCCGCAGAAGACTGAGTCGGACGATGCTGGGAATGAAGAATGAATGTAGTATAGCGAGGCGACATTAGGGCCGCGATTCGGGAGGTTGGGAAGGTACAGGTTGGATACGCGGATGGTGGAGCGGTAGCTATTGTCATCACTTTGTGTGATCACGGCGGCTTTGTGGAGGCTTTCGAATATGTCGTCAGGTATTATCGATCGGAGTGCTTCTCTATCGGATTATTAGTATTGTCAGATATGCGGTACCTATTAGGTTGACGGTAGACAGTGAAATGTACAACCTACCTGGTACATGGCAAGTTCCACCCAAAGAAGTCGTACGCGTTCTGGGCATCTTCCGTCGCGACATTAGAGCGCCTTTTATTCACCACTCTACCCTGTGTCTCTGGCGATGGACACACGAAGACGTACTTCTGCTTGGCTAGATGTTTAGTTAGAGCCTGGTAGGCGACAGTAGTTTCCGACATGGTTGGAGGAGTGCTAGAAGTTTGTCTCCGCGGGCGACTTCATGGCGTAACGCCTCTGTGACACAGTCAACATGTCCAAGTGTCAGTGCATATGGTACCAAGAGTTACCTGCGCCGCGGAGCATAAGAAGCTGTCAGTGTGACGTTGTTGTTAGTAATGAAGACTGCGTGAAAGCTTTCGTGCATGTCGTGATCTGGCCTGATCTACCCGAATAAGAGCTGTTCTAGACGCGCAAGGCCGGTTGTATGCAAGGAAACATCTCTTTTGCATGTCGCCTGTCGCATCGCTTGCAGTTAATGGACAGAATGAGGTCGTAAAGACGGTTAGCTCCCACCGGACGGATCTCGCGGTTTGTGGGGTGCGCCTGGTCTAGCTGCAAGCAGTCTAGTGTCAGATGTCGTCAGATCAATTTCCTGGCGATGACATGGACATGGACATTTCAAAAGACACTTCTGCGTGATGTTCATCGTCAGCATGATCTACTGCGAGTGTTTGCCTGGGGGCGCATGTTTTGCCACAGCTGCGCTAAGAATAGTCAAACCCCATATGTTACTTCATGGCTGGAAGGATGTATCACTATTTACGCCAAACCCTCACATTTACATCTTGAAATCCACCCATAATGTATATTCTACAAACCACAACAGCGGTACTCATCGCGTTTCTTGCAGTCATCGCCTACAGTGAAGTTCGGAATCGTCTTGCGAAAGGACGAGGAAGAAGAAAGGATCTTGAAACCCCAAGCAGCCCAACAATACCCGCCACCAACGATGTCAAACCACCAGCGCATGACGGCAGTTTGGAGAAGTCATCCATACTTGATGCAGCCGGCTCAGTCGACCCAGAGTTAGAGAGAGACAAGCAGCTCTACTACAAACTCCACCATCTCGAACACCACCCCGAAATCTTACCAGAGTGTCGCGAGCTTCTGCTTGGTCTCCTCTCCTCTACAATCGCCGACGCAGCCAAGGAACCCCATAGCGGGATCTTGACCGTCGAAGAGTTCTCGCGGGATAGATTAAATGAGTTCCTCAAAGCCAAGGACGTCGACGTCACCAACCGCTGGGAGGAGTACCTTTCGCGTCGCAAAGCCGGTGGATCGCGCGAGATGTTCAATGACAAGAACGAAGCGAAATGGTGGCTCAAGCAAGCAGCACCAGTAAAATACGTCGACGGCGCATGGCTCGGACACATCAACAAGATTAGCACGCCCTTCAAGTACCGTCAAATCACCAAGAATGCCTGGCAGGTCATGTCCGAAGAGCTTGGAGACGGCGATCTTGCAAAGAATCACGTCCATGTGTATCGAGAACTGATGGAGGACATTGACGCTGGACTACCCGCTGCCGATTCAGAAGACTTTATTCATCCCCGTCACGATTTGACTGAAGCACGCTGTTGGAAAGCAGCCATGGCTCAGCTCACCATTTCCTTGTTTCCCCATGATTTCCTTCCAGAGGCCTTGGGCTTCAATATGGCGTACGAGAGTTTGCCGCTCCACTTGCTGAAGACCGTCAAGGAGCTTCGCGAACTCCGACTAAACCCGTACTACTTCGAGCTGCATATCTCCATCGATAATGCCGATTCGGGTCACGCTGCGATGGCAATGGCTGCAGTGACCAACTACATTGAGTTGATTGCAGAGCAAGAAGGGGAGGAAGCCGCGAATATCGCGTGGAAACGCGTACAGGCTGGCTACATCCTCGCTGAGGGCTTGCCTACGACTCCCGAAAGTCCATCGCGTAAGGTCCAGGCGGAAGAGCCCTTTCCTCGCACAGATACAGAAGCGACTCTGATAGAAGTCTTCGCTGCAAAGAGCTTCGTCGCTCATAAGATCCATTGTAACAGTCGACTTAAGATCGGTCGCCGTTCTTTAGTGGACTGGCTAGAGCCTAATGCTTTCAAGGACGCTCAGTGGCAGAAAGAGTTCGTACAGGATCTTAGTAATTGCAGTCCCTGGGTTATCAAGGGCGACAGTGGAAAGAGCAGACTGGTCAAGGAGCTATCCTGGGAAGGCAAGATGTTTGGAAGCTTTACTGAGAAGGAGGTGGAAGTCGTGAAAGAGTGGATCAACGAACTTGGCTCGCCCGTTCAGTCTCCACAGCCTGATTTACAACTATACTTCGATTTCACAGGACAATCTTCTGAGCCTCCGGTGGAATCTATAACACAGGACTTGGACATCCTTACCGACTATCCCGTCCTCGCGACGCCAGAACCAATTACTTCATTCAGGACATCCGACATGAGCAGTCCAAACGTCGACGAGTCCCCGATTCACGATTGGAGCAAACTTAATCTTACCAATCTCCTTTCACTATGGCTCACCTCACCCACGCTGCTCGAAGTACTACCTGCAGTACCCGTCCGCGCTGCTGACATGTTCGGCTCCGCCATCGTACGCGTACTTCGTGCACAGACCGGATTCAGTGCGGAAGGTCCTGGTGTCGCCGGCATGGACGAAGTTCATCGGACCGATGACGGTCAAGCTGTCGGTCTTGTGGAACTTGGCTTGCGTATGTGTTGTAGGGAAGGTCTACAGGTACCTGTCAGCTTGAAAGAAGCAGTTGCTTTAGGCGATGACGAAATTGTGTCGTTCTCGCAGTGTATGATCTGGATGGGCATGCGATGGCTGACTCACAGAGATGTACTCGTGGGCATGGCTTGGGCGTTCATGGAGATGCATGAAGCGCTGGCTAGATGTCAGGGAGACATTGCAATTTTGAATGAAGAAAGTCGACATGTGCTGGAAGAGATCGCGACCAGGGAGAGAAAAGGATTGGACGTTTGCAAAGCAGAGATATTCCAAGATAATAAGCGAAAAGACGAGTTTTGCAAAGGCCTTGTCACAGCAAGACGAGCGATCAAGTCATGTTTCACGGCATAGCAATAGTGGGAAGAAGATCATGTGTAGAACTAGGGATCATATGATACCCTATGAATTCATTTGTTCAAAAAGGACCCTCAGGGCTAAAGGAAAGAAGCGAAATCAACAGCCAGACTATATACACCCTCCAGCTCAAAATGTATGTACAATGAAAGACTTCTCAACAAGCCAAGGTAGTAGTCGCCCTCTACTTCTTAAGGGTAAGGAGACCGGGCCTGTAGGGGAGACGGTCGTAGTCGCCACCGGAGTTGGGGTTGCGGCCCTGGTACAACAGCTGCAGGTTGCAAGGGTCGACGGTCATGGTCTCGTCGTTGGTGACCTTAACCAAGTCTCCGTGGGAGATGTCGTTGGTCCAGGTGGCACCGCTGTTGGCCTTGCCGGCGAAGGGGTTCTGCTCGGTAGCAGCGTTGGGGGTCCAGCTGCCGCCGAGGCTGGAGGCAGTGAAAGAGCGGAAGTAGCGACCACCAGAGCCGACGGCCTCGACGATCATGAGGTACTTCTTGGAGGTTCCGCCCTTGACGGTGTAGACCTGGACAGCCTCGAAGAGGTTGTTCTGGCTGTCGCTCATGACGACAGTGGAGGCGGTACCGAAGTTACCGGGGAAGTTGCCCTGGGGCATGCTGGAGCGGTAGATCTTGCCGTTGTCACCGGCGAAGAACAGGTACATGTTGGTGCCGTCACCGATCAGGGTCTGGTCAATGGGACCAGTGCTTGAGCCAGAGATGGTACCGGAGAAGAGGGGCTTGGCCGCACTCCATCCGTTGGCGTTGGTGGGGTCGGAGGAGGTCTTGTAGGAGAAAGCGGTAGGTCCCCACTGGTAGGCAATGACCCAGGTGTTCTTGGGCTTGAAGAAGAACAGAGTGGGTGCGACGAGACCCTGGCTCATGGCGTTCTGGGGAGCAGATGCCAGCTCGTTGAAGTTGGAGACGAGGCCGAAGTTCATGGAGCCGTACTTGGAGCCGGTGTCGTGGTTGGTGGCGTAGACGAGGTGCTTGCCGTTGACCATCTGGGTGGTGAAGTCCTTGAGGTTGGCCCATCCGGACTTGGGCTGGGCAAGAGCGTTGGATGAAGTCCACTTGTAGCTGGTGGGAAGCTGGCAAGTCTGAGCTGAAGCAGTCGCGCCCAAGAAGGCGACGGCGACAGCGGGAAGGCTGAGGTCGGTAGGAGTGAAACGCATGATTGCTGGTGTGTGGAGAGACTGTTGAGTGAGTGAATGAGAGACTTGGTTGTGTGATGAGGCCTTACAGACGGACAGCAACAGGATACTTATACCTCCAAGCCTACTATCGGACCTATCAACCTACAACGTACACAGCCTGTCACGTCGTCTCCACTACGCAGACCACCTCGTTGTCTCGACCGATCACATTGGCCTCGGTCATAGCTCATCTCGGCACTGGAAATTGATCTCCATACCAAACATCTGATTACGGCATGGTATATTGTTCCGTTGTTGTGGGTATATTAATGACATGGTGTTTCAAGGGAATTGGCGTACCTGCGCGGACACCAATTCTCCGTAATGCGGGGATTGCCCGGCAAAGGGATGCCATGCCGCGTAGAAGCCCGGTTGGGGAAGGCGCCAAGTCGTGGTGGATAATGCTTAACTTCCATGCAGGCTTATGCGGCAACTAACGGTCTGATCGCTAGGGCTGAAGGCTCTATTTCGACGTCTTTCAGTCTCTTCGAATGGTAGTAACAAAGCCATGCGACCATTTTGTTTCAATAATTAGACGCGACATAGGGTGGACAGCTATGTTGATTGCTGGAAACAAAATCTCGGCGGTATTCCCACAAATGTGAGTGGTAGTTAGCTTTGTGATACAGAAACTGCCACCGGGTGTTTACCAGAATCCACTAATCGCGCCACTCAAGGTTTAGTGCCCGCTGTGACCAGATGTCAAAACACCGTGAAACACCCGGTGGCCGGAATCTAGAAGCAGGGTCAACAATGTCGGTGGCGCAACAATGCTGGTGGTGGCCAGGCCAGCGTTTGAACGATCGCAGGCAGCTCAGACGGGATCTTAGCGAGGTTGAAGTTGGCAATGCTTATGCTGCGGCGCATTGATACCCATCGCCCTGAGATCACTGCTACGTCAACGGACATGTGGATCATTGTTTCGTTCTAACTCGCGTGGCACAGTGGACGATAACGATCGGTTTTGCACCCCCTTGGAGTCGGTGAGTGATCTCGAAGCAGTTCTTTCCGTTCGCGCATAGACCATGAACCGACTGTAAGATTGTACGGAAGGCGTTCTAGATGGAGAGGACCTGGTCGCCGAGTAGACCTACCACCTACGCTACTGAGATTCTTCCAAGATCCGTGCGAAGACGAGGCGGTAGGGTCGGTATTCGACTAGACTCGCGGAATTTCTTTGCCCGTGAATATAACAGCGGTGGTGGGTGGCGCCACCGAGCAGTGCTGGCAGCCAAGTCACTTAGAACGTTGCCGAGGAATGAAAGCCGACCAGATGACCGACTCAATTTGGACTAGCAGTAGAGGCTGTAAGCTGACCGCTAGGTTCGGCGCGAGGACTAAATTTGTAGATTGAGCAAGTGAGTCCCTTACAGTGTTGGCATTTAGGGCGAGCTCTTGCGACAGTATCTCTCTGCGCTGGATATCTTGACACACAACTCGGCAGACGTCTTCATACACTCGGAAGCACGGAGCCTATCTTATGGGTACCTTCCGAATCCACTGTTCCCCATACCAAGCCTCGTAGGAGCCGTGTCGGAAGCTGGGCATCCCAAGACACTAGGCATCTCCCGTGGCTGCAGGAAACGTTCCCAAGACGGATTCTAGCATGGTTCTGGCGCTTAATATGCCCCGTGGGGAAGTAATATCGCTGTCCGGCAGTCGCGTGGTTGTGTCTATATGTGGCGTTCTGCCCAGAGACGGAATATTCAACGCCGCCCGTTGCATCCATACTGACGCTGGATGTGTCGTGAGTAGGCGGGACGAACACGCCTTGTCAAGAAAACTTTTGGGAAGACATCGTAATTGATCCCACGGTGCATTCTCGACGATGAGAGAGTTGGGTGTTTCCTTATTGCTCAAGGGTTTGTGTAGGGAATACAAGCACGATTTAGCCGTTGAGAGTTTGAGCAGGGGCACCAACAAGCAGGCCGATCGGAAAACACTACATATCACAGCTACGACGTTGAATATAAGGTCGCCTGTGAAAGGTACGATTGAGATGAGGAGTGAGTGCGCGCTGTAGTCTGAGTTGTAGACGAAGCGAGTGCTGACTCAGCCACTTCCCGTTCTAGGATGCATATGCTGAGGAAGGAACAAACTTTGCGCTTTCCTTATTCTCACATCTGACAGCTCAAGCTGTCGATTTGCAAGAACTTTGCTTGTTCAATATGGGTATTTTGTTCTGGTTGAAACGGTTGTTCCATTAGCAGATGTATAATAGTTTTGTATTACAGGCATCGCATACCCATCTATTTAGCCTCAAGAAAACCCCTCTCCCTAGAGGTTGACACTGCACGTAACAATCACGCTGTGTTGGAAGTGTGACAAGGTCGCAGAAGATGCTACTTCCGCCTAAATTATGCAGTTCCAGTAGCAGCGACAGAAACTACTTCTTTGGCAACCCAGCCTCGGTTCGGGATGATTTCAAGTCCTTCAAGCCCAGACTTTTGAGTACCGGACATGTAGATCGTATCGAACTATTTGTGATGCCATGCACGTTTCCATCCATCATCTGTGCCTAAAACAACGAACACTATGGGTTTCCGAGAATGTTAAAGTCGAAGGGGTTGTGTACTACAAAGCTGTCAGTTGATGGAACATAGTGGGAGCGGATATACGTACTCTCATGTATCGCTCAATGTATATATCCGCTTAGGCAACTTATTCTTACTACAAAAACACTTGCACACGCATGCGCGCGACTCCGTAGAGTGCCCCGCGCGTCTTCTGTGTATCGCACCTGTATCTTGACCATCTCAAAGATACACGCCATCGTCTCCCTCAGGCACCGGCGCATCACCATTCCTCTGCTCTCCCGCCGCCGTACCATTCGTCGCCGGAGCCACACTGCCATTCGTCGCAGCACCATCAAGCTTCTCCTCTTCGCGCGGCCTCCACGGCAGTCCCCTCACATCCTTGATCTCATTCTTGATTGCCTCCCTCCGCTCCTCAAACCTCTTCATGACCTGCTTGTTCTCCATCAGCGCCTCGTAGCAGTCGCGGTCGTCGTTTTCGCGCGCAAACTCTTCGAGCTGCTTGTTGCTCGATTCGAGATGGGTGAGTTGGTTGGTGAGTTCGGAGTATTTGGCGTAGAGCGATTCGACGGAGAGGTCTTCGAGGGCTTTGGAGAAGCGCGTGAAGGTTATGGGGGCGGCATCGGCGGACATGTTAGGTGGTCGTTCGAGAGTAGCGTGTAGTTTGAGGGTCTATTGGGTCCGCAGGCAGTAGCTGGACGTCAGTTGAACTATAGAGGTGGGAGAATGTAAGGTTTCATGAGTGAAGTTGTGGCGCGTCCGTGAGCCTCGTGCCCGCCTTGAATAGTGGGGCGAAGCTACCCCGCCACCGTCATACTGCTGAGCTGTTGCCTGGATGAGGTCCACAGAATCATCCACCGCTATTATGGATACTCAAATTTTGAAGTTGTACAAGGCCCTCCGATAGATATTTTGAGGGAATATAAATAGAATATTAACAAAACATGGCATCAATCAGTAAATGCATCTGCATTCTCTGGCACTTTGGCGTACGCTTGATCCGCTCTCTTACACAAGTAATGCTTACTAATTGAATCTATAGGGAGTGGTTAACGCGCTGGCCTGCTAGTCCTTCACAGGAAAGTTAGCCAGTTCCTTCGGGAGCGTGTGTTCGAATCACACAGGTGTCGCAATAAACCGATTTTTTGCACATCAATTTCTCATATTTGTAAAGATATCCTCTCTTTTTAGTCTGAACAGGTCTCCATAATAGCATTCAGGTTGTCCAGCGTAGAGAAATATCCTTTTGCACTTGTCGTGGACGTCTAATCTACTAGACCTCCACTAATATAGATAACTCTGATGTCTCAGTACGTGTATGCTGGTAGAATGTGATACGTGTCCATTGCTTTGATACATACTTCCACTATCTTCCAGGATTCATACCGGGCATCAGATCAGGTTTGTCGAGCACCATACCCCGGAGCAAGACCAGCTGCCTCAACCCCTCCCAATCATCACCCTCTTCATCACCTCGCCTCCACACTTCCTTGAACCCCCATGCGCATGCAATACGATCCAACGCCGCCCGCTCATCTTCCCTGATGTATCGATCGAGTAGCGGTACACCAGGCCGCCAGACCACTCGATCGTGGTGATCGTTGTATGTTGTGAGGGCAACGAACCCGAGCGTGCCCGTGCACAAGACATATGTGCTCATGCCCATGAAGGCATACAGCTTGAAGGTCCACGGATCGATGAAGCCACTGTATACGGAGAGTTCCTGGGCGATCATGTAAAGAGCGAGTGGCGTGAGACCCACCAGCACTCCTGGCAAGCCCATCTTGGTGAGTATGCGATGCCGCCGCCATGCAGGAGCGCGGTAGGTGTGGTCAACGACATCTAGGGCCAGTGCCAAGTCTTTCGCATCGATGGCGGCCGTGAGCGCTGCGTCGGCGAGATCAGCTGGAATGACCTGCTTAGCCGACTTGGGCGAGGGCGTGGAGAACTTTGGTGGTGACGAGCTTTCAACTGGGACTGGTTTGTTGGCGTAGAGGTAGAGTGCCTCGGGGATGGTCTTTGGCCGGGCGAGTAGTCGCTGCAGGTGGATGTATATAGCGAGGACGTTTGGTGATAGAAAGACTTTCTCGTGCTTCAGGAGACGCTCAGCGAGCTTGGAGAGATACGATGGCGAGGGCAGAGCATCCAGTCCCAGCATTCTCGAGCTCTTTCTTTTCGCCGTCTCCGCTCTCTCATCCCCATCCAGTCCAGAGAGTATGGCGCCCGCTGAGCTCTGTCTTATTGCTGCCTTCTGTAGTTGAGGCTGGCGTGCGCGTATAGCGATGGCTTCTTGCGCAATACTGTCCAGTCCTTCAAACGCCTCCATTATAATGTGCTCCTTCTCGACCTTGGGTGAATTGAATATTTCCTGTATTCGGGCCTCCACCTGGGCAAGCTGGCTCTTCAACGCCGCAATTCTGTCCGACGTATGTAGACCGCCATCGTCGCGCGTATCAATCGCCGCTGCCGTCCGAGGTGTTGTCGCGATGCTTCGTACAGATATACGGGGTGCCAGAGTCGTGGTTCGCGCGTTTTGCCGCCGTATCGAGGGTGTTCGGAGGGACGATGTGGACAGGAATGCGCGGCGACTTGCAGGCTGCTGCAATATGTAGTCGCACAACTGACATATTGGCCGCGACTGTGCGCGCATTGGCAGATTTCCAGGCTTCATGGCGCTGGTGGCGGTATCGTGGATTGCGATCTTTAAGTCGTTGCAGGCACGTTGCTTGGGTGCTTGGGTGGGAATTGACGATCAAAGCTGCTTATCGATAGGACCGCGACCGAACGTTGGAGAGGCAGTCAAGTCCTAGCAACATCACGTAGCCTTCACACTTACTTTGCGGCTGGAAGCAACTTGGCTATATTGGGAATTGTCATCTCGAGACCAGATCCGCTATCATGAACGCTACATGTGCCCTGGAAGTCACTGGCCGTCGAGACCACGCAACCTCCACCTGCACCCGAGGCCTACAATTGATAGTAATTCGACCTATCATGACCGGCAACACTTACGGGCGTAATTGAATGGAGACGAAGTCTTATACCATTGCAATTGATATCTACTGCGGATGGACGCCTTTCGATGAGTCACCCGCAGGCGTGGCTAACTAAACGTACCTCGCTTCGTAACAACGGCCCTTGCCTCAACACCAACTACGCAGCAGTGTCATCAACGTCTGTGAATGTATGCTTCATCAGATATTTGAATGCGCCAACGATGTATCAGCAATTCGAACAAGCGCGAGAGTGCGCCGAACGCGATCTAAAGCAGTAAGTGCTGCAACAACCGTCAGCTCCCAAAGTTAATTACGGCCATAGAGCCAGTCTCAACTGTAAAATCCACCTCCGGAATACCGCATCTGAAGATGATGTGGATGAGAGACTGCGTCGCTATGACCACTTGACAGATGTTTTACATGCAGCAATCCTTCGCTACACAAATGCTGCAAACATGGACGTCGTCGCACGTATTTTGGATTTACCGCGAGAGCTGCGGGACAACATCTACATGCAGTTATGGCAACCTGGCGAGAAACGCGATCCGACTCGCAGTGTAATCTGTTGGTGGGAACTATTCCATGAGCCTTGGTTCAGTGTAGACCACGATCCCGACACACCAGCAGGGCTATCAATGCTGTACATGAACCTTCGACCACCTCATTTCATCGACAGATCTTTCGTAGGACCCGTTCTCGCAAAAGAGGCCCTCAAACTATTCCGAGATATCGTGGGGAAAGACCTGCGCCCAATTGACGACAAAGATCCTGTATCTGAGTGCCTATTGCTCGACACATCCGTGGCGGACTTTGTAAGAAAAGACGTATTTGGTGTTGGGTTTACCATGGAAGAGTTGGTACGGAATCTAGATCTGCGTGTGACTTTTCAGTGCGACGCCCTGACCGACAGCGAATTCTACGAGATTCAGAAAAGCAAAACACACGATCAAGGGTCGCTCACGACGGACGCAACGGCTTATACACGAGAAGACTATCTTTCAGAGATCAATGACGGCGTCACGGCTTTGCTGGGCATTTCACACACTGAACGTGTTACTACTCACAACGAACACTGTCGCCATATGCAGACCCGAGCTAGAGTTGTCACCTTGGCTATAAGACAAGAGGAAGATTTTGGCCCGACTTGGGATGATCCTCCGCGTTTTCTGAAACTTGTCGCCCGCGCCTACCACGGTCTGAGGGCAAAGGGTTTCACAGTCAAGGTCCAGTACTACAGTGAAGAGATTGAGCTCAAGGTACTCTTCGAAGACGACGTCTGGGAGTGGACGACCAATGATTGGGAAGAGAACCTGATTCGGAAGAACACATTTCCAGGACTAGCTGACGGCAATTCACCCCAGAGGTACGTCTGGGCTCAACTCCAAGAACATGTATTCCGACATCCAGACAACGACAGCCTCACCATGTGAAGGAAAGACCTACTCAGGGACTACAGATGCACTAGGGATGCATCACAAGCTCGAGCTACTTTTGGAGAACCGTTGCGCGGGTCTGACATACGCCTGGGCAGCCAAAGTTGGACTTGCCACGTTGATCCCGACGCATGTTAGGTATTCTTGGATTCAGTTCGTCAGCTATTCGGCTTGGATGACGACTCCGAATCCATGCCCGGCTCCTGGGTTTCGCCTGAAAAATTCCCGCTTCCGCTCTTGCTACCGCCATCAACCTCGCTGCTCACAATACCCCTACTATCTCCAAACGTCGCAGCAAATTGCACAAGCAAATGACCATGCTTCACACTATCAACAATCTCTCTCGGTTCCACGCCAGCTCTGATCCTCGCCAGGATCTCATTCGCGTCCTCATCCGGTAGCGACTTGAGCAACTCGAACAACTCTTCCAGGTCTTGATGTTTACGTTTCGACTGAGTATTCTCCGTTTCCGTGTACTGGCAGTGCGAGTCGCGGGACGTGCATTCACTGCAACTGGGTCGGTCGCCGTTACACTAGGGATTCAAAAGATCAGAAGGCTACATTGCCGATGTTGCTTTATTTACATGCAATGTACTAGGTTGGTGGGTACCTTGGTTTTTCGACTTCTGCAGGCTGCACAAGCTAGGGACACGCGAGCTCGCTTCGATTGTGTGGGCGGAGCCTCAACTCTCGGTGAGGCTACAGGGAGGAGAGGGCGTAGAGGGCGTGCCGTGGCACTGTCGCCGGAACTAGCTGGACTGGCCTGCTGCGGTTGCATTACGCACGAGACCAGAACCAGACAAGGGCTACTTGATCTTCCTCTGTTTAGTAGAAACCTGCAAGCAAGCTACCAATCCAGACGATGAGAAGGCTTCAGAACAAATCCCTACGAGAGCATAAGGAAGAGAATAGGATGTAAACAATTGTGGGCAAAAAGGTTTGAGCGATCGAAAGAGAAGGGAGCCGGAAATGTGCATAGAAGGACACACACCAGAACAAAGGAACATTCGGGAATTGGATTGACTGTACTTGTACAACTATAGCCGACTGGGTTTATCAGAAAACAATAAGACTCACCCTCGCAAAACATCATTAATACCCACTCGCTCCGCCGCTTGCGGACCAAACGTCTTCTCGATACGAATTCCTTGATCTTGCCACACATCTGTGATCCCTCACGGATATGTAAAAAAGTCGCTAACCAGGCTATCCGCCAATCGCGTTGCCTGTAGTGTTGCGTCTCGCCACCGAGTCACGGACCCTGCATACCCATCGCTGCTGATAAACTAAGCCTGAAGTGTTTACTATGGGGCTTTTCGATTCGTAGTCGTCCCAAATGCGATTGTTGGAATGGGGGGTTGTTCCTGATTATGGATTTTTGGCAATTTAGCTGGTACTTTGGCATGTGGAAAGTGCGGTCCAAGGAAATGGGTCGCACTTTATTTGCCCGATGGTAATTGTATTGGCTGGTGCGTGTGGGTGCGTTTGCCGCAGTGGGGTTTTGGCTACCAGGTACTGCGACTGCCACTCATGATGTTGTGTTTCATCGCCGATTGTAAATAATCTTTGCGACCTTCTGATGCTGGGGAGGGTGTGTTGGCGCTGATGCTACATTCCAAGCGTTATAAGCGCCGGTTACAGGCATTTGCTCCTGCCTTGCACTGCCTAGCATGACATGACATTTCGTTGAACTTGAGACACTACACCTATATTCGCAGCTTCCAAGCATTCTGCTAGCTTACCCGTACATCCTTCTCGAATGACAGGCTTGGTTTGTGCTAGAAGCTGCTGATCTACGAGGCCAAGGCCACAAACTCGCGAGATTTGCCCCCCTGGTTTTTGTTCCCGCCGCCAGTGACACCAACAACAAGAAGGATGCATGCACAATAGATTGAAACGGGCATCATCTTGACAAGAAGACTCCAAGCTGCAAGCGCAAACAAGTCAAGATCCATACAACAAGGTTTTTAACTAGCATAATCGTACCGAGAACACCCCCTTTCAATCACCACATGCATTCTGGCCATACCTGGCCACACCTACGGAATCCGGATCCGAACCAATCCCCTCCACCGACCCACAGCAATCTTAAAGAGGCAATCCAATTGCGTCAAAAGAAAAAGGGAATGCATTTTACGTCTTTCCACACCAGCAAAATGTTCCGCGGAGCAAGCAGCCCGAATCGCAATGACTGTTTTCCTCCCAAGACCGCAGTCACACTACCCGAATCTGCCGCGATCGGATCGGAATATGGGCTGCGCCAATGGGAAGCCAGAGATGTGCCGGAACGACACCCTAGTGGAGCGCGGGAGTTCGTGCCGCTCTTCGCGAACAGACACATGGGAGGGAAGCTAGGGCCCGGTGGAGTTTGCAGAAGTAGGCTGTGGAGACTACTGTGGCCTGTTTGTGGGCCGATGGTTCATGGGTGTCTGAATGTGTTTGCACTCGTAGTGTGAACCTGCGATGGCAAATACCGTGAAGGGGAAATTTGGCTGGCTTGGCTGCTGGACGACGCTGGTTGCCTCGTCACGTTTGGAGTGGTACTGAGTATTTGTAAGCGAGATTATCATTGATTGCTGTCACTTTTCATGTTCAAGACGTTGGAGGGTAACGATTGTAGAAGGAGATATGTATTGCTAGGGCGTCTATGATATAGTGTTAGCGTAGGACCTGCAACGACTCCTACTGTACGAGCCTTGGATGCTTTGAGTACTTCGTTGCAAGTGGGCGAGTCATCATCCATTATGAGCCGCGAGTCAACGACCTCGGGGTTTCGGCGTTACTATACTATGAAACTCATGACAAGATCTGGAATATCTTCGTAAAATGCTGTTCCCCATCTCGCTTGATCCGAATCATCACCACATCAATACTCAAAATCATCATCAATACTCGGGCCCTTGGTTTTGCTGACACTCTCTTGCCTCTGATACATCTCAGCAATCATGCGACTTGAGCTTGCTTGATCAGGTTTCTTGTCGTCTCTCTCCTTGATGAATCGGGGGAATCTCAGACTGACGCCCTTGCCGCCACCAGACACCTCATCCGCGGCAGCCCTATACCGTGGAGACAAGGTTAGATCGGCAGTCTTGACTTCCCAGACGTAGCGAGGCTCAAACCAGACATCGGGCTGGTCTTTGTTGCCGGTGGAATGAGTATAGAAGGGTTTGGGTCGGTCGATAACGATTTCGGAGAGCGTCTTGTGTAAAGTCTCGAGTATAGCTTCGGAGAAACCGGTACCGATGTTGCAGACTGTCTCGTACTTCTCGGTCGAAGGGTTGTAGCAGGCGAGAAGGAAGGCGCCATACCAGCTTGTGCGCTTACCCTTGCCGTAATACGCCCCCAGGACAACAAGATCCAGAGAGTCGCCTACGCCGGCAAGATAATCTTTCTTGACCTTGAGCCAATTCTGCGAGCGCTTGGACGGCTCGTAGAAGGATTCTGGTCCGTCCAGCATCTTTACCATGAGGCCTTCGCAGCCTTCCTTGACAGAGTCTTCGAGAAGAATTTGGATCTCTTCCAGCTCGTTGGTGTTGCCATACTTGGCGAGTGCGAACTCTCCTTCAATAGGTATAAAAGCTTCATTGAGATGCTCACGGCGCTCACGGAAGGACTTTGTCACGAGAGCCTAGGGTTGTTAGCGACAATGCAATGAGTAGGGATCAACAGGCTTACCTCGCCGTTCAAGTAGAGGAGATCGAAAGCGAATACGCAGACCTTGACCTTCACGTCCTCGACCTTGACATCTTTCCTCTTTCGCGTCATGAGCTGCTGGAATGGCAACACCTTCTTCTCCACCATGTCCCAAGCAACCGTTTCGCAATCAAGGACGAAGCTCTGAGTGCCTTCCTTTACCCAGGTAGGTAGCTTAGCAAGGATATCAGGGTATTTTTTGGACAAATCTTCAGAGTTCCGCGAGAAGATGTTGGAAACACCGCGGTCGCTCTTGCCGGCAGTAGGAGCCGCAGTTGCCAACTCCATCTTCGCGTCGTGTGATACGAAGTGTATTTGGGCACGCTCGCCATCATACTTGTACTCGCAGGTAAAGTCTTTGCCTTCGAAACGATCCAACACTTCTGTGATTGACTTTGTCGGTTTAGCAAGCATAGGTTTGAGCGGTACACCAGGTTGCAGGCGGCAGTTCTCTCGCAGGTTCATGATACCGTGCTCAAGCATAGCGGGTATGATGACTTCGTAGCTAGGAAGCTCACTGTAGACGGTCTTTAGCGTGGCTTCGGCCTTTGCCAAGTCTTCGGTCGATGGCGTCTTGCCCTCTTTTGACATCTCATGGAAGATCATAGCTTGTGCGACGGCTACCACCACAGTCCTCTCAGCAAGACCCAGTCGAAGCTTTCCCTCTAGTGTCCGGACGATGAACTTGGCTTCGCTAGGTCCACCTTTGTCTTTTTCAATGTCGACTTGCTTGCCAGAGTTGTGCGCATCAGCCGCTGATAAAAGCTTCTTGATGCCGTCCACCTTGCGTCCTTGGGCGCCTTGCCCTTCAACAGTGGCAATTCCCATTAGTCCCTTGCGAACGCCTTCTATCGTCAAAGCCTTGGGCTTAAACATAGTAGGCTGTTTGGATCGACTCTTCGCTGCAACGAGCCCAAGATCACCGATCTCGTTCTGGTCGCTCTTGATTTGTTGTAGATTGCGGCCAGTACTCTCGGAAACAGCCTTCATGATCAGAGACTCGCCAATACCAAGCTCGATGCCTGCGTAGTCGGCTGCGAGCTTGTTGACCATAAGCATGACAGTTGGGAGCATGTCGGATGGTGTCAGTCGCAAGACTTGGCGGAGGAAGAGTGAGCAGTGGGCGAGAATCTCCAGACGCTTCGTCGTCATTTCGATCTTCGAAAACGTTGTGCAGAGTGCGGCGTATGGCACTGACTCGCCCGGTTTCCAGTCAGGATACGGGTCCTTGGTGTTGGATGAAAGCGTTGTCTGAACCTTCTTCCTCGCCTTGATCTTGACCTCTTCTGGCTCCTCCTCTGAGCTCACGATCTCTTCCCCTTCCTTGTTCGAGTCGGCATCATCCTCGGGTACAGGTGACGATTTTGCCTCTCTTTTCTTGCCCTTAGCGACCTTGGCCGGTGCTGACACTTCTTCGTCGTCTTCCTCTGGGGTTGCAGCTTTCGGTTTGGCAGCGGCCTTCTTCGACTTTGCTGGTGCTTTATCGGCCTTGGGCTTCGCAGCTGCTTTCTTCGGCTTTTCCTCCTCCTCCGCGGGCTTTCTCCGTTGTCTTTTCGATGGGGGTTCTTCTTCAGACTCCTCCTCTTCCTCTTCTTTTATTTGCCTCTTCTTTCCAGTGTCGGAGGTTGTGCTGTCGACTTCCATCGCATCCTCGTCTGCCTCTACCTTCTCCTTGGCTGGTGCTCTGACGTCTGCATCTGAATCCACATCGTCATTCTCTTCTTTCTTCACCTCTTCTGGCGACGATTTAGGCTCTTCGTTGACCTCTACGTCTTTCTTTGTAGGCTTCGGCCTCGTGGAGAAGGAGAGTTTCGACTGTTGCTTCGCTGCGTCGCCGTTGGGTTTCCCGAAGAACTTTCTGCAGACATTGTCAGCATTGTAAAGTAATGGTGCAGGAACAATTGAATGCTGTCGCCGCACCCTAAAGTAGTCTGAGAAGACTTTACATACCCGAGAGTGGCCTGCTTGGGAGCCATGGCTACGAAAGTGCGAGTGTCGTGTGCGCCACCAGGCTGCTGAGGGAAATTGGAGCGTAGGAAGATGGCAGATGACTGAAGCAACCGGATTGAGGGCGATGCCTTCAAATAGAGTCGGGTTGTTGAAGGGCAACAGGCAGCGAAGCGGAGGAGCATAGTGTTCCAGGCGGCAGGCGCGTCCACGGGTATCAAAGCGCGCCTCCTACGCGCTTGCCAAACGCGAACCTCGAGCGAGCGGACCCTTGCTGATATGGCGTTGAAGGGAAAAACGAAATAGGCGCCTTGCAGTCTACATTATATTTAAAATACAGTTTTTCTGAAATGCAAAGGCAATATAGCCCTCTCCGCTTTTTCTTTCTCTATGGTTTTACTTTGTAGAGGTAGTTGTCTAATATTTCCCTTGAATGGGGTGCTGACATCATTACACGCCATGGACTAGGCGGCATCTCCAGCATTGACATTTGACAACTTTGCAACTCTACAATACCTTATACACTAATATTAACTGTTTTCAAGCTGGCGAACTACTTTTGGAAACGTTCGGAGCCGTCTACTTCCACCACCCCCTCTCAGCCATCGCCGCCGCCCAAAATGTCTAAACCATCTGCGCAACCTCGCCTCACGCCACAATTCTGCTTCAACCAAACCGCACTGCGAGGTGAGCACCCTCATAAACTTGCTAGCCAGCTCACTAACTAATGCGCAAGTCGGCTGAAACAGACTTCCTTCGCATATCACGCGGCGCAATCGACGACTCCATAGCACAGAACCTCAACGCCCTCCTCACACCAGCACAACGCGGCTTCGATCCTACTTCTACAAGCACACGACAGCTGCCGTCGCCCGATCACGGTCGGTCGCTACAGCCAGAGCAATGTGAGGGGTTCAAAGAGAAGGTGCTGTTTCCAAGCTGGGCAGTGCGATCAGACGTCTTAGACTACTGCGCGGGTGTCGCGACATCACCAGACCCAGACGACCCAGATAGTGTACTACGGCAGATTGAAGACGCCAAAGCGAGAGAGAGGACTGTAGATGAGCGGTTAGATCCATACTCGGGACGCTACTTCCCACAGGAGGCGAGGACAGAAAGCTTGGCTATGCTCATGCGCAATGAGAGGGCAGTGGAGAAGATCATACGGATGAGGACGTGGAGTATGCTGGGTGAACGGTGTGGCATGACGAGCGAGTCTGCTGAGGTGGCGTTTGACAAATGGAGGGATACACAACGGCGATGAGGTGGGCTTGTGTAGACGATGCATAGATTCATACATAGTGTGATGGAGCATACAATCTCTTCTCTTCGCATATCGAGACGCAGCCACAAGGACTGGGTAGAGAACGTGAGGTGCAGCCAGCTACAGGGCCGATCCCGCGCCACCAAGCGCATAGAGAGCGAACTGCATAGCCCAGCTCAATCCTGACCTTGCCCGTAAGGAGTACAGCAACTGCAGTCATAGTTCACTCAGGTGTTGCGTGTCGGTAGAACATGACGATCCAGGGTGTCGCATCGCGCTGAGCTGAGCTGGTTCGAGATGCCCTACAAAAGCTTCGAAAAGTTCTGCGCAACGACTGGCACATAAAGCAGAACAACAGGGCAGTAGTCAAGCGCTGAAGCATCATCTTAACGAGAACTTCGACGAGGCGTCTGTGCAAAGCAATTTCTTCACGAAACAAAAGGTGTCCCACACCATCCCACAACTCCAATCCATCTTTTCACGGATAATTGCAATTGGTAAGGAAGACGGGCGGATATCGATCTACGGGGCCGGGAACGGAGAACTGTCCACAGAGAATGGAGGGACAACTCTCAGCATGCCACTTGCGTGGAGCCACGATTTTTACATAGGATGTAGATTTCCTAACTGATGATGAGAAAAGGAAGGGAGGGACGGAGGTGTGCGTGGTTTTGTATGCGGTGCCAAGGAGCTAGAACTTAGATTAGTCAGCACTGCGCACAGAGGATCGCAGGTTTGGATGGGAAAAGTTCGGTGGTGGGGCACGCGGCGGGAGAGGTTGGTAGAGTGGGCGTTGGCCGTGCGAGGTGAAAATTGGAGACGGGAGCGCGAATATCAGCCTGTGACGGGATAGCTTACGTTCAAAGTGAAGGCCGAGACTTCAGTGACGCCATTCAGATTCATCGCATGCGCAGGTTCAGGGTAGAGGTCAAGGCTCAATCATAGTATGGTTTCACGGCAAAGACAATAGTCATGGGTTCATGCATGCATTCAAGCTAGCTAGACCCATTGTTCATTCCATCGAGATTCCGTAAGATCGTGATTCATGACAAGCCGTCTTTCGACAGCTCGCCATGACGTAACCCAGCAGACGTAACGACCAACTCTCTAGTAGAGACGCTTGGGGGGGCTCATGGTGGCCTTGATGGTCAAGGAGCCCACGTTCTGCCATCCCTTCTTAAGAAGCGAGACGAGGTAGTTGATGGCCAACATGATGTTACCGATCAGCTCGTCCTCGGTCATGCCAACGTTGCCGATAGCGACACCCATGCACAGAACCTTCTTCAACTGGAACTTGATGGTGGACTTGACTTCGTTCATCTTGTTGGCGAGGTCCTCGGCGTGGGAGACGGGCGTGGGGAACTTTCCGGCCTTGGAGAGACCGGGTCCGAGGAGACGGGGAATCTGCTTGATGAGGGCGTCGGAGGCAACGAAAGCGTCGTACTTCTTCGCGAGCTTCTTGATGAGCTTCTTGTTCTTGTTGAGCTTCTTCAAGTCCTGTAGGATTGTTAGATTTGTCTAGGCTGAGGACCTCAGAGAGTGCTTACATCAGTGCTCATGGCATCGACACCATGGTGCTTGGCACGGTCAATGTCGTGCTGGTCACCGAGAACGCAGATGCTCATGCCTGGAACTTGTTAGCATGCGCTTCTCATCTGCGCACCGGTATCGACCTACGAGGACGGGGAAGGGTGGGAAGCTTGATGGTTCCCGAGAAACGCTTGTCACGCTGGGGGTCGTAGTTCTTGAGGCCGATCTGGAGCTCGACGGTCTCAAGGAAGTTCCTCTTCTTGGTCTCGTTGGAGTACTCAAGGAGCTGTTGAACGTTCGTACGAACGCCGGCGACAGAGATTTTCGACATGTTGGCTGATGTGTCTCCCAGAGGATATCGTTTCCTTTGGTGGCTCTGTAGCGGTGGTGGTTGAAGAAGAGGGAAGCGAAAAGTGGCGGCCGATTTGTCGCTTGACTGTGGCCGTTTCGCCGCTAGCGAGGCCTGCGCTAGTCTGTTTTGGGCGACTGATCGCATTGTCACTTTCCAAGGTTGACATGGAAAATGACATCTTCTACATGCACATGTTCTCTGCAATAGACATCGCCGTCAAATTGTGTCCTAAAAGCATATGTCACATGTCGTTCCACGCATACCCCAGACGAGTTGCATCGAATACCTTCAGGTCACTTTTGGCACTCATGAAGAGTACATCACAACTAGCTCAAACAAAGTATCAATGAAGCATGCTCCTGCATTCCTCGCGTGCATGAAGAAAACAATATATGATACTGTACACTTGACTTTTCCTCCTGGAATCCGTGCATTGATGAGTGCACTACGCCATGCAATGCCCGAAAACTCCTCGCCATAACCATGAGAGTAAGAAGAAGAGAGTTAATAAACGCAAGTGAAAGGAGTAGCACCTGCACCAAGCACAGTGTTGCTACGGGGTATCCCGTGTGAGAAACCCTAACGCCGTAACCGTCCACCATTTTCGTAAGCCTAATCCGATCGCAACTGAGGGGTATGTCGTCTACGCGTGCTGCCGCGCCAAATGAAGCAAAAGCCGAAGCTAGAAATATACAAAAGGCGAAGGAGAGGTATTCAAGATCATCGAAGGTACCTGTGCCAGATTTGCAGAGGAGGTGTTTTGTGCTCCCCCTTGCATGTCTCCTAGTGCATGAGCTGCTGGTTGTTGGCGGCATCGACGACATTGTCGGAGAGGTTGATCAAGAGCTGAGCAAGACAGCGCTTAGTGGCCGCGTCATCTCGGAGAACAGAAGAGAAGGTGGCGTCACGGAGAGGTTCTGGTAAGCACTGGCGAAGCGCCTCGCGAGCACGAGCGTTGTCGCTCAAGCTGGTAAAGTTAATCACAAGTACAAAAGACGGACATGGAGTGTGCGTACCGAAGGAAGCATCTAACAACGTGCTTGAGCAGGCGAACGGTTTGCTGTTCCACAAGCTGGTTGACCATGTTGCTGAGTACGGTGCCGACAGCATAAAAGCGCTCGTAGGTCTGACAGATGTAGGCAAGACCGATGTCGTCTAGCAAGATCTTCTGGACGATGAAGATTGCCACTGTCTTGCTGAGCTCCGAGCCAGTCTCCATGATACGAAGGCAAAGCGGGATGATCTCAGTTGTGAGGAGGAAGTTAATCACTTCACTAGAGTCGTTCTTCACAAGAGCGCCAATGACACCGAGAGATGTAAGACGCAGGTATTCGAAAGGCCGCGACTTGGACGTTGTGTTGAGGAACGGGTAAAGGAAGAGTGGGATGTGCGCTGTGAGTGCATTAGCTACGTCGCCTCGGTGTGGTGTCTGACCTACCGCTTAAGAATAGGCCGCGAGTTTCGGTATGAGAAGCGACACACTGGAGAAGCGCAAGAGCGTTGCAGACACGGTTACTAGCAGCGGCGGTCAATTGCGAAGGGTTGAGCAATGGGTAGACGGAGATGATCTCTTGGAGGAGCGAGGCCATTACACCTGGAGTCGTTAGTATCCCGTCGCATTTCGACAACACAATACCCGTACCGAAAGAGTGCCAGAGGATCAGAGCCAACTCAGGAACTTGTTCTCGCTTCTTACTCAATTCAAGAAGAGCAGCCTCACGCGTGGTAGGCTTCATGAGCTGGGCTATCCACTCCAAGACGCGCCTGTTCTCCTCTGTCATTCCGATATCGGTGGTCTGGACGTCGTTCGCGGGTCCGCGGGGGACGGCGTTGTTGCCGGGAAGGGCGGTGCCATTGCTGGCGGCGAGTTGTTGGTGGTACTGGCGCTGCGCAGCCGCCTGGACAGCCTGGGCCTGGTGTTGAGCGTGCAGCTGGGCGGCCTGGGCTTGATGTTGACCGTGCTGGCCTACATGGTGCTGCGGTTGCTGGTGATGGCCATGGGCTTGAGCTTGAGCGGGCCAGTCGCCGTACTGCTGCTGCTGCTGCTGCTGTTGCGCGAGGAAATGTTGCATTGGCCGCGGTACCGACAGGTTCGTATTGGTTGAGGGGTAGAGGTAAGATAAGAAGGTTTGCGCGACTTTATATAAGTCGCGAGACAGTAGTGCTTTCGGGTCACGCGGTGCACGTGGGAAGTCGGACGTGGTGAGAGATGTTGGGTTCGCAGTCAGTAGCCGGGACGTCAAGTGTGTAGTGAGTGGAGGGTATGTAAGGCTTGGCGGGGAGAGTTGTGGCCTGGCGGTTGACCCCTGTCGCGCGATCGGGCAGTGGCGCTTCAACCAAAACACTTTATAGCAACCGCCCGCCAACGGCTCCACCACCGTCTGAAGGCGAGCTCCAGTCTCAGGGCGACAAACACGGAGCAGAGCTTGTAGATGACCCGCCTTCTTGTAAACAGCATCCTAACGAACGGCTGAACCTAGCAGAAGACATTAGTTCTGGGACTAAACAATACTATACAGTTTGTAAACCCCAACGCGACAAGTACAAGAAGGTTGATGCTAATTAACGCGGCGGAAGCAGAAAGGTTAATGCAGATCAACCCAACCCCGGTGTCGCTACTAATACTACTAATACTGTGTCTATTCCAGCCCATGTAGCTAGAGCTCCCTTAGACCGCTCTTCAACTGCGCAAGAGCTCTAGGATCTACGCAAAAAACACGGCGCAGAGCTTGCAGATAACTCGCCTTTTTGTAAAACGCATCTTACAAAATAGCTTAATCTAGCCGAAGATACCCATTCTTAGAAGCAATACTATGCAAATTGTAAACATGTACGCGAAAGGCGCAAGAAGGATAATGCAAATCGACCTAACAGGAACCACAATCGCGACAAGAAATCCAAGCGGCCCTATAGTGCTTTATCGGCCCCAGCAATTGCACGCTATCTCAACGATGTAGCCCGCAAGGTGACCACATCCTTGTTGATCAGAATGCTCAGAATTATGAACATTAACACAATACGTTTCAGCTTGGGCATGGAAGATGGTATGCCTTTGGGGATCGAAACCCTTCAAATGCGGAGGAGTTCACGCAAATATGAACGATGACCGTTGTTGCCCCCACAATGCCCCGATCTTGTGTTCATGCCGTACCAGTGGGATCAGAAGCAGAAACGTAGCTGGGATTCCACATCTGAGCGCGAAAAACACAGTTTTGCATATCGCCCTAAGAGTGCACCACCGGACTTTGCACTCTGTGCGCCAATACGTCTGCTTTGTCGAAGCAATTTCTCCGGACAGTGGAGCATATTGCACCCAGATGACGTTTGTGTCATTCTGATCACGTATGAAAATGTGCAAAAGGGCGTGGGTACCATTGGGAACCCGGACGCATCACCTTTACCAAATCTGCGCTGTGAGTATCGAGTTGATACACTCGTATTCGTGGATATGATGTCTTTGGATATCGCGCCGTCACTAATGCCAAACTCCATTGCACGTTATTCAAGAAAAGATCTGAACACCCTGGAGCCTACGTTGACGTCAGATCATCTACTTTGCATATTTTCATCTTGATGTAGGCTGCAAACCTGTACAGCTTCTTCCTTGTATGAGGTGATTGTGCGTATGAATTGGGCGTTGGCATCTAGAAGCAGTTGAGAGATATGTGCTTCTGCCAGATATCCGCGGGCCGATGGAAGACGCATGATTTGAGCGATGAGATTGTCGAACAGTATAGATGTCGACATTGTTGTGGTAGTGATTGAGTCTATTCTGTCCGACCCTGCAGATTTCGTTACTGAGGAGTACCGTCGTACCTGGAAGGGTTTCATGTCATCCCGACCTATTTAATTACTGAGACCTTTGGATCATTTCACTGATCGATAGAGATTAATGGGTGACGATGTTCTTCGTAAAGTAGAGTGGCTCAGTGCAGGTAAGGTCTAACATGCACTGTGGGGCCTTACCAATACTGCCATCTTTTGTAGATCGTGCGACTCGCTCATCAGTTTCTGAGGTTCCGCAATTGAACTTTAGTACTCGGGAAGTCGTAAACATACCGACGGGCAGCTCTCACGCGACAGCCGCGCCGTCAAGACTCTCATCACCTCCCTGAACACCGTCCGCGGGCTCAGGAAGCAAACAAAAGATATTTAGCAGCTGTTGTATGAGTCCTATCTTGCATCGATTGCCGAGATCAAGAAAGTCTGGGATATCCTGAACGCCTGGAGCGCTGACGCTTGCGACCGAAGCCGGGGCTACATGAACCACGCCATTTATCGCTGGCAACATAGTCCAGCAGGATGCGGCGGATCGGTATACATCTCTCGAGGAGTTCTTCTTGCCAGGACTCCGTCATGTGGTTGGAATTGAGTAAGCAATCGTAAGTGAAGACTTTTGTTATCGGGAACTCACACGTACAGCGTGACTAATATATACGATAGACCAAGGATGCATATCTCTTCATCCTGACAAGATGTTCTGGTACTAGCGATATCGATAGCAACGATGGATTGTAGGTCAACGACGATCCTCAAAGCCGCAGGGTGGTACCGGTATGTCTGATATATCCTTGTCAAAGGCAGGCGCTTCTGAAGGACCATCTGTATTGAACAAGACAAAAGGAATGGACGCGGCCTTATCTCGTCAGCTCCGTGGCCTGTCTGTAAACGCAGGGCTTGCTAACAAGGGGTTGATATCTGGTCCGAACCGAGGAACCACCGCACGCTCGCTTGCGCCTGAACCTATTCGATCACCTCCACCTCTCTCGCCGGCGCTGTTGTCTAATAACTGGCGCGCAACAGCTCGTCCAGAAGACTCCTCAACAGCGCGTCCACACGCCATCTCATCGGACTGAAGGGGTCGTCCCAACGAGACTGGGTCTACGCCGCTCTCAGGCTCCAGCACTGTTGGACGATCCAATGTCTGCCTGACCTTCGGCCGCCTACGGCCGCCTACGGCCTGGCATGTCTCTGTAGTGATGGAACTGTATACAGACAGCCTCACCATGGTAAAGCTGCTGAGACAGCTATATGTTGCCAGTAGCTGCACCTGATTCACGGCAAGGGCCCAGAGCGAACACACTCCGCAAGAATAGTCAGAAAGCTAATCAACATTTATAGAACGAGATCTAAGACCTTCTCGTCTCGTCTGCTACCAACCGCTCGAACCCCTACTGAAGAATAACAGAAGAATAAACATATGAGATTCGTGGGTGTTGTAACCCGTAAACGGTGCTTCAGCAAAACCCTCCACACTAAAGAATTACAACTCACATAACAAAGCTCGTAGAAGTGAACATGCTTACCAATGCCGAGAATAATCAAAACACGCCTAAACTCCTTCCCTGTCTCGACTAGACTATCAGAGTCTTAGCTCTGATAGAATAGTCTGAGCCATATTCTTGTATTGCCATGTACCCCCATCCACCTTCTTAAACTGGATGCCGTGCAGCGTCAACAGCGGAACCTTGACGATCAAGATCTCGAACACCAGACTCATGCTAGAGCCCATGTCGCTCTGCACCTGCGTCGATGTTTCGCCCGCCGCTAGTGCGCGTCTTGGTCGTCGCTCGTCCCGTTCTTCGCTGCCATCAGACTCGTCGGTATTCGTGTAGCTTTGATCCGCAGGCGATGGCCGTGATCGCGATTTCGGTGTCCCAGGTGCTCGGTGATTGTCTCGGAACTCGTCACGATCTCTGTCACCACCCATGAAGCCCCCGAAACTAATCTTTCTCTTGTGCCCACCACTCGGTGGGGACGCTGGCGAATCCATGGGTTTGTTCATGTCGATGCTAGGCGCATGTCGGCATCGGAAGCCACCTTTGACTTCGGTCCACTCAACACCAAGCTGGTCGAGCACCCTTATTAGATCATCCTGAATGATAGGAAGTGGCTTGGTGCTCGTCGTTGAAACGCTGAAAAGACCTTTGAGGAACACAGGCTTCACAGCATCTGGACTCCGACTAGCTTCCGCTTGCGCTTCTGCAAGCTCTGCATCTGTCTCTTCGGGTACGTTGGCTTCCTTTGCTGCCTCCCTCTTCATTCTCCTCGCTTGAATACTTTCTCTCCGCGCATGGCCAAGCGATTTCGCCCGGGAAGCTTGCATGGGCCGTGGGCTAGAAGTGAGATCGTCGGAAGCAGCATCGTTGTTTGGTCGAACTTTGTTTGCGCTCAGCTCGGACCTGTCTGTTCTGTCTGATCCACTCGTGGGCGGAGGGTTTCCAGGGTCTTCCGAGGATCGACCGCGTCGACTGAGTCGTCTCCGGAGATCAGCCGAGTTGACGCTGGTGGAGCGGCCGAGTGCCTTTAGTTTCCGCGCAGCGCTGTTGCCAGTCCCGGGAGGTGAGAGTAACTCGGGCTGATTGTTGGCGCTGTCAGGAAGATACGAGGCAGAACCCCCTTCGCGACCGCGCGGTCTTCGAATGCTGAAGCTCTTTCTCGGCACTGTGGCTGGCGCTGGCGCCGGTGCGGGTTCGGCGGGACTGGAAATTGCGACTGCTGGAGTAGGTGGAGGCAAGGGCTCAACGGTCCGGTCCTTCTCATGACTCCTGTACTTTCTGGTACTGAAGCGGCGCAACAGACCTACGGCAGCACCCTCTTTCTTTGGCTGCTCGACCTGAGGCGGCAATACTGGGGGCGGGTTGTTTAGGTCGACTCGTTTCAGACCTTCGGTGATGTCATCTTCGCCATGGGTCCTAGCTCTTGGTCGCGACCTTCCGCCTGTGGGCTTTTCGCCTACCATCTCGTAAGCAGCGGAGTTGGTGTACGCCGCTGGCGGCGGCGGAAGATCTGGCATCTTCAAAGGTTTCTCGTCGGGCTCCTGAGGCATGGCGACAGGACCTGGGTTGGCTTCCTGTCGTTCACGATCTCTCTTCTCCTTGACCAAGAAGTAGACTGAGAGGAGAGGACTGTATGCGTTGACTGGATCCATTCCCCGCTGGATGTCCTCAGACGACGAGGCAGTCAACTGCTCTCGACTTCCGATTGACGTGCGTCTTTTGTAAAAGTCGAACATGCCCCTCTTCTTCTCCGCTTCTGGTGTTTGTGCAGTGGCCTTGCGCGCAGCTGTTCGCACGGCGCGTTGGTATTCCTCTGACTGAATGACGTTGGTCAATTGCGTAGTGATGTACTCCGTCGTGCCGAAGTCGAATCCCTGCATCTTCTCGATAATCTCGCTGTCCAGGGGTAGTTGCACGGGTTCTCTATGGGGCAGGTAGTTTTCCGGAGGGCTATTGAATCCCTTGGTGAGCCAGGGATGGCTCATGATTTCCGAGAGGGTCAGTCGTTGGGTCGGGTCAGTCTGCAGCATTCGGTGAATGAGGTTGCGGCATTCTGGCAAGGTTAGCTGAGTATGAAATCTGGAATCGGCGTAACATACCTGCGGACAGCCATGGGGGGTAGTCAACATGGCCTTTCTTAATCTTGGCATGAAGCTGTGGCATGCTCTGGTCGTCAAACGGCACCTTTCCGCAGACCAGGACGTACAGCACGATACCAAAACTCCAGACGTCGACCTCCGGGCCAGTGTATTGTTTGGCCTGGAGAAGTTCGGGCGCGGCAAAGTACAGACTTCCACAGAATGTCTTGAGCTGATTCCTAGGTGAGAACAAGTTACTCAATCCAAAGTCAATAATCTTGATGTCGCCCATCTTGCTGATAAGAATGTTCTCAATCTTGAGATCTCGGTGGACGATGCTGTTCCTGTGGCAGTAGTCAAGGGCGCTGGCAATTTGTCGAGCGAACTTGCGCGCCTGCTTTTCCTTGAGGCGGCCGTGAGAGATGATGTAGTCGAGCATCTGTCCACCGTTGACGAATTCGAACATCATGTACCAGTGGAAGTTTGTGCGCACGACATCCTTCATGCCGCATATGTAGGGATGGTTCAGCAGACTGACAATGGCAGCCTCTCTAGCGGTTCGGACTTCTTTGGAGTGGTCGGCTCGTTCACGGTCGGCGGCGCTCTGGTGCTGGTCCTGGGACAGTCGCGGGACGATCTTGACGGCCGCCTATTGATGATTAGCACGAGGTGTTTCTACGCTTGAGTTGAAAGCGCCATATTCATGCCCCACGTTGTAAAGAACCAACGCCAGAGGTACACACCTGCTCCCCGGTCTCGGCATTCTTGGCCAGCTTGACCTTTCCCATGCTGCCAGCGCCAATTGTCTTTCCGAGCGCCCATGTTCCGGTGCTGGGTGCGGTGATGGTGGTCCTGCGCTTGTTGACGGGCTGAGGCTGGCCCGGCCTGGCTTCGGCAGCTACGCCATTGACGGGCATTGCGGAAGTCGTCGACGCGTCAGACGCATACCGCGTGTGGCTCCGGCGGGTGGCTTCGGTGCGGCCTGGGTCTTCGCTGCGTCGTGAAGGCTGTTCCTGGGCGACGTTGCTCTGCTCGTAGTCTCTGCGGGCGACGTTGGGGAGGCCGCCTTGCTGATGGCGGGTGGGCGCGTGTCCCGGCGGGCGGCTGGCGGTGGTCTGGCTCTGGGAGCGATGGGGGCGGTCGATGGATCTGCGCGACGAAGAAGAGTTGCGCACGACGGCGGGCGATGATGGGGCGGCGGCCGACATGGTGAATGCTCTGCCTCTACCACGGTTACGCGCAACGCAGGGAGCAGATGCGGGCCTCGATTAGCACAGACGCACTGGGCGTGGAGCGAGCGCAGAGCCGGCCACAGCAAGGCTATCGTGACAATGTGGAGAGATTACTTTGCTGTCCTCGGTGGGTACTGCGGCGTAAGGGTACAAGAGGTTAGGGGCCGGTAGATGGCAGTCGCCAAACTTGGCACCGGCGGGTGTGTTGGTAGGCGTCTGCTGGGACGGATGCAGCTGTGCAGCCACATGCAGCACGGGTTACAGCAGAGAGATGCACGATCGACGTCGAGAGCAGCATTTATGGCGCCCGCCCGAGTGCATGTGTTGTGTTGTTATGGCTATTTCTGGGCGGAGGTCAAACGCGATAGCTCCCTCTCTCCATGCCTAGCTCGTCGCCCAACGCCAGGCCACCGTCGTGGGGTAGGTTTTTGTTCGGGACAATGCGTCCACCCTGTTGCTACGGTATTCCTTGTCTGCATTCATACCTGTCAAAGAAGCACGTCAGGAAGCACGGTTTTCTCTGTCGTCTCTGCCTCAATTTCCAGAAGATTGCGCTCCAGCTCTATCAATTCATCAGGGTCCCTCAACGAGCTTAGCCGCTATACCAGCCTTGCTTGCTCATTAGGCCGCTCGACCCAGGCGCGGCACTACATCATCGGGCCCACCCTGCCTCACTAACTCCTTTGTCTTAGTCCAACGGCAGTCCAGTCACTTGAGCTGCACTGTGCGGTGAATGCCATTCTACTTTGACAGATGAAACTCATGCAACTGCGCGCCTGGTCCCCGTGCGACTTGTTGAGGTAGCTACCGGACGTGGTCTGACTGCGCTTGGCCGCTGGGTAAGCGTCCCTCAGCCAATAGCATCATGGCTGATTAGTCACCCGTCCGTCGCTTACTCGTGATCGCGCTTCAACTTTCCCTCGCTTGGCTGCTTGACTGTGACTGCTTTACGAACCCGGTCTACGGAATGCGTTAGCCAAATCTAGCCAACAACCTGGTCCCCAAACAATCATCCACAACCTGCGCAACTCCGCTCCCAACTTCCTACTGTCGCAATGGCATACAAGCGGCCGCGCGCGCCTTCTCCAACCGGCGCTCAAAAGCGCTCTCGCGGCGGACCGACAACCTACATATCCCTAGGCACCGAGCTTCCCGACGAAGATGCGGATGATGGCGCTTTCGTGCCGGTGTGGAAGCAGACCGTGACGGACGAGCGAGGTCGCAGGAGACTCCACGGCGCATTCACTGGAGGTTTCAGTGCAGGGTAAGTTTCCGAGCCATACTTTCAACGAACGCAAGACTTCTTGACTATGCTAAGATACTTTAATACAGTTGGATCTAAAGAAGGTTGGACCCCGAAAACTTTCGTTTCCTCGCGCGCAAACCGCAACAAAGACCAGCCCATTGGCCCGACTCAGCGAGCCGAAGATTTCATGGACGAGGAGGATTTGGCAGCAGCAGCCGAGTCACGCCAGCTTGAGACTGCGCAGAACTTTGCCGGCATAGGCGAAGCTGGACGAGCGAACGACGATGGACTATTCGGCCTGTTTGTGACCCAGGAGGAGACGATGGGCGTCAAGATTGCGCAAAAGATGGGCTGGCGGCGAGATCAAGGCATTGGTCGCAAGGTACGCCGGAATGCTGACCTGGAAGATGGCGCATCCGGATCCAAGGACGACGCAGCTCATATGTTTGCGCCTCAAGACGCTCGGATTATGACTTTGCCACGAGAAGAGGTCCGTCGCAAAGGTCTGGGATACACGTCGGAAGCTCGCTTGGGTGCTGTGGAAGAAGAGGCCGCGGACCGTTCATCCAAGTTCGACCTGCATTATCTTGAAGGTCCGAAGAAGGCATCGAATGTAAAGAAGCCTGCGCTGAAGAAGTCTTCCTTTGGCGTTGGTGTGCTCAACGATACCGGCTCGGACGACGAGGACCCGTACGAATTGGGTCCGAAGATCACGTTCAACAAGACCATAGGCAAGGAAAAGAAAGGGAAGAAGCCCAGCAAGTTCGCCAAGCCAGGAGCAGGAGAGAAGCATGTCTTTGTCTCGAAGAAGAGTTCCTCGAAGGCTTTGGTCTCGCTAAGCAAGCCATCAATAGATGGAAGATCTCCGTTGAGTGGCTTCACGTTTGCGGCAGGTCTCACAGAACTCACAAGCAAGCCTAAATATCCCCCACCGAAGATACCACCGGGCTGGAAGTCTTCCAAAAGCACCGCTCCGACTTCGGGATCAAAAGACTACCAATCTGTAGCCGACGCGGCGAAAGCATCGACACTCGATGCAAAGGGGCGTTCGGCGCTCTTGGGGGAGAAAGCCTTACCCGGAAAGTCTATATTTGACTTCATACCCAAAGACGCCCGAGATCGGTTGGCGGCATTATCTGGTAAAGCTGATCTGCCCCAGGGCCTGGGAGAAGCTGCTCCTGAAGGACATTTGCCTGCAAGCAAAGCCCAACCAAAAGATCTGTGGAGCCTCGTGCCTAGTCTCGATAAGACCGTGGCAGCTGCGGCACTTGCCAAAGGTGCGACGGGCTGGATGCCGTATGCTGAGGATATGCAGAAGCGTGCACGTTACGTCGGCTTCCTAGAGCTGAAAGCAGGGCTGAAAGAGGACCTACCGGAACGTAGGGAAAGTGTATCAGTCTCAGACTGGATCAAAGAGCTTCAGGAGTTTGCACATGCTGCAGAAGTCTTCAAGCCCACAACCGGCATCATGGCATCCCGATTCACATCCGCGTCCTCTTCGACCTTAGACGGAGGTAATGGCGGAGCTGCGAATGCGAATCTTTTACGACAACCAGCCACAAAGCCAGAAGATCCTGCAGAGCAGGCGGCGAAGCTAGGCATGTACGGTCCGATGACTCGAAGTAGTTTCCCGTTCTACCCATCGCGACTCCTTTGCAAGCGCTTCAACGTCAAGCCTCCACCAGACATGCCACCGGAGTTTGATGCTGGTGAAAGCCACTTTAAATCGCAAACGGAAGAAGCTGTGTCCAAGGCGGCTATGGAGAAGCTGCAACACGAGTTCTTGACTAATGGTCCTGCTCTTCAGCGGCCGGCTTGGATGGGTCAGGCATCAGAAGCTGCCACTCCTGCTGCAGCTGTGGTTACTGGGCAGAGCGAGCATGCGGCTGTGGATGTGGAGAAGAATGATGCGCTTTCGAATGAACGGGCTTCTGAGGATGTTTTTAAGGCTATCTTTGGAGACGATGAGGATGATGAGGACTGATGGAGGGGTCTGCATCCGGCTCCAGATACTGCTGCTGAACACCATATTTCTTGGTTTCTAGCCATTACGTCTGGGATCTTTGGCCCGATGTATGGTTAGACTGAAGAGAGTGATATTTTGTAACATAGATTCACATCGAAGAACAAAACAATGCGACATGAAGAACTTGTTTTTAGTCACGGCTGCCTCTTCATCGTCTAGTCCCTGGAAAAGGATCTCGACCTTACATTCTATTGATGTCTGTGAATATGACGAGTTCATCGACTTGTCGTTGATAGGCGTGGATGTCAAATCCAAGCGAATATGCGGGTGGTGCCTCGGCGTACAAAAACGCCGGGATTCGGAACTCGTCAAAACGTCATTGACAGCTTTCGCGAACGAGACTGACAGCGCGACATCACCCCATCTTACCCTAATATTCACGGCCGGTATCCCAGGGCTATTACCATGATGCGCATTGCAGCCTCGGATCTCTTGATATAGCAATTGAATACTCGACGCTTCGGCAATGTCAGATGGGGCCCGCGGAAAGCGCTCGTCGTCCTACTGTAAGTGGAAAGAGTGTAGAGCATAATTGCTATTGCAAGAACTAGCGCATTGCACCTACTAACAATTCCGCAGTCCACTTCTTCGCCGGCCTAAACTCAGGCATTCTGTCTGCCGTCCTTCTCCAACCCGCCGACCTCCTCAAGACCCGCGTCCAACAATCCCGCTCGAGCACCCTCCTCGGTACCATCCAGTCGATAGCCAGCGGGCCAAACCCGATACGTCAGTTCTGGAGAGGCACTCTACCAAGTACCCTACGCACAGGGTTTGGCTCTGCCATATACTTTTCAAGTCTCAATGCGCTGCGGCATAGAGCGAGTCTGGTCGCGGCGGGGAGCAGCGATGCAGCAGCCAAGGGAGCGGAGCACTCGAGCTCTCTGCCTAAGTTGAGCAACACCGCAAATCTGGCAACGGGAGCCTTTGCGCGGACATGGGCGGGCTTCATCATGATGCCGATAACCGTGCTGAAGGTGCGGTATGAGAGTAGCTTGTACTCGTACAATTCGCTCTTCACAGCATCGCGAGACATATTCCGAACAGAGGGACTCAAGGGATTCTTTGCTGGTTTCGGCGCAACAGCAGTTCGCGATGCGCCCTACGCGGGGCTATACGTCCTATTCTACGAGCAATCGAAACGGAAACTTTCTAGTCTTGCCACCAAGATTGAAGAGACGTCCGGCACCGCCATCAAGCTGTCTACCAGCACATCCGCGGGAATAAACTTCATCTCGGGTGTTGCAGCAGCGGGGCTGGGGACGACGATTACGAATCCCTTCGATGCTATCAAGACGCGCATACAACTTATGCCTCATAAGTATGGCAATATGGTACAAGCAAGCAAGAAGATGCTTGCGGAGGAGGGCATGCGAAGCTTGTTCGATGGACTCGGTATCAGGATCGCTAGGAAGGCAATGAGCAGTGCGCTGGCTTGGACAGTCTACGAAGAGCTGATTCGACGAGCGGAGACTTTGAAGGAAGTCGTCGAGGAGAAGATATAATTACGATTGTACGACTTCAGTGTTTCATTCCCTTCGCCATCATTTGATGGGCACGATTGTACAATACTTGCATGGCCGGCGTTCGCTGGCGCCGACATTCGGCTAGACATCTCTTCGCTCACATTGGAGTGTTCAAATGGAACGACGATCTGCATCTTAACGTCTCTCACGGAATACCTATCTCGTCAAAGTTTACAGCATCCAACACCAACCCAGAGTCTGGAATTCCGGACCGGGGACCTGGAGTGGAAAGGTGCGGCTGAAGAGCTGTGGCTACTAGGGACGATCTGGCGCAAGTCTAGCCGAAAACGCAGCCCATAGGCACATGAAGGCTTACTCCGATCAGCTTGTTGGTCACAACACCTCGGCGGGTCGCACGCGAGCTTCGCGGTTTCATGAGGCGCTTCTCGTGTCGAACATGTGTCTTGGAGCGCGCGTCAAAGGAAGATCAAGGAAGTGGGGGTAACCACGAAGTTGATTTCCAAAGATTGACCGGTTTGCTTGTTAGCAGCGCTGTAGACTAATAAGGCTTACTAGATATGTCAGTTCCGCCTTCGCGGCCTAGAGTAGAAGGAGGCGTTGGCGTCTTCGTTAGTGTTACTTTTAGACGCTGGACGTGCCCCACACCAAACCATCACCATTCCGTGCCGCTAGCTGGAGAGACCGAAGGATGTAGGGCAAAGCCGTCGCAAGAATCGCACACCGCAGCGCTACAACGGTGCAGAGGGAATGCGGGCATGTGGACAGCCTTCTAAACTGGCGCTGATAGGTCATTATGCGCTACAGGCTGAGTCCTGTTCAGAAGACCCGGCGCATGAGAAAGGCTGGCCTCAACCCTGGCGGCAGCCTGATGACTAGCTCCTCATCGCGAGCATTTCAGCCCCCAACTGCAGCTTGCGTGTGGATTCTTACATATTCTACTGCAGCCGCAATTTCGAGCTGACGTTTTCTTGTTATCTTACGTTACCTCCTATTTGTACAGTGTCACATCTGTGCCGCCCCCTCAGCGTCTGACCCCGCCCTGCGCTGTCTACGCCGCGACTGAGACCAACCCAAAGGTTTTGGATTGATTGCTCGGTCTTGTCCTTGCTTCGCTTCCAGACTGAACAGTCGGCATAGTTTTGTCTACTTTTCAACCGACTTTTCAAATTCCTACACCCACCATGCCACGGGCAGCCGAGTGGGACACGGAGGATGAGTGGTACCAATCCAAAGTCACAAAGGATCATGTGAACATCCACACTCGTCATGTTCATCCCCCCGCACCTCGACCCCCACCTCGGAGAGTCCAAGACGACGAGATTTATCGTCCCGACTACGGTCGGCGCACGACGGAGTTCTTGGCTCCGGAAGTGCACTATACGACCGGTCTCCATCGAACTCGCTCACAAGGCCATGCGCCTGCTCCCAATGTGACAATCTACAACACCAGTCGCTTGGACAATGAGAGCAACCCGCAGGTGCGCACCGAGCAGAAGGGTCAGGATGCCAGTCCTCGTGGCCGACGCATGCCTGGCGGCTTCGAGGACCTGGAAGACAATATCGCTGCGCTGAGAGCAGATATAAAGAAGGAGCACCGGTCGCGCTCTAGGCACGAGTATGAGCATCAACGTTCTCCCGAGCCGAACTACGAAGACAAGATCAAGTTGACACTTGCTGAGCAACGCCTCAGAGATCTTGAAGATAGGCTTGAGAGGGAGCGACAGGAGCGGTACCATCACCACTCGCCAGACCGCAGTTACGAGGACAAAGTCAAGTTGACACTTGCTGAGCAGCGGCTTCGGGACGCTGAACAGCAACTCGAAAGGGAAAGACGTCATCACTCGCCAGACGGCTACAAAGATAAGGTGAAACAGGCACTGTTGCAACAGCGCCTTGAGGAAGCCGAGGAGAAGCTTGAAAGGGAACGCCGAGAGGATGAGATGGAGCGACGGGAGGAACTGGCGAGACGCCGGGTACAGCTTGAGTTCATCAATGACAGAAGGGAACATGAGATGGAGGAGGAAAGAATCAAGAGGCTAGAGGAGAGTATGCGTCGCGAGTGGGAGCTGAAGCGAGAGAGGGAGGAGCGAGACCGCGAGCGACGCGATATTGACGAGGAGAGAAAGAAGGCTGCCATCATCGCCGAGAACAGGGCGAAGATGTCCAGAGAGCAAAGGGAGGCTGAGGAACAACGCGACAAGATGCTTGCTAAACTAGAGAGGGAGCAGAGAGAACAGGATGACGAACGCAAGCGGATACTCGCCGAGGCCAAGCTCAAGCAACTCCGAGAGCAACGCGAGGCCGAGGAACAGCGTGAGAAGATCCTCTCTGATATGGAGAAGAAGAAGAAGCGAGAGAACGAAGAACGCCAGCGCATCATTGCGGAGAACACGGCCAGACTCGAGAAGGAGGCACGTGAGCGTGAACTCAAGGAAAAGGCATTTGAAGAAGAGCGCAAGCGTATCATCGCTGAGAACGAAGCCAAGGTGGCTAAACAGGCAAAAGAGGCGAAGGAAGCTCAACAGCGTGCTGTCGAAGACTACCAACGGAAGAAGGCTAAGGAAGAGGCTGAAGCTCAGGCAGAGAAAGACCGTATCATCTACGAGTACGAGCGCAAGAAGATCCTAGACGCCGACAAAGAAAAGCGAGCAAAGGAAGAACTCATCATGAAGCTCAAACTCGAAGAAGAAGAGCGAAAGCGCAAGGAAAAAGAAGAATTCGACGCCTTCACACGAAAGCAGAAAGCGGCGGAAGAAGAAGAGAAGCGAAAGAAAGAGGCCCAGGAGAAGGAGCTCGAAGAGACGATGCGCAAGCGACTCGCTCAATTCGGCTTCCAAGACAACCAGATCCAGGCACTCGTCAACCCCGATAAGCAGAGAGAGCTCCAAGCAGGCATGATGCCTAACCATCCTCTGCATCAAATCGCACCTCCTGCGCCTCCGCCACCACCGCAACACCACCACTCTCATTCTCACTCGCACTCCTCTTCGCATCAGATCGCCATTGCGCCTCCGCCCACTTACGCCAAGGTACACAGGAGCCATCTCGACGTCGAGACGCTGCACTACTACGACATCCCCTACGAATACGACGTTGTAAGTATTTTCCCAACCAGTCCTTTTATCTAACTCCAGTTACTAACTCATATCCAGAACCCCGAATACATCATCGTCCTCCGCGAAATGTCTCAACGCGAGACAGACATCCTCTTCGAGCATACCCGTCGTCTACGCACTGGACACGGTAGCAACTTGTTTATCGAATCCGAAGGCCGCGATAGACACGGGAAGAAGGAGTATGCTTTTGTGAGGAAGAAGTCAAGGTCGAGGTCTAGGAGTGTTGTTGGTGGAGGGTCGTCGAGTAGGACGAATGTTAGTCTGGGCGAGATGTTTTTCAGGTAGAGCTTTTATGATGGACTTTTGGCTGTTGAGTAGTGTTTCAGAGGAGTTGTTCTTCTTGGTCGTTACGACATATACCAATCTTCTCTCTGAGAATTCTATACGTATACATAGGTACCTTCGCTCTGCTGTTCTGTTACGTAGTTCCGTATGCATGATTTTTGGCTTACTGTCGATCTTGATCTCAACGCATGTTACTTCACCTATCTGACTCGCTCATAATGCTGTGTAATGCTTTGCGCATGTTTGTGCGTCTCAACGGCCTTCAGCTCTTCACCGGTGTTGTGCCACGTCTCGGTCTGCACACATTGGGTAGGGTGTGCTGCATTCTCCCCACTCGATGTGCAACTATCCTCTAAACTCGCGTCATCAGTGCAACTACTTGAACTCTGCCTCTGGATGCATGCCATCCGGAATCTCCAACGCCGTCGTATACGCAGACTGCCCAACCTGCTTGCCCCACGCATCAGCAATAGCCGGCAATACAGCCCTCCCCGCATACACCGCATTCGTGTTGGGCACAGGCCAAGGAACCGACTTGTTCTTGTTGTTCAACTTGCCCGCATACGACGCATTGAAGTACATGTTGCTCAACGGAACTTTGCCCGACCAAGCTCGCACCGTATCGCCCGTCTTTTCCGCTACAAACTTGAACACGTTGGCGCCCACGTCCCAACGGCCGAGCGTACGTAAGCCCCAGTTTGCTTGTACAGTGGCAATCTCGCTGTAATGGTTGTAGTAGGTGTTGTCTGTGGTTCCGACTAAGCTGGCGGGCACGGCATCTCCGAGCAGTATGGCCACGACGCGGTTTTGCTTTCCGTAGGAGTGGTTCTCGTCGAAGGTTACCATGACGAGGGTGTTGTTCATGAAGTTCTTGTTGGTGAGGAGGGGTTCGAGGAAGTTTCGCGTCCAGGTTCCTGCTACTGTTACGGTGGAGTCGTGGCCTGAGGGTGTGAGTATGTTTCTACGGGAATGCGCAGTATAACTTGGTTGCTCACCGTCGCTAGTCATGTTGGGGGTGATGAACATCCACTGCGGCAACTGGTTCTTATCCATATCTGCTTTGAACATAGTCAAGGGTTTTGTTTTCGCCATCCTGTCCGTCTTCTGCGCATTGGAATCGTACAGCACGGCTGGGTTGTGCTTGCGCACATACATGTTCGCTCCGGTTTTGGGGTTCGTGTACGATTTCCCTTGGAAGCCTACAGATGGCATGTCTTCTTGGTACTCGCCCCAGCTAACACCTTTGTCTTCGAGAAGGTCTACTAAGGTGGATACATTGGACGGGATTGCGACCATGTCATCGTGGTTGATGCCGTAGTAGTCGCCTGATATGGCAGCTGCATAGTTAGGCATAGAAGGATGGGTTACTGCGAAGTAATTTGTGAGGCTGATGCCTTTCTTTGCGAGCCATGCTAGATTTGGGTCTCCTGCTGCGAGGTCGTAGTCGGTGTTTTCAAGCCATATTATGGCTATACGGTCGAAGGCTTTCCCTGGGAATGTACTTTGGGCTTGTATAGGGTTGATGTTTGCTAACAGTGCTAGTGACAAAACGATTGGAGTAATCATGATTGTCATACAACTCTGTTTGTTTGGTTAGCATACCCTTTCCGCTTCTTCTACCAACATCTCTACCTCCTACTTACCAAGGAACGTTAAGACAACGGAGAGACGCCGGATGGAACGACAGAAGCAGGCACACACGAGACTTGCTCTCAGGGCTTTTCATGCCATCTTTCAGGGTCATGAGGCGCCACTTTTGCTAGGTAGTGCCTAGGGGTCTGGACATCACCGGGAAGACCTGCAGTGCAGCCGCCACATGCCCACCAATGGCATCCTCTGCAGCACACATGTGCGCACTTTCAGGGAGAGTACTTCGCAAATCGATGCGGGAAGTTAAGCTTTTTAGGAAGGTCGACAAGCTTCTGATAGCTTTGAGAGATGAACGTGCGGGGCTGATTGGTTACGAACTCGGCAAACCTGGTACGACCCGCAGATCCAAGGTATGGCCACACCTGACACTCGTAGACTGCAGTGACACTGCAGGTGGGGTGGCGTAGCGTGATGATCTTCTGGACTCGCGCAGCGGCTGGCTGGCGGTGGCGATCGTGTTCAGAGGCTCCCTGAGCGAGATGGCACGTTGCAACGATCAGATCCGACGCAGGGACGACGGGGTGCTTGACACAGAAATCGACAAATACCAAACATCGACAATTACTGCTACATATGCCCTGAGCCCCGCTTTGCTGATACAGGCAGGAACTTGATGAGTGGTCTTGGAAGCTAACCACGATGGGCCATAACCAAAGCTTCGGCATGAAAGAGATGTCTAATTCGAATATGCACAAGCCTGAAGAACAAGTTGGCTTGTTGCATGCACATACGAAAGACGACCGATCGCAAGGCAGCGAAGACCAAGAAAACGACTTGAAACCACGCTGGAGCGACAAGCACGACGTCTCACACCATCACATTCATCGGTGGCCATGGATCAGGCCCGTCACCGTCGTTTCGCTTCTTATATGCACAGTCATAGCCCTGGTGTATCGGGGTCTGACCAGCAGTCGGAATATTTCATCACCCTCCCTTGATGTTCGTCTTGCAAGACTTCGACCGGAAGAAGACTACATTCTCTCTTCATCATGGGATTTCAACGCAGCACCTACGACCCGAGAGTATACATGGGTAGTATCCGACCATATTCTCAACCCAGATGGCGTTTACCGACCCATGATACTCATTAACGGCACCTTTCCCGGACCGCTTATCGAGTGTAACGAAGGCGACGAGCTTGTTGTTCATGTTCAGAACCAAGCCATCAACGCTACCTCTATTCACTGGCACGGTCTCTACCAAAATGGCACAAACTGGATGGACGGGACGGTGGGAATAACGCAATGTCCCATTGCTCCAGGCCACTCGTTTACATACCGGTTCAACGTATCAGGGCAGACAGGAACGTACTGGTATCATTCGCACGTCAGTATGCAGGCGTCAGATGGTTTGGTGGGACCTCTTATCATTCATGCCAGGGGCGGAGAAGAGAACGATAAATTGCAAAAAGTACCATACGAGCAAGACCGCGTAGTCCTGGTATCCGACTACTACTACGACCTCTCTTCCGACCTACTTATGCAGTACCTCGCCCCGGGTAGCGAAAACGACGAACCCGTTCCGCCATCCGCCTTGATCAATGGAAGAAACATGCGAGACTGCGCCGACTTGCCGAATCGAAACTGCTCTTCTTCTGGCATCAGTAATGCCTTGTTCAATCTATCTCGTAGCAGCAACACGCGACTTCGCATTATCAACGTCGGAGCTTTCGCAGAGTTTGCTTTGCAAATCGACGAACATGAGTTTCAAGTTACAGAAGTAGATGGCACGGATGTGCATCCCCAGTCTATTCATCGGCTAAACATCAATCCGGCGCAACGTTATAGTATCGTCGTCACTCCGCCAAGTGAGCAGGACAACCAGGGGATGTACTGGATGCGTGCGAGAATGATAACACATTGCTTTGCGTACGAAGAGCCAGAGTTACAAGAAGAAGTCAGGGCAGTACTATACTACCCTACTTCGGACGACAACACGAAAGATCTCATCCCAACGAGTAAAGACTGGCCCGAAATCATCGACGTAGAATGTCGAGATCTGAACACATCCACCCTGGACCCCGTCATCGCAATACCAGCCCCAGAAATCGACCTCCAACACGCCCTCTACCTACGCTCTTCGTTCCAAATCCGCGACTGGAGGCTCTCGCGCGGGTATCTGAATGATAGCTCCTTCCGCATCAATGCTACATCACCGCTTCTAAACACTTTGCTCTCAGCCCTGACTTCCACGACGAATACCCACGAAGGCATCCTAGAAACAAGCCCCTTCGACCCACTCCACCAACTCACATACCAAACCCACACCACCCGTACCATAACCCTGCTCATCCAAAACCTCGACGACGGAACCCACCCCTTCCACCTGCACGGCTACAAATTCTTCGTCTTGGCCCAGGGATACGGGTATCCGCCTTCCCGCCTCCTCGACCCTGATCACACTGAGGACTACTTGAATCTGACGAATCCGCTACGGAGGGATACGGCGAGTGTAGAGGCGTATGGATGGTTGTTAATAAGCTTTGTGGCGGATAATCCGGGGGTGTGGATCTTTCATTGCCACCTTGGATGGCATGCTGAGGCGGGGTTGGGGATGGTGTTTGCGACGCGGGTGGAGGGGATGGAGGCGTGGGAGGTGCCGGGGGAGGTTGGGGGGTTGTGTGGGGTGGAAGGGGTGGAGAGGGGGATGGGGCCTGATGATGGGGTTTGGGTTGGTGGGAGGGAGGAGGATGGGAGGGATGAGGGGGATATACGGTTGTAGAGATTTCGAGACTCTTTTTTTTTGAGATGTTGAAATGAAAGGAGATGTCCTTGAAATATCGTCTGTAGAATTTGTGATCGACTTATCTAGTACACACACCTTGATGTACATGTCTCGTAATACCTGTTAACCGCAGCTTTGTAGTGAAGCTGGAGTTCAGAAGTCGTCTTGCTGACCTTTTCTCCACCATGTTCGCGCGACTCGATGCCGTTCACCGTCCAGATTTTACACTGCCGTCCGACATGGCGCGGCACAGTGCCTACCACCAAGTTTGCCTCTAAGATTCTCCCTTCCACAACAATCCTCAATTCTCACTCCCAAATACCAAACCACCTCTTAACCCTCCTCCGCCTAACACCATCCTCACCAACATAATACCTCGGATCCTCCACATACTCCTCACCCTTGAGCTCAGCCTCCCTCTGCCTCTCCAACCGATACTGCTTCCTCTTTTCAATCTCCTCCGCCTTCTTCAGCCTCTGCTGCTGGTACTGCTGCGACGTCTGCTCCATGTGCATCTTGTAGACCTCAATGAATCGTGACGAGGATTCGAAGGGGTGGCGTAGGAAATCTTTGCGCGAGGGAAGCAGGTGGCCGAAGACGGTCTTGGATATGAAGTCCATGTACCATGCTGCTATTGCGAGGGAGACGAGTATGCCCTGTGGGGAGAGCGGGGTTAGCTTTGGGAGGTTAGGTGGGATGGGAGAGGGCGTCTCACCATTGTTATCCAGAGATGGATGGCCCGGTTGTGCAAGAACCAATGCGAGAATGTGCCCTCGGGACTCATCATGTTGGGGTATTTCTTCGTGGCCATGCGCTTCTTGTCTGCCTCTGATATGGGCGCGCCATAGATCTTGTTCTCGAGATTGCGGTTCGGGGCCCGCTTGCTGTGTGATGGCGGCCGGTATTTATCGGGCTGTGGTATTACGGGTGCTCCTTTGCTTTGCTGTGCTTCCCGCCGTCTTCGGAACTCTTCTGAGAGGCCTTTGGGAGTGATTGACGCATAGCGGGCGTTCGTAGGGGAGGGTAGCGGCAGGAATGCGCGGGCTTGGGGTCGCAGGAGCAGAGGGCCCCGGGGCAGGAGAAAGCGTGGTATCGATTGGAGGGTGGCCATGGCTATAGGTGGTGATGCTCGTCGTCTCGGGAGTCCGCAGAGTGATGAGATGATGAAGATCTTCGATGCGCCGGCCCGAGCTTGCTCCGGGCATCGATCTTTGGGCGTCGTCGCGTCCTGACACATTTTCTCATCGCAACAAACTCTTCACACGGATATCACGCCTATGCTTGTGATCTAGGGTGCATATCGCGCGCCCGAAACCCATACCATCTACATTTGAGCCTGTTAGTGGAGATGAAGACTAATCACAGGATAGTTCTGATGCCAGTTCTGACGCAATGAATCCCAGATCGCAATGCCTTCTAAACAACCACCCTCGTTCGGTTCACAAGCCTATTGGAATGAGCGCTTCGCTTCGAATACAGACCCATTCGAGTGGCTAGAGGCCCCCAATGCTCTAGATCCGCACATCGTTGATGCCTTGGATGCTACACCCACACCGAAACCGGAACTCCTACACATAGGCTGCGGCACATCACTACTTTCCTATCACTTGCGCTCCCATGTAGACGCACCGCGACAGATACACAATCTGGACTATTCTGAAGTAGCGATTGAAGTCGGCAAGATCCGCGAACAGGAGATATACCAGGATCCGAGAAAGGATATAGGAGAAGCTGCATGCATGCGCTGGGACGCTGTAGATCTGCTCGACTACCAGTCCGTCATGCGCGCATGTAAGCGCGCAGCCTACTCCGTCATAGTAGACAAGTCAACCTCCGACTCCATTGCCTGCGCAGACGACGTCCTGGTCCCTCTGCCATACCCACTAGCCATCCGCTCCTACGAACCTCTAGACCTGGATGCCGCCAAAACGCCCGAGCTGATTCATCCCTTGGTAGTCATGGCTGTGAATTTAGCGCTAGTGACGAAGCCCGGGGCACGATGGATCTCTTTGTCCTATTCCAAGGATCGTTTCTATTTCCTAGATCCATCTGCAAAGGACGTGATACCCCAAGGAGCAGCATTCCCTCATCCGGGTGATTTGTGGCGTGTAGTGGATAAGCGCGAGGTCGACGAGGCGGACTGGCAAGTACGGAATGAGGACAGAGCTAATGCCGTGACCCACAGGCCCAAGGTGTGCAATGTTGTATATACATTGGAGAGGACTCATCAACCACTCTTCGTGCGTGGAGAACACCTCTAGTATTAGCAGAACTCGGGCCATCCATTTGTTTACCTGCATCCTTGCTAGTCCAGAGCTACGAAGCATGATCTCCCAGCCACTTTTCGTAACAAACACTCCCCTCAGCCTCATCGTACTTCGCAAACATGCCGCGCGAACTAAACCCGCACCTCTCATAAAAGCGCCTCGCTTTCGGCATGTCCTCACCCGTCTCCAACAGCAACCACGGCCAACCCCTACTCCGCGCTTCATCTTCCAGTTTCTCGAGTATCATTGTCGCAACAGAAGTGCGCACCCCGCCAGTCCCTTCCAATCCCACTCGATACGGCGCGTCAACAAACATCCGCTTTATCTCAGCAGAATGCTCCCGCGCGTTTTCCGAGGACGGAGACAGAGGACGCAGACCACCGCAACCCATTGGGACGTCATCATGATATGCGATGAGGAAGAGAGGGACGTTAGCGGCTGAGGGCGGTGTACTGTAGTCCGGCTCTATTTCGAGTTGTTGTTTGGAGCGGAGGTAAATGCTATCTGGGTGGTCGAAGGAGACTGGGACGATGGCGATCTTTTCTATGGACAGCATGGTGGATGTGGATTTGGTTTTTAGGAGCGATGTTGTTGTGACAGATGTTGCGTGGTTTCTTTCTCATATAGTGCTACGCCCTATGCATGGCAACGGCATGCTACCCTAGATAGGGATAGGTCGTTTGTAATAGGCTAGCGTAATTTGATGTATTATCTTGAAGAGTCACACTTTAGTGAAGAGCTAACGGCCCTACTGATTCTATCTTGTGGTTGTATGTGGGGCGCATACGAAGCTGACAGGTTTGTTTTGTAATCGTACTAGACTGTACTCTGGAGATATTCGTGGTCTTCGATAGCCTCAATCTTGACAACTAAGAGCAGACGTATGCGTCAGCAGGTACGGTAGATGTGAAGGTGCTCGTATTTCTACCCATTGTAATCTCATTGGTCGAAAGCTGCTACCATTCAGCCGCATTCTAGGCATCGGTCCTACAACTTACACAGAGTGGACCTGCTTCTCGTCCACAGCAGCCCATCCTTCCTCATATCATGGCACAATCAACCTACCCAACCCAGCAATACACCTCAGGAAACTTCGTCGAGAGCTGTGGCGCTATCCTCTACGACCCAACCCGCCAGAAGGTCTGCCTAATTCATCTCGCCCAATCCGAGATGTGGACACTACCCAAAGGCCGTCGAAACGTCGGAGAATCGCGTCAAAAGGCTGCACTACGCGAAGTATACGAGGAAACTGGATACAAGTGTCATATCTTGCCAGTGGATATGAAAACCAGAGCCACTATCGCTGACGACGCGGTGGACGCTCCAGATGCCGCACGCATCTCGCGTGATTCGGTAGAACCTTTCATGGTCACCATGCGGACGTTGAGAGATGGTCAAGGTGTCAAGATTATATGGTGGTATGTCGCGATCATGGACAAAGGTGCTTGCGAGGCGAAAGGGCCTGGTGAAGAAGGGGTTAAGACGGGGTTATACTCCTATGAAGAGGCTGAGAGGTTGTTGTACTTTGAGACGGATCGAGAGGTTTTACGCAAAGCTCAAGCACTGGTTGCGAAGTCAAGTTGATTTTGTGTGTTCCTGCACTTAGAATAACAGTAACACCTTTTGTAAGGCTGTAGCCTACATTAGTATAATGATGGAGATTAACAAAATCTGAAGGCAATGTAGACTTTTGGGTTACATTGCAGGTGTTCTTCATAGGAAATAGAGGTTCTGTCTTTGCTCTTAGATAGGGTGAAATCTCGAGCTTGAGCATGACTCCATCCTACGATAACGTCTCGGAAGATGCCGAGCTGTATCATGCCTTAATATGGCGCGTACATGGCTTGACTGGTGAGCGGGCCAACCGTGGTGGCCCTAAACAAGGAAGGATCTTGTCGTAGTCTACATCAATATGGAAGAAGGAGACCGAGAACGATACATGTACCCTTAAGGCTTCTAAGACATATCATCACACTACAGTGCTTTTAATACTTGCCGTAGTTGATTAAGAAGAAAGAGCTTGCAAAATTTGGGCTCAGTTTCGCGAACATGTGCCAACCTCGTCACCCCTCCATGCACGTCATCGGAAGCGCGGCATTAAGCGGGGCATTGTGGCTTTATTCGTCGGGCTGAGGTCATGCGCCACTTTACTACGTAAACAGCAGCCTGAGTCCATAAGCGCGAACAGTTAACGCAGGCTCTTACTGCGCTGAGCTGCAACATCGTCCATTTCCTCATTTCCTCTACATCCCGCGATCATGGGCGTCTCCTCACAGTACGTGCTGCTTATCGCTATCGCGATCCTCGTCCTACTCCCAGCCGGCGCAGACGCTTTCGGTGCTGGAAACATCGCATCCATATCGAAAATCGAGGGCAAGAACTGGCGTCATGGCGATATCGAAGACATGCTTGCGACGGTCGCTTGCTTGAAGGGTCACAAGTGGAAGAGTAACATGATCAAGGTATGCCCATATTGCGATGCAGCTGCGATCATGGTGACTGACCTTACGTGTAGCGTGTGTACTTTGGCAACTGGCTACGCGATTACTCACAAGTAAGCCCAACAGACTGTGCGACGTCGAAACACGCTGACCGGTTTAGGCTGTTGATGTTGGAACGTTGGCAAAAGTTCAGGTACGCGAGAGCAGCGGAACCGATTTTACCCATCGAAATACTTACATTTAGTAGGGAGAAACCATCCGTGTTTTAGTCTGGGTCTTGTCTTTCATGTCCTTTGGCTATGCAACTGGAGAGTTTGAAGTCACAGCCGAGAGACTAGGTGTTTATAGGCCCGAAGAACACATCGGTAAGCGAACTTCAACATCTTCTACTTGACTCTACTAACGAGAGCACAGATAACCCTGTAAGCAATTACAATATGTATACAAACATGTGTATCGATACTAACACCCCCAAAGAAGGACTATGCCGACAATGAGGACGCAAGGAAATACGACCCTCGTCTGCGAGGTCCAGTGTCAGATGCCGAGCTTGCAGTGGACCCAAACACTGGTATGAAGAACTACATCGCGAACGAACATGGTAACTGGGCTACTTCGACCGGATATGTGAAGTACTCCTTTGCGCGCGCCATCCACTTCGGTCGACTTTACACCCACGGACAGTCCGGCCAACGTGGACGGGACGAGGACCTATCGGAAGCGCTTCGCTGCCTAGGTCAAGGACTGCACTGCCTTGAAGATTTTGGAGCCCACACGAACTATACTGAGCTCGTGCTACGTGAGCTTGGTTATCATAATGTCTTTCCTCACGTGGGCGTTCAGGCCGGCATCAACCTCCATGGAAAGCACACATATCCTCTCGTGACTGGTACGTTCGGAGGTGTTGACTTCTTCCACTCAGTGCTAGGAGAAGCCAACGATCACATCACCCAGACTGAAATCGACGAAGTTAATACTGCTCTCGTAGATGCAGTTGGCGGGTCTGGTGGACAGAGAAGTGGACCCGGAGGCCAATCCAACGCTTGCAGTGGACTCATTGATGTTCTGAGCAAAGTCCCTGGTACTGGCGATCTGATTAGCCAAGCGCAGAGCCTGCAGGCCTCGTCAGATGCTCAAGCTGCCGAGAACGCACGCGGTGGCTACGGTGATTATAGTTCGTCTAGAGCTGGACCCAACGACTTCGCTGCACCACCTGGATCCATGGGCGGACCACCAGGACCAGACATCCCAGGAACGAACACTGATCCAGCCACAATCATCCCAAAGATTTACCCAATTCTAGGTAAGGCCCCTCGCGAACAGAGAATCGTAATCTTAGCTGACCTCTTCAAGTTTTCCGGGACAACGTTGTCCGCAAGATCTCGGCCATCGTCTCCAAGATCCCTGGTCTAGAGAAGCTGATTGAGACCATCACCGAGCGCGTCACTCTATTTGTGCTATCACTGCTTGCGCCCTTCATTCTGCCCATCATCAAGACAGCATCGTCTCAGCTGAAGAGCGGATCTTCTGCCGTCATTGACTCAGCGGCCAAGCACCAGTTTGAGGTCTGGACGGACCCTAGATCCACCAACCCAACACACAGCATGCTGTCCAAGGATCACTTCTCCAACGTCTTGAACCCACCAGCCGGTCAAGTCGCGGTCGCTATCCTACAGTACGTCGCGCCCCGCGTCATATACGCTTGGGACCACCCAGATGTGCCGGTCGACGAGGTCCTGCACGACTGTATGCGCGTGTTCCATCACCCAGCACTTCGCGACCCGCACTGCGAGGTACACAACAACATGTTCAAGGTCGTAGAGCAATGGGCCCGCAACTACCGCGGAAAGGACCTGAACCAGATCCTGTCCTCGGAATCTGTAAAAGCTGGACATAACCACAGCGGAGATCACGATCACTCTGCAGGCCACAGCCACGGTGCAGTGAACATGTCGAGCTTCGGTGGCCAAAGCCATAGCCATGGCGGTGGTGGTGGTCATCAACAGCAGTCCAGCGGATCCGGCGACCTCCTAGGTTCCTTGTCAAGCAAGCTTCCCGGTCCTCTCGGCGGTATGCTCAGCAGCTTCGGCGGCAGCTCTGGAAGAACTCGCGACATGGACGATGAACCCTCCGCTTCCTCTTTGGCAGCACCAGGTCCATACCAGCCTTCGCCATCGCCTCAGCCCTCGCAGTGGGCTGACTTCCAACCTTACCAGTCCTCCTACGCAGGTGAAGGTTATCAGCCACCTGCCGAGTACAGCAACGCAGTGCCCTCTGGCGGATATGGATGGGGTCAAGGCCAGTATTCTGGAGGTCAAGGTGCGGAGCCTAGCTACACGGTTCCCACAAACTACCAGCAGGGTTACGAGAACTACAACACTGCCCCTGGAGGCTATGGCCAGCCGCCAGCTCAACAGCCTCCGCCAGGATCTTATGGCGCTCACAATCAGGGTGGCGCATATGGTTCGTATGATCAAGGTGCGCCAGGAGAAGGCAGCGCAAGGCCGTGGGGCGCTGGAGGAAACTCAGGTTGGTAAGCGCTGGCTCAAATACCCAGGCGTTGACGGCTATGAAGAGAGTGAGGCGTCCCTGGCGAGGCTTCCGGGTGGATTTGTGCCTTGCAACATCTCCATAGAATCATGAATAATGCCAAACATGACTTTTCAATCCCGATAACAAGTGAAGTGCGGTAGAGTAGAGATTGTTATATCATTGTTTCTCCCCCACATCTCTGCGACGAACTTCATGCCTTTTGATTCCAACCTCTTTCTTGTAAATACATGTTATCGAAGAAACGCTTTCCAAAACAGATAGCCCCAAGCCAGATGATATGCCAAATGAACGCCGGCCGTTATGCTAGCGTCTCGCGTTTCGTGAATATTCGGGGTGGTATTGATACAGGACACGCAAGCCATTCTATTTTCATTTTATCGTTGTAGATGATGACATGTGCCCGATTTACTCGTTGATCTTGGCCAGGAGCCTGCACATAACATATTAGCCGCTATCCCACAATCTTCAGCCACAGCTCTAGGTATAGTGTGTACGTACTCGTGGTCCCGGAAAAGGCTCAACTCCTCCTCGCCAACCTTGATGGGGCTTCCGCCGAATTGCGGGATCAAGACCTTGTCACCGGGTTGTACGCTGGGGCTGACGCGCTTTCCATCTTTGTCAAAGGCACCGGGGCCGACGGCGAGAACTTTGGCTTCGTTGAGCTCCTTGACGGCGGTCTCGGGGAGGAAGATGCCGGTTGCGGTCTTGGCTTCGGGCTTGATGCGCTGGACGAGGATGCGGTCGAGGAGCGGCGCAATGCTCTTGATGGACTTGATTGCGGACTGTGCGGGGGAATTGATTAGCTTGGAGCTGGGCGTGGAGGTGGCGGCGGAGCATGTGTGGTGGGGTGGTTCTGGTGGTGGTGCGCAATGCTCTCGTAGAGTGGATGGTAGTAGTTAGAATTGGAAACGGAGGGAGAGCTTACCATGTTGACGGACGGAAGGGGACTGGGTATCACGTAGAATCAAGAAAACGGCTATAGGTTGCGCTGGCTTGTAGAGAGAAAGATGTCGGTTGAAAGCTAGACAGCAAGATGAAGATGTTGTGCTTTGCCCTTCCAGAAAATTCCATGTCCGTGCACTTACCTCGGAACAGCCTGCGGAACGTTTGGCATCTCGCGCATTACCAGAACGAGTAACCTCACATTCGTCCCTTGCTAGGTGCATTCTTTTCTATTGCATCGGCGTCGACAGTGCTTCTTATGTGGAGAAACAATGTCCGACGATGCGGGCATTGTTACCATACTGCGGGACGGAACCATGTAGCTGGGATATTCCGACGCGCGATATCCAAGCGGGCTTTGCCAATTGGGAATGATGAGTTCATGTCGGCTATGCGAGATGGTGTGTTCGTGAAAGAGAAGGGTGATGATGTAGGCAAGAATCTTTTGGGTAAGTTGCCGTCGTATTCGTTGCAAGTATGCGCGGCTGATGTGCGACACAGGCATTGCCATCAGTGGAGGTGTCGACTCAATGGCACTCGCTGCGCTATACGCACAGTCTCGACTAGAAGACCCTAAGCTGCCTGTCCCTCATGGCTTCATTGTAGACCACAAAGTAAGACCGGAGAGCACTGAGGAAGCGGAATGGGTGGCACAGCAATTACATACGAAGCGTGAGATCTAGGATACATACCTGGCTCCCAAATACTAACATCGTCAAGTTGGCATACAAGTCACCATTCTTCCTCTTACATGGCCCGATGCCTTCGATCCCAACGACTCCAAGCGATTCGAGACGGAAGCGCGTACTCTCCGCTACCAAGCGCTAGGTCTAGCATGCAGAAGCATGAAGATTACACGCCTCATGCTGGCGCACCATGCGGATGACCAGGCCGAAACTGTCATGATGAGGCTGGCGAATAACAGGCTGCGCTCCGGGCTTCAGGCAATGCAGCGCAGAGAGTGGATACCAGAGTGCGAGGGTCTCCATGGGGTGTACCACAGTGGAAAACACCAGAAGCCAGATCGCACCGGGCTTATACCGTTCAGGCTCGAACAAGGAGGTGTGCAGATTCTGCGGCCTCTGTTGACGTTTGAGAAGACGAGACTTATTGCGACGTGCGAAGAGAAGGATGTAGCTTGGGCAGAAGATAAGACGAACCAGATAAAGACGCTTACATCGCGCAACGCTATACGCCATATCTACCAGAACCATAAACTTCCAGAGGCTTTGAGCGTCACATCGTTGGTTCAGGTCTCGCATCACATGCAAGAGCGCATCAAGTGGCACAAAAATTTCGCAGACGAACTCTTCGATAAATGCCCCATGAAACTCGACATACAGACAGGCTCTCTTGTCGTCCGATTTCCTCCCTTCTCCGACCTCCTACCGCAGCCTATAAATACCAAAGCCGACAAGGTTAAAGCCAAGAATACGGCGTATTGCCTGCTAGAACGTGTGGCAGGACTAGTCACACCCGCCACCAAAGCACCTCTTGGAGAACTCGCCGCATCCGCCTATCGCATCTATCCTGAACTCGAGGAGCTCGAAGAAAACGTGGAGCCGGGTGACGCGCTCCGGAAGAAGAACTTTTGCGTATACAACGTTTGGTGGCGTTTCTGGGACAAGCCCTCGCCGTTTAACAAGCCCGAGCACCAAGAAGAAGGCATCAACCCAGGCCTAACTCATCCGCGAGAATGGCTGCTTACCCGGCAACCCCTGGATACGCTGGAGAGAGCAAACCCTGAATTGAACGTCGTCTATCCGCCAAAGAGACTTCTGGGTAAACCATCGCAGAGAGAAATGTGGCGACTCTTCGATGGCCGCTACTGGATCTCTTTAACCAATCGACTTATGTACGACAACATCGTGCTGCGGATATTTAGCAAGGACGACTACTTACCCACTGCCCAGGAGATCAAGGATCGGATGCTTGAACCGGCAGATAATAGTCCTTATCGCTTCATTACGGCTGCTTTCGATCTGCTCAAACCATCCGATGTGCGCTTCACGCTGCCCGCCGTATTTCGGATTGACCGCACGACGGGTGAGCGAAGATTGCTAGGGTTCCCGACTCTCGATTTGCGGCCCCACGGATTTGGACCACCGGCAAGTGAATGTGACTGGGAAGTTGCTTACAAGAAGATCGATTTCGGGTCCCGGTCTGCGTATGATATCATCAAGCCTGGGAAGTCGAGGAAGGATCTTTTTGATGAGGCGATGAAGGGTAGGCCGGCTGAAAAGAAACGCGTAGTCAAGACAAAGGAGATGAAGTCGAGGGAGCGGAGGATGAGAAACGTCCTGAAGAATAGGCGGCAGCAGGAGCGTAAGGAGGCAAGGATCAAAGGTTTCAGGAGACCTGACCTTGCAGCACATGTTGGTGGGGAAGAGAGCAAAAGACAATGGAGCGCTGCTGTTCAGGACGTGGAGAGCAGTATGCAAGCAGACGGAATGGGTGGAAAGGACGCACTAAGTTCCCTAGATAGAGGGAGGAAAACGGCGCCTGTCGACGGGAGTGTTACTAATGGAAAATAGAGAGCTGCTGTCCGGAGGGTGAGAAAACAGCAGAACGGAGGGAAAAGGTAGCCTGTGTACCATAGAATTAGCAATTGATATCCTATAACATTTGAATAGAATATATCTTTTCCATATAGTGGCAGGTGCTGTAGCTATCTGGTAAGAAGTGTCCCGCAAGGCTGAAGCGATGACGTTGTGGAAATAGACAAGGAAAGTGCACCCAGCCAAATGAGGAAGGCAGATGTCGTGGTAGGCGTCTCCACCAACGCGCATTGCCTCCTTCCCCGCCCTGCAGCGGCAGTCGAGCGCCATTGCTTTGAGCTTATTTCGACCGCTATTATTCTGTATGTTGCATGCGAGGTTGGTGTTGGTCCTATAATGTTGTTTCGTACGGTGCAAGGTTGTTAATATCGGTTGTCGGCTGTGACAGTGAAGATGGAGAATGACCACCTAGGCGGTGTTTTGTTGACTCAATTACGATGTGCGGGGTCAATGCAAGGACTATTTATGTGGCGCTGCTGAGACTATTTGTACTTTGTACGCCATGTAGCTGACATGTGGTGTGAGATTTGAGAGAACCACACCTCAACAAGTATCGCATGGCTTGCTCGTGGTAGCCGTAGTTCTACACGCTATCGAGGTTGACTCGTGTGGTGGAGCCCGGCCGGGAGTCTTCGAGTAGCCAACTCGCTCCGCGCTCCAGAAGAAGCCACGAAGCGAGAGTAGTCAGGGACCCGAGATCCACAGTTCATCGACGAGACGAGGGCGACGATAAATTGTCAACAGGGCTATCAGCGGCTCAGAGATTCGATCAGAGATACGATGGTGGTGGCTTGTCAGATGTTGATTAACGTGTGGAGTGTAAATATGGCAAAGTTCTGGATGGCATTTAGCGTTTCAAAGGCATGAAACGGCGCGCAACATGACTTGGTGCACAAGGTTGCGAACAACCCAGGCACAAGGCCGCACGGGAACCCGTCAGCCTCTTGTCGCCAAATTTTGCACCCGAGTGCCTGTGGCGGTGAGCGAGACGCGGATTGGGTACGGTCATAATTACTGTCAGGGAGATCGTCTGCGGAGTTTTATCGAGTGCTCTGTGCGTACCGCGATGTTGGGCAACCACCGCTGAGATGACAGGAGGCATGTAGATCAAGCGGAATTTCTTTTGTGCGTCTCAGAGTCTGGCAGCTGTCGAGTTGTGAGTCGAGGCGATGGGCCAGCTGGAGAATGGGCGACTATTTCTTGATACGTAACAGAGAGTTTTTGAAGTGCAAGCTGTGGCAGGCTAGTCCATGGTGCTGCCCGTGGTAGACGCCCCTTTCACGTGAGGTGAAGATTGAGCCGGCATGGCCCTAGTCACACTGGCCAGGTGTTTTCGGCTGATCTGAGATGAAGGCGACCATTCTGAAGAGTCAGTCCTGGTTTAGCAATTTTCACTTCACCCGCTGTTGTGGAAGGCGGTGTCCAATCTCGATGATGATCAATGCCAGGACTGGTTTGTTCAGGAGTGCATGCGTTGACAACGCCAGATACCGATACCAGAGATCAAACATCGGACACCAGATGCCAGCCTCGGACTGGCAAGAAAAGCAGGTCAAGCGTGCGTGAACGCCATCAAGACTAGAGATGGCGGCACGTAGTCTCTTCGGCAGCATTCGCCAGCGCAAAGGTTAGCAATTTGGGCGCCAGGGTCTTGACGCCTTTTGTAAACGGGGATCACGCTTGGAGGGCGGTGGCGTGCCGCGATTCGTTACGTGCAGGCGCTAGAAGTGTCTAGCCTTGAATGCTCAGACATGCTTGGCATGGCGCGAGAGTGGGAGTTGTGCAGAGTTCGCGACGGCGCAACCAAGACGGCGGAGGTGTGGCACAGAGTTGCGAGGTGTTGATGGAGGTGTTCACTGCAGCGGCCAGCCGTAGAGCGGCCTTTTGGGTGTGTGAGACTCGAGGGCGCTCGGGTGATGATGTGCATGGTGTGGGTTGGATGCAAGATACCGATGTCGATCACGGTTATACTCACTGGTGCTCACTACTGTGCCCGGAGTACTGATGGTGCGAACGCTGTACAGTACTGGTGCGAGATGCATGTACAGCGGGCACCTAGTGAAGGATGGGTGTCGATGGCAAAGGCGAGGCAGGCTAGACGATAGCCATCTGCCCAAGACGGCGCCGTTTGTCGTGTTTCGAGCCGTCATCAGTCTCGTGAGCCAGCAAAGATAGCAACCACTGCCAGACATGCATGGCCGATCGTGGGCAAGTGGGAAGAGGGGCAGTTGGATCATGCGACCACGCTCAAGGGTCAGTCGACCTCCAAGCTTATCAGACGCGTGGGCGCCAACGTGGAATCCGCCAGATGCCGGATCACACACAGTAGATCCAAGTCTGCCAGTGTTGATGTCCAGCGAGTGCAGGTTGATGCCGGCATGCACAGCGGGCGTTTCAGAGGTCTGAGTGCATAACGTTGGTGAATGGTGCTATTCGGGCGGGCTAGCAGCAGGCGGGTCCGTCCAAGAGGACGTGCAGCCGCGAAAGCCAATTTCGTTGGTGGCATCCCTGCACCTGAACCCCTACCTAGCAACAGCCCTCACCTTAAAGTTCTCCCCTTCCTTGGGCGTCTGAGATTTTCTATCCTTCTTCCTCCTCACCGCCCTTCGCATCCTTAACAAGGTCGTGCCTGCTTGTCTGCCGCTGCACTTTGCGAGCGTCGTACTTTCCCTTTCCGTACATCTTGTAATACCCAAACACTGAGCTTGCCTCACAACACTCCTCTTCTCGCACCCACAACCCCCCCACACGCACGCTCTCCCAAACAAACAGCACCACACACCATGTCTGCCCCCGTCGACGCCCCCAAGCCGGTCGAGGTCCCCGAGGTTGGAACTGCTGGCACCGTTGAGCCTGCGCCCGCACCCGTCGTTGCCAGCGAGCCGGTTGTCGTGCCCGTAGAGGAGGCTCCCAAGACGGAGGATGTCCCCAAGACCGAGGGCGAGGCCGCAGTGCCCGTAGAAGAGGCTAAGGAGGAGAAGGTCGTCGAGCCCATCTACAGCGGTGCGCTCGGCTACAAGGCGCCTGGCCTGAAGAAGTGAGTGCAACAACTTATCATCAACATACCGTCCATTTCCTAACCTTCCCAGCGCCTTCCGCTTCGCCAAGAAGTACTTCTGGTTCGGCGAGGAGCCCGTTGCCGCCGACAACCTGAGGGAGTACCTCCGCGGCGAGAAGCCCGAGGTTGCCCACCCCGTTGTCGCCTGGTCCAGCCAGACCGGAAAGGGTCTGCTTTTCTTCGTCAAGCACGCCGACCAGAAGGAGCACCCCGCCGGTGTCCTAAACTTGGTAGGTTGAAATCTCACCTGCACAGCAATCGCATCTAACACACCCAGGCCTATGCCACCGACCTCGCCAAGGACGGCGCCGTCGCTTTCGCGTTCAAGATCTCCGGCCACAAGCACACCTTCGAGGCCACCACCGCCGCCGAGCGTGACGGATGGTTCGTCGCCGTTGAGAAGGCCATCACCGAGGCCAAGGCGTCCAAGGACACCATCGAGTCGAGCGAGGGCTACAAGGAGAACAAGGAGAAGATTGGTACGTTTTCCCAAATCATCCATGTCGCGTCGCGTCGCGATGGCACTAGTGGGCGATCTGTCTGTGTGCTGCAGTAGGCTAACATCCCGCAGGTAAGCCCACCGCGCTAGCGGGAGCTACATCCTCCGCCCCCAAGAAGAGCATGGACGCGACCCCCAAGCTCGCCGAGGGTGAGACCGCCGCTGCTGGCGAGCCCGTCGCTGCTCGCACTGGATCTTCTTCCAGCTCTTCTTCCGACGAGGAGAAGCGCAAGAAGGCTGCTAAGAGCAAGTCCCGCTCTGTCTCCCGTGGCAAGCGCGCCAGCCTCTTCGGCGGCCTGCTCGGAAAGAAGGACAAGGAGCCCAAGGAGGAGACCGATGCCGTCAAGACCGAGCCTGAGGTCAAGAAGGAGGAACCCGCCGTTGTTCCCCACCTCGACGAGAGTAAGCTCATCCATCCTGTTTCCCAATGTCGCATACTAACATGTCTAGTCCCCGCCACTGCTCCCGTCAATGCCAACGACGTTGTGAAGCCCACCGAGGAGACCACCGTCGAGCCCGTCGTTCCTGTTGTCGCTGCTCCTGCTGAGGAGGCTACCAAGGTCGACGAGACCGCTGTCCCCGCCACCGCTGAGAAGCCCAAGCCCCAGAAGCGTGGTTCCATTTTCGGATCCTTCGTTGAGAAGCTCAAGTCTCCCACCACCGAGAAGAAGGAGCACGAGGCTGGTCTTGCCTCCACACCCGTCAAGGAGAACGAGACCGCCCCAGAGGCCACCAAGCCCCTCGAGGAGGCACAGGTTGGCACACCTGTCGTTGCTGAGCCCACTGTCGTTGCCACTGAGCCAGCTAAGACTGAAGAGGCCAAGGTCTCTACTCCCTCCAAGGAGAAGGACCACTTCAAGTTCGGAAAGTTCTTCGGCTCCAAGGACCGCGCCAAGTCGCCCGCTCGCGAGCCCAAGGTCGACGCGGCTGCCCCTCAGATCGCTGACACCACCGCGCCAGCCACCGCTGAGCCCGTCCAGGCCGTCGAGCCTGCCCCCATTGCTGAGACCAAGGCTGAGGCCACCCCCGAGACCGAGGCTCCCAAGCAAGACAAGCGCAAGTCGTTCTTCGGCAACCTCGGCCGCTCGCTCTCCAAGGCGACCGGCAACAAGGCACCCAAGGACAAGAAGGACGCCGCCAGCCCTGCTCCCGTCGCCGAGGAGGAGGCCGCTGCTGCCCCTGCCGTTGAGGAGAAGAAGGAGGAGACCACCGCCCCTGTCGTAGCAGACATCCCCGCTGAGAACAGTGTGGGCGATGCTTCGAAAAGCGCCAACCCGACTGTCGCTACAACTGCGTAAGGTTTGGTGGGAAGATGTCAGCCTTTGCAACGACAGCCACGACGGAATGACGGAAAAGCAAAGACTTCGTAAATCCCTTGTTTGACCGCCGGCCACTCTGATACCCCCAAAATCTGCTTTGGATCTTGAAGCCGGATTCAGGCGTCACATTTGGATCAAGCTTCTTCACATATCCCCTCTCATATTTGATTTCTCCTTGCATCTGGACCAACTCATCGTCACTCTCTCTTGGTGGATCGCGACGGACTCTTTGTTTAGACTGATACCACTGTAACTGTTTCTCTCGTTTTGATACCACTGGCGGATCTCGGACGCATTTGTTTTATCGCGCAATACCCCGGATACCCTCTGCGTACTGCCTTGTTAGAAGGAGTACACAAGCGGCCACTAGGGCACACATCGACGTAATAATCTCTAATAAACTGTCGTTTGCTCTTACTCGAGGTGCCTGTCTTCAGTGATGTCTTGACTCGTTGGTGATTGTGGTTTGCACGGATGAGTATGCCGCGCGGATCGACCAAGTTGCATGACGCTCACTCATAACGGTCGTGTGCTGCCCCGGTGAGGATGGACTAGACACGAACCTGTAATAGACCGGCCCAGCCCTGGTCTTGCGCATAAAGACATGTGGCAAGACTTGGGCAAGATTGTCGCATCATGAGCACGGCAAGAGCGGAAGGTGCACTGGGGTGACCATACAGAGCAAGTCGACTGCGCCTTCCTTGGTGCTATCGATTGATACTTCCATGTCTGGACCCGGCAGCCTCGTCTATGCCCAACACAGCTCGCCTTTATTCCCTCTTGTGACAAACACCATGCCCATGCCCATGCCATCATCTTTCACTTACGTTGACATTCATACCTCGCTTGTATTGGAGCTGTATTCCTACCTTCGCTCTGTGCATTGCTAGGTCATACATGTCACGTCACCATGGTAGGTGGATGCCGATCGCGTGTCTCAGCGCAAGTACCAGCAGTTCGCACGCTCTAACACATGCCAATAGGGTTGTTGCGCCTCCCGCACGAGTGACGACAGTCCGCCTGCTGTCCGCGCGCATTCGTCGTCGCGCAACATCACAGCGCCCTCGACGCGACCGAGCTCTCCTCCCTCACGCGCCTCACATGCTTCGCAGGGCAATGCGCCGAGTCGCCCAGATGCCAACAACCGTCCCAACACGCCTCTCAAGCCCATATCCTCGACTCAGCGCTCGCGCCTGCCTAATACGCTCGCTTCACCCACAGCTAAGAGCAGTGGCCGCATCCAGCCTCTAACAGACTCTACGCACTCGACATGGACCCGATCGCGACTAGGGAAAGAGCGCGAAGACTGGTGGGATACACAGGTCACAGGTTCGGAGCAGATATGGGGCGCCATACGTCTTGTAGCGCAGCATCTACAGGCTGGACAGTTGCAAGAGGCGCAGACGATGCTCGATGTCAGTGACTGCACGTGCCCGACGGGCTTGCTCTGGCGAGGCGTCTACGATGCGACTGGCGTCCAATACAAAGTCCCCGAGTGGGTAGTAGTAGAGCCAGAAGGCCTAGCAGAAGAGGGTGGCATGGACGATAAAGACTTGGCTGGAGATGCGAGCGCCAGCGCTGTGCCGGAGACGGTTGAAGATACCCTCGCCGACGACTCCGACAGCCTTATACGTGTGAAAGTAAGGACGAGTCACGACCAGCGGGATCATCAGGTTGTCATGCGGATGAGAGATTCGGTCGCAACCATTATTGAGAAGCTGAAGAAGCAAGCAAAGGTATGTTGGACTTGATTGTCTCCATGCCTCTCCTTTACTGCATGTACATCGCTAACCACGTGTAGCTCGATTCCACCCTCGTAATTCGTCTCGCATACGGCGGACGTATCTATGAACCCAAAGAGATGCTTGAATCCAATGCCTACTGGAATTTTGCTAACAACTACATCATCACCGCTCTCGTCTTTCAGTAAACATTTGATCCTTTGCACACCCGCACACTGCACTCCTACCATGTCCCAAGGCTCCACATTTGAATATACGGAACACATGGCTCACAAGGACTGCTAGGTCTCCGTCAGATTACCTCGACTTTCTGCTAGATTCGATTAACAAGACGTTGGACGAATTGGGCTTCCCGAACCCGAACCCTGAATATACTGCGGACGACGAGTCTAACGGTAGCGAGACTGACCCTCTTCTCGGTCAGTCCCGTTGGTCGGACAGCAGCAGCGACGACGAAACGTCCGGTACAGGTTGTGTCGCCTTTTTGTCTGGGTTGGTATGCGCATATTGAAATGTTCATCGGTGGAACTACTCTTCGCTTTCCTAGTTCAGTCGGTGGCTTGTTTGATACCCCTATCTTTCATTTCCTTCATTCATGCTGGCGGTGGGTTTTGGTGTCTTTACTTGTACCCAGTATTGTTTTCCCATGCTTCGGCGTATCGCTATTGCGAGCTCATAATTATTTGAATATTAGAAGTCCGAATAAGGCTTGGGATTCTCGCTAATACTATTACTCTCTGTCCATTGACTTCGTTTCTTTGGTGATTCACATATAACTATACCAAGACCGAACCTGTGTTGGCGTGTTATTATGTGTTTGGTGGAGTACGCACGACTTGACAATGGCTAGGGTTGATTCTCCTCATTCGAAGTCTAACGCCAAATAGCAACTACCATCGAAACGATCTCCCATTCATTCCTTATGATTGCGCTGCTCGACACGGCGTATACGGTTGTACATACAATGTTCTTCGCATGCGGAGCTGGTTGATATCTCCGAGTTGTGCTTAGACCCGATCAGACATCATCACATCCACTCAACAAAGTGCTAATCGACACCATTCGCAGAAGCGGACGAGTGTGTCTTCCGCTTCCAGTCTTTCCAAAGTCAAACGTTCGCCATCTGCCGTCTAGCTTCCTGCGTCTCCATCGACACCATGATGGTTGTGGTGAACCCTGTGACATCATCGTTTTTCAACCTCGGAAGCTCATCGCCCGCCATGACGACAAACTACCCTCTTTTCGAGTACAATGAATACTCACTAAGAGCGAACCAAATACACCAACCCACAGCACACTTAAAGCCAACATGTTCGCCTCATCTGCGTCGCGTTCTTTACGCACAACTTCCACAGACCGACTTTCACAAATAACCAGACAAGTCCTCCCGCAACAAGTCAGAATGGCACACAACGGCACGACCCACACGCTCAACACGGGCGCCAAGATTCCTGCCATTGGCTTTGGAACTTGGCAGGATAAGGAAGCTCAAGAGCCGTAAGCTTTTGCCTTGTCGTTGAGAAGCGTGTTGTTTTACTAACACGAAAAATAGAGCTGTCACAATGGCCCTAAAGGCCGGATATCGCCACATCGACACTGCACGCATCTACGGCACCGAGCCCGCAGTAGGCAATGCCATCAAAAAGTCCGGCGTCCCCCGTTCAGAGCTTTTCATCACCAGCAAGCTCTGGAACAACTCGCACCACCCCGATGACGTAGAAGCCGCACTCGATGCATCCCTCAAGGATCTCGGCACCGACTACCTCGACCTCTACCTAATGCACTGGCCCTCGCCCTTCGCTCGGGGCTCAGAAATGTTCCCCAAAGACTCCAACGGCAAAGTCAAAGTAGGCGAAAGCGACTACGTCGACACCTACAAAGCCATGGAGAAGTGCTTCAAAAGCGGCAAAGCCCGCGCAATCGGCGTGTCAAACTTCAGCAAAGCGGAAATGGAGCGCTTGATCAAGGAAACGTCTGTTGTACCTGCGGCTCACCAAATCGAATGCCATCCTTACCTCCAGCAAAACGACTTCACAGAGTTCCACAAGCAACAAGGTATTCATGTGACACAGTACTCGCCGTTTGGCAACCAGAATGAGATTTACGATGCCGGGAAGAACATGAACAAGCTCATGGACGACCCTGTGCTTGTGGAGATTGGCAAGAAGCACGGCAAGACTGGCGCGCAGGTCGCTCTGGCTTGGGGCATTGCCAAGGGCCATTCTGTTATTCCCAAGAGTAAGACTGAGTCGAGGATCAAGGCGAATTTGGAGGGTGACTTTGCGCTGCCCAAGGAGGATGTAGAGAAGATTACTGGTATTGACAAGAAGATGCGGTTTAACGATCCTTCGGGCAACTTTGGATGGAACTTTTACACAGATTTGGACGGTAAGAAGAAATGAGTGAGAGAGTAGTGTATTATAATGCTGTTGGAGTAGTGGAATGACAACAATACGTCTGTATCCATTACATTCTCAAACTTCTAAAAAACATGAAATGCCCTAACTATAACTCCCCGCCGCCCAGCTCTTCCGACTCTCCCTGCGATCCTCACCCTCAAAGAAAATAGCGACACGATTCGGCTCCCCCTTTCCCCCCTCATGATAATCATACTTGATCTTCTTGAACCTTAGCGCCCTCGCTTCCTTAATCTCATCCCCACTCATAACCATCGCCGCGTCACCTCCAATACGACTCACAACAGGATTCAATAGCATAGCCATACTAAAGAAACTCTCGTCGCGAACAATCGTGCGGTTGGCGAAGAGACCCAGCAGGCACAGGGCGAGGAACTGGATGAAGCAGATTCCGCCGAGGATGCTGAAGATGTAGGACCAGTCTACGTCTAGTTGTTGGCCTTGGGATGGGACGACGGTTTGGTGCGTGACGTTGTATCGGATGCCGTGGTCATCGAAGGCGGCGACGGCGCCGATGGTAAAGCGCATGAGTAGATCTTCGACTTCTGATTTGGCGATGTTGTGCGCAGGGGACCATTTGGTGCCTTGACTGTAAGACCGGGTTTGGCGATCAAACCATAGGTTCCATGGTATACCTGTCCAGCCCATGGCGCCAGCAGCTGTACGAGCGAAAGTATCGGAGCCCCAGACTGCAGCGAAGTCGGCGGGGTCGCGGGGGACGATGTCGTTGGGGGCGTAGGACGAGGTTACGTTACCGAGTGTGTTGTTGCAGAGGAAGAGGGAGGCGGTGGTCACACGCGCATGCTTCTTATCTGACTCGGGGAGTTGCATGACGGTGAAGTTTGTGCATCTTGGCCCGCAGTTTTCGGGAACAGAGGCCATCCAGGTTACAGAGCCGCCGGCTTGTTCGGTGACTTCCCATTTGACGTAGTCGTCGTCGCCTTGGTGTCGAGCCATGATGTAGAGGGCTTCGTCGGGCACGTCGTGCACTGTACCGTCTTTAACTTCGAGTTGCTCACATGATGCGCGGACGGTGATGTTGCGGGAGCTGGCGAGGTAGTTGACCCATTGGTGGGCTGGATCGCGGTTGAAGAAGCGGTAATGCCACGCGCCGTTGCCGCTGTAGATGGGTGTGCCTGGTAGGCCGGATAGATCAGTAATCATGTCGTCGATGTTGCCGGTAAGATTGAAGCTCGGGTATGCCATGGCTTCCATGCCGTACATCCATGCCGCTTCCAGCGAAGTCTCGTTGATGAGACTGATGTCGGGGTCGATCTCGCGCGGCGGGTTGTCGACGTACCAATCGTTCAGATCGGCTACAGTTACGTTCCCATAGGATAAGAGTGGTATCTCCGAGTTCTCCATTGGCCAGAACAGACTCAGCAGTGCAACTAGGATCTGAGAGCCGATGTTAATAGCCAACCATGCTAGACACGCAAGCCACATCCACTTTGTCCCATCGTCTCTCACGTCCTTGAACCACCGAAACTTGCGTAGCCATTTTTTGCCTCGGAAACCGGGTGAAGAGAGGATCATCAGCTTTGTGACCTTGGCAAGCGAACTCAGGTGTAGGATCAGGTCGAATACTTCCAGACTGACGTATCGTCTGGTGAGGAATGACCATCGGAACACTGATGCATAATGCTTCAACGAGGCCAAGATGTTCAGACCCAGACACAGAGAGAGACCGAGAGTGAGCGAGTTGAAGATTCGAATATCGATTTTCGAGAGAACGACGGGGCGGCGCCATCCTTCCCAACATTTGAGTGTAACACACATTGCTGCGCTGAAGAACAGTGTTACGAGGAGTTTCGTCGCGCCTGTCTTTAGGAGCGTTTTCCGCGCCTCTTTGTGGTCGAATCGCTTGACGCGGTGGTGGTGTTTATGGTGATGAGTCCCGTCTTCAACGTCAAACGTGGAGCTGGGGCTGCCTACGCTTGCGTAGAATCCGCCCTTGGACTCCATGATCTCTGGAGATTGGACCATGGATGGTGAGTGGAATGGTGAGTCGGATGGCGATTTGGATGGCGAGTATGATGTGTCGTCGATATGCTGCATCGCTACATCGCCACTGTCATAGCTGAGTGGTTCGACGGAGCTTATCAAGGGCGCATTGTCAGAGTGCCCCCCACTGACTGTACGACTTCGATCCATGTTGTTTAGGTTTTGGTCCCTTATCAACGGAACGGTGTCTCTGTGCTTTGCTTCCAAATCCAACAAATGTAGAGATGACTTTGCGTGGCTTGGGATCTCGTGTGCCGTCAGACGGCAGGCTGCAGGTGTCTTGGGCGAAGATAGCAAACTAGGAAGCGAGCGAGCGAGGCGTTACGCGCATTCTTTAGCGATGGCGAAAGTACCGACACTGTGGTTGCGTTCCCCGGGTATACTGGTATGTGAAAGGGATTTCGCAGTAGTCCTGCAAGACTTGCCAAGGAAAGTAGCAAGAGTGATTATCTGAAGTGAAGAAGATGCAGAATGCTCTTGAGCGCACATGGCGCTCTTATCGCTGTCTCCCGGACGGGTTTCCGCGCGACCACCATATTGGGGGCTGAAAGTTTGGGGGCCACAACAGCCGCATCTGCAAGCCTTTGGCGTTGTACACGCGGGCGAAGCGACTGTAAATCTAGTACAGAGGCTGGTAGAGGGTCGATAGAAAGTACCAAAGCGTAAGAATAGAAACCAAAAAAGCACATCAACGACTCACCATGCTCCTACCGTGAAGCCTGCGTTCGGAGAAGTACATCAGCCCACCCCTCTCCATCCTTGGTAGGCTTGATTTTCCCAAACTGGTGGCTGAGTCTCACGCTAGACCAACGAGTGTAGCGATCGGTAATCCTATTGTTAGCTAGATAGGCTGTTCAGGGCACGCGAAATATCGAGGCGTTTCTGGCCCAGTAGTATGCAGGTGGTTGTACGCCACGAACAACAAGTATGGTGGGGCCGGAACGCTCATTCGCCTAAGATGCAGCTGCGGGAGGGTAGAAGCGCAAGGCTCGAAGCTTACAATATGTCGCAGAATGCAGCTGGATGCGGCCATGCAGTTATGAAGCTGTGCGATGGCGGGAATAAGATCAGGCAGAGGTCGACGTCGTTGTAGTTATTGTTGTAAGCGACGCGGAGTGAGTACCTGCCTAACCGGCCGCGGTTGCGAAACTGTCAGCTTATGCCTCCGCGGGCACACATCAATCCCCGGTATTGTAGGAGGCATCTTAATGGTCTCTTAGTATTCGTGCGACGTATCTGTCGTTGCAAGAGCAGGACCGTAATTACTCTGACGATGATTCCCGCGCGCGAGAGCGACTGCCGATAAGCCTCAGGTATTCCCCACTTAACACTAGATGACAAATGACTGTGGAGAAGGTATGTCAAAGGGCGTAATGTGAATAAGTCTTAAAAGCCTCATATCCATCGCGTCTATCTCAACTTTACTGTTAGCTGTCGGATATCGCAACCAAAACACAATGTCGTCGTCAAACGTCGTTCTATACGATCTGCCAAGCCGGGGTGGCTTTTCGTGGTCATTGAACCCATGGAAGAGTGTGTGCATCCGGAACAACAATGCTATCTCACTCAAACTAACTGTACTGCAGCTCGTATGATCCTGAACTATAAGAAGATCGACTACACGACCGAATGGGTAGAATACCCTGACTTGGCCCCCAAGTTCAAAGCCCTCGGCATCCCACCCAACCCGAAAGACGCACCAGGCTATTTCACCGACTATAGCAGTCCCGCTATCAAGCATGCAAACGGCACCTACCAGATGGATTCTTGGCCTATTGCCTACGAGCTTGAGAAGCAACACCCAACTCCGTCTTTGCATCTCGATGACCCCATTGTTGTACAGATCAGGGATCAAATTGCTAAGATAGCTGGCCCACTGATGGCTTTGCTCATTCCTCAGGTACCAGTAGTGCTGCTAAACAAGCCGAGTGTGGACTACTTCTACGAGACGAGGGAGAAGATGTTTGGCAAGCCGCTCGAACAAGTAGGGAAGGACGCCAATCCAGATGAGTGTTGGGAGGCGGCCAAGGCACCAGCGAAGGAGGCGGGCGATTTGCTCAGGAAGAACGGCGGGCCTTATTTTCTGGGTCAGACTGGTGAGTTGAAACGTACTGACCGAATGATATCAAGTCTATGTTCTAACTTGTGAATAGTCTCGTATGCCGACTTCATCCTTGTGTCGATGCTGCACTTCGTCAAGTGCATAGGCGAGGACAAGTTCAAGAAAGTTCTGGCTCTCGATGACGCCTTCCCCAAGTTGTACGAGGCGTGTAAACAGTGGTTGGAGAAGGACGACTAAACTGTTCCTGGCAAGCGCCAGTGCCCAATCTAATCGATCGACTGCTCTTTCTCTCGTGCGCTCGGAGTGTGTGTATCAATAGCTTTTATAAACCTTATGCACATGAGGTTTTGCTGCACTGCATGCCATGCGCCACACTGCCCCTCTCTCAAGTCTGCCAGACTGCTTGACCAATCTGACTGTGCAGCATTAGCGCGGCCACGCTTCTTGCCTTGCGCCCGATGGGCAGTGTTGCCTAGCAGCTGATAAGTTCAGCTTTGAAGTCATAATGCCGCCAGATCATGCACGCACAGCGATAACGTCGCACCTCGACTCATACATTCTACACTCTTGACAGTAGCAGTTCTGCGCGGTTATTGGGACATTGTTTTCTCCGGTCAGACGACGCTCAAGGTTGTTGCGCTAATTCCAAACGTGCCTTCCATATCCAACATGAGCGCGACAACTACATCACCGAGGGCTGACACTGCGCATGAAACTTCGCGTACGTCTGAAGACGAATTCGAAATAGTAGAGCACAATCTCGACGTTCTGAGCATCCATGAGTCTCAAGACGGCACGCCCGTACCGACTATAGCGGTGACCGAAGAATTAGAGCGCAGCAAAGGAATCAACGCTTCCAAGGAAAGCCGACCTCTGCCAATCGATTACGATGAGTTCCACGATGCGATCAAAGGCGAAGATTACGATGGAGTGAAGAATATGCTGGACGACGGTGCAAATGTCGAACGTGGAACAGACGAGGGAGAATCACTACTGATCCTCGCTATTTGGAAGCAACACATCTCTATTATAACGCTCTTACTAGAAAGAGGCGCAGATATTAGCCGCCCATTCGATGGTTTTCCTCCCATCCACCATGCCGTCATGCAGAAAGATCGAGCACCCCAGATCATCCAGCTTCTCCTGGACTATGGCGCCAGCTTGGAAGCTGTTGGGACAGAAGACATTAACGCGCTACATTTCGCTGCATCGAACGGCATGGTACATGGGGCTGACTTCCTAATCGGGAAGGGAGTAGAGATCAGTAGGACCTGCGCGAGTGAGAAGACGGCTTTGATACTGGCCGCAAAATATGGACATCTTGCAATTGTCAAATTACTTCTCGCCAGAGGAGCAAGTTTGCACGAAAGAAGTGGAAATGGTTGCACTGTTTTGATGTGGGCGGCAGAGTATGGACAACATAAAGTTGTTCATTACTTATTGGAGGCAGGTGCGAGGGTCGACGACCGTAGTGAAGAGGCCCTTAGTAAGTCGATGTAACTTTCAAGTTTTGTTGAGCAGTAACTGATATTAGCAGCCGCGTTATCACTCGCTAGCATGTTTGGCCGACTGGAAGCCGTGCAGCTACTGATCGAGAGCGGCGCAGACATCAATGCACTTAGTGTGGTTCCAGAATCCTTCACCCCGGCAATGTTTGCTGCATTGCAAGGTCATGCAGAAGTACTCCAGGTTCTGCTATCACACGGAGCAGATTACAAACCAGATTTCGAAGTCGAATGGGCTGATGGTGACACAATCCTCGATATGACATTGACGAAAGGCCACCTCGCTGCTGCCAAGATTTTGTTAGAAGCCCTTGGTGGACCCGACTACCCAAAGGATAGCGTCGCACTCCAAATCGCCACTGCGCAATCTAAGGCAGAATTGGTACCAGTTATGAAGGCCGTTCCCATCATGTACCAACATATCGGCTCCAATCCAACCGGCTCTGAGAACTTGGGTTGGATCGAATGGGTCCTGGATCAAGGAGGAGAGCTTGTCAGATCAAAAGCCATGTGCAACATGCTATTTGCTGCACTAGTTGAAAAGGATGTCGGTTTGACTGCAGAACTACTCAGACTAGGAGCTGATTCAAACGTCATCGGGTTCATGGGTTACACACCACTTCACGTCGCAGTCGGCAAGCAGACGTGCAGCCTGGAGTTAGTCGAGATACTTCTCAAGGCAGGCGCTGATCCGGCTAAGCTCTCGCAAAAACCCACCATAGCTACACCACTACATTTCGCAATCCTGGGGTTCGAAACTAATCGTCCAGAGAAAATGGCTGTGGTAGACCTCCTGTTAGCGAGTGGGCGATGTAAGGTGATGAGAGGAGAAGACGCTCAATCCAGTGCATTTCTGAGTGTAGTAAGCGCGTTCGATGGTGGGAGTGCCGAAATTGCCAAAAGCCTAGCGTTCCGGATGCTGGATTCCATATCCGATGTGAACGACGACAAGGCTGACGATGGGTCTACTCTCATGCACGTTGCTGTCCAATATAATCAAAAAGAGGTCATTGACGCACTAAGACGAAAAGGCGCCGACATCAACGCGAAGAACAACGACGGCATGTCACCTCTTCTTCTGGCGTGCGGCATTGACGTGGAACTGGTCAACTTTCTGGTTACACGCTGTGCAGACGTGTCTGCTGTCAACAAGCAGAGGCAAGGAGCTTTGCAAATTGCCGCTGCGTGTGGGCAAGTCGAAGTGCTCAGATTTCTCCTTGATCTGGATCTAGCCGAAGAGGAGCCACTAAACATCAACGGTGTAGACGATGCAGGTCACACCCCTTTGATCGCTGCCACAATGGCGAATCATGAAGATGCAGCTCTCTTCTTGCTAGAACGAGGCGCCTCTGTCCAGCACCGTACAGCCAACAATGGACGACTTGCCTTGCATTACGCAGCACAGGCTAGTATGAGCCGTGTTGTGGAGAAGATGTTAGAGAAATCCTCCGCCGACATTATCAACGTGGAAGACGATAGAGGATACACACCCACTGCACTCGCATGCATGGCAGAGATACCCACTGTCGTATCCGCCTTGCTGTCCCATGGCGCAAATCCAAACATCATCTGCCAAAATACCGGCGACCGCCCTCTCCACATCGCACTCAAACGACCTTTACACATGGACCGCTTCGTAGATAGAGACGGGAGTCCTTCTCTCGACCTGCTCAAGCAAAAAGACACTGATATCACAGCCCGTGATGCCAACGGCCGCACACCCCTCCATCTTGCATCCGAGTTCCACAATCTGGAAGCTACCAAATTCCTCTTGTCTAAAGGAGTCTCACCCCACGACGAAGACAACAAGACCCAAACGCCACTTTGCCTGTGTTCAAACCCCTACATCGCACAAGCGCTCATCGATCACGGCGCGAACGTAAACCACGCCGATGAAAATGGATGGACGCCGCTACATTACGCTGTGTCGAGGTGTTGGGTGAAGGCTTTTGCGGTGCTGAGACAGGCAGGCGCTGATATGGACATGAGGACCCGAGATGATGAGCTTAGTGTTACGGAAAGGCTGGACAAGTTTGGTTCGTGGGAGAACTGGGTTAACACGGAAAGAGAATATATGTGTGATGATGCGCAGAGGGAGAAGATTAGGGAGTTTCAGATGAGGACTGAGATGGGGATGGAAGTGGATCGGTATTGAGGTGGCTTCTGGAGGTGGAGTTGCTTGGCTTGCTTGCTTCGATAGGCTTGTTCGCCTTTTTGATGCGTACATGTTTTCATCTAGAGTAGTTTCTATATCTTCAACCTATTATGTGAGACGATCATCTGCATGCGTCCATTCTGCGTCCAAATTTCTTTTTGTTCGCGCAGTCAAACGAGTCATGAACGGTGACGCGCATGAGTCGCACCTCCAGCCACCCACAACCTCTTCACAATCGACGTCATCAACATCACCAACGAGTCCAGACCATCCCATGATCCCATCACAAACCTAAATACCATCTAAACATTTTCACTCGGGACGTCATTCTTCCATTCGCCAGCGCATTCCCATTTCAAAATACACCACCGTAGTCCATCCGCGGTATTCCGAACGAATTAGGTAAAACGTCAGATCTCTTCGCGTGGTGTGCGCGCGATCTGAGAGCCCTGGCGCCGATCGTAACAACGCGGCGCGTCATGGACTTTTCGATAGCCTCGCGCTCAAATGCCATCACCAGTCCAGATCATGTATCAAGCTAAGCTTTTCGAGCCTCAATTGCTTGGCGTGAGTGACTGGAAGGAGTGTTTTCGGCACCCGTGGGTACCTTTTGCGGCATCTGGCGGGCGGATAAGCTTCCTTGGGCTCCTTAGGTCGAGCTGGCGGGAGTGATGGAGACGATGATGTCACAAGGGTGTAGTGAACTTAAGCATTCGATGCCGGGGCTTGATGACAAGAGTTGTAATCATTATCTTTGTCTCCAAGCCCGCCTGCTCTGTCCAACACATTCTCGTGAGTGAGCATTATGTTTGATCTCATCCGCGACTCGGCTTTCGGGCATATCGTCCGCCTCGTAACACGCAACAAGTACCTACAATATCCCGAAGAGAAGGACCCCGAGATTTGGAAGAAGTATGTCAGTCACGAAAAGTCTGGGTATGCCGCCTACCATGGATCTACGCAGGCGCCGGACAACAAGGACGAGATCGATGAACTTGCCCAGACGCATGGTGTGAGGAACCGGGAGGGACGCGATTCGGAGACTTCGTCGCGTACTGTGGGTGATGGGGTCAATGAAGCCAGTGGGTTGAAGGTCGATCCTGAGAAGGGAAAAGACCTTCATGTTATTGACTGGTATGGTCCGAATGATCCTCAGGTATGTTTGCTCCATGTTGAGATCCTTGGGTTTCCACTGACGGCTCTCTAGAACCCAAGGAATTGGTCGCGAGCAAAGAGGTACTTTGTCACCTTTGAGATTTGCTTCCTCACCTTTTCAGTATACATTGGTTCAGCCATCTACACACCTGGTCTCATGGGCGTGATGGCAGAGTTCGGCGTCGCTCAGGTTCCCGCGACCTTGGGATTGACGCTGTACGTTGCTGGATATGGTCTTGGGCCTCTTATCTGGTCGCCCATGAGTGAGATTCCGCAGATTGGCCGTCTCTGGGTTTACATTCTTACGCTTCGTAAGTGCAGCTGTTCGTTCACATCGAGGTGGCATGCTAATCGATACCAACAGTCATCTTCGTCCTTCTCCAGATACCCACTGCTCTCTCCGTCAATTTCGGCATGCTTCTCGCTTTCCGATTCTTGACCGGATTCTTCGGCTCGCCCGCACTCGCGACAGGAGGAGCTTCCATCGCCGACATGTACCGACCCAAGAAACAAGTGTATGGGTTGGCTGTCTGGGGTATCGGTGCTGTTTGCGGTCCTGTTCTCGGCCCCCTTGTGGGTGGCTTTGCCGTCATGGCTGAAGGTTGGAGATGGACCATTTGGGAGATCATGTGGCTCTCGGGCTTCTGCTGGGTCTTCCTGTTCTTCCTCCTGCCTGAGACAAGCTCGCCCAACATCTTGCACCGCAGGACACGCAGGCTCAAGAAGCTGACTGGCGACGACCGTCTTACCTGCGAGCCGGATATCACGTCTGCTGAGATGTCAGGCAAGGACGTAAGTTCTTCTTCTTCCATCACACCCAATCACTGCTAACACTACCATAGGTTCTCAACATGAGTCTTCTCAAGCCCATCACCCTTATGTTCAAGGAACCCATCGTGTTCCTGTTGAACCTGTACATTGCGCTCATCTACGGTCTACTCTACATCTGGTTCGAGTCGTTCCCTCTCGTGTTCTCGGGACTGTACGGTTTCAACCTCGGCCTTGAGGGAGTGGCCTTCCTGGGCATCCTCGTTGGTACATTCATCGCCGTCATCGTGCTCTTCGCGTGGAACTACTACTACCTGGAGAAGCAATTCGATGACAATGGCAACATCGCGCCTGAGAAGCGTCTAATTCCTGCCATGGTTGGCTGCTTCTTTGTCCCCATCTGTCTCTTCTGGTTCGGATGGACTTCGCGGTCGGATGTGCACTGGATTGTGCCGATTATCGGATCTGGATGCTTTGGTATCGCTGCCTTCACGCTGTTCCAGGCCGTGCTACCTTACCTGTCGGATGCTTACCCCGATTCTGTGGCTAGTGTACTGGCAGGCAACGACTTGATGAGGTCGTCATTCGGTGCGGGATTTCCCCTGTTTGCCAATGCCATGTACCAGAAGTTAGGCATCAACTGGGCGAGCAGTTTGTTGGGATTCCTGGGTATTGCCTTTATCCCGATTCCATTTGTGCTTTACAAGTGGGGCAAACAGATCAGACATAAGAGCAAGTTGGCCAGGAAGGATATCTAGGGGGCGTATAGTGAAATGGTCCCATAGGACGGACAATAATGTTAATTTGTTCAAACAACTGTCGCTGGAGATGAGCCAATTCCCAGATGTGTGGAACGCGTGGTTGACGTCATCATCGCAGGCGCTGTTGTGATGCATATTTGTTTTGTGAGCAATGTCAGCTGGCATGGGTGCGCCTGCGACACCGTGTGCAGCTCCGAGATAAGCAAATACGCAATGCTTTGTCGAGCAGGACGTTGGTGAAACAGCAGACGTTGATGCTACGTCAGACTCGACGCGATGCAGGTGGCCGATGCCAACGGCTATCTATAATGCCGTAGTCGATGTCGCGGAGGTCTAGACACGTGCTAGGGGGAACGCGGCAATGAGAACATGGCGAGTTTAAGATGACGGACGCGCCGAATGGACCCTGATGGCCGAAGCTGGAAGCATCGATCTCCCGGGAGTGACAGCCGATTTGGGTTTGCAGCGAGATTGGTGGTGGTGTCGCTGGGGTAGCCTCGAGGATATGGGTGAGGGAGCGATGGCACTAGGAGTGCTAGCGCGGAGCTTGTGGCGACTGAAGGCTACATGGCAGTTCCAAGATTGCTGGTGTCGTGGTAAAGGCGAAGAGTTTGGGAGGCTAGAGAGTTTGCGAGCCGGGTGCAAGGCGCGGCAGGGCTACACTGGAAGCGCAGCGGAAAGTGCTACCGGGCTGGAGTAGGTAGTGCAGTCAATGTCAGCAACTGTCGAGCTGTTCTGTTCTTCTTCATCTCATCGCCGTGTCTGTGCTGCACCGCCACAACATCCCGCGAACCTGTTTCCGCGCTGATCCTTACCCGCAACGGCAAAGGCGGCCGTCGTCGTCAACATGAGCGGGCATGGCATCGTGCGTTTTTCGAAGGCCGCTCCCCACAACGTCCTGCTGAACAACATGGCCATGGCGGACGCGACCAAGCCCGTCGTAGTCAATGCGCCCGAACGCCCGGGCTTGACGAGCAGCACCTCGGGGTCGTCTGGCGACTCGATGGACGAGACGACGTCTCCCGGCGAGCCTACGACCCTCAGCAGCAGCCGCGACCAAGTGGCGCCTCTGCGCGAGCCCCAGTACTCGTGGAACAGCAACGCCAGCTCCTCGCGCTCTCGCGGGCCTGCCATCATGACGGACCTGCCGCCGCAGACTCCCAACGGGGGCAGCGGGCCCAACTCGTCCACCAGAGCCGCCCGTCCAACACCCGGCCGCACCATCAGCAGCGCATATGCGCCTGCCCGCCGCCCGCAGCAGTTCTCCCTCAACTCGTCCGCCCACCGCCAGCGCAACAACTCGGCCACGCGCTCGCGCCGCAACCCCAACGCCGAGTACCGCGCCCAGGAAAAGGCCTACGTCCAGCGCATCCGCCAGGAGGACCAGCAGGACGACTTCTTCGACCCGGCCCTGCGCACCCCGAGCCTGGGCTACAGCACCGACTCCGAGACCGACGACGAATCCCCCTCGACCGCCGACTATGTCGAAAACGACCCCTACGACCAGGAGACGCTGCTCTACTATGGCAACGACGACATGCAGCCCTCGATCGAGGAGCTCAAGATCCCCGCCAACCGCGAGCGCCTCGAGTGGCACTCGATGCTCGCCAGCGTCCTCACCGGCGACGTGGTCAAGCAGGAGAAGAAGCGCCTCATCGGTAGCACCGAGCAGCAGGGCGACAGCACCATGAAGGCCGAGATCTGGATGGGCATCCGCGCCAAGGTCTGCGGCCGCTCGCTGCAGGCACAGAGGCGTATCGTCGACGACACCCGCAGCAAGATCCGCGCCAACCTCGAGAGCATCATCTCGTTTGAAGTCGGCGGAGAGGCCGAGGCGGGTCAGACGGCCGCCCAGCAGGTCGAGGACATTGTCAAGAAGATCGAAAAGGTCGAGAGCGTCTACCCCACGCGCCAGGCGCTCGAGGCTGCCTATCCCCGCGCTGCCTCGCAGCCCTACAAGGACGCCTGTGACGCCGTCATTGCCTGGCACAACACCATCGCCCTCATCAACACCGAAATGTCCATCCTTAAGAAATGGGTCGGCAACGAGGAGCTCGACTTCACCAAGCCCCGCCCGCGCTCGTCCCAGGACCACCATCTCACCGACGACTCTTCGTTTATTGACCGGATACTCAAGGAGGATGGCCTCAAGTCCCTGCAGGGCGACACCAATCTTCTGGCCCCGCTCGAGAAGGTCATCCAGAAGGCCAAGGCCACACTCATTGCGAACGCCGAAGGCTTTGCAGAGAGACATCTTCCGCCCTACATCGAAGAGCTGCTCACCCTTATCAACTTCCCCTCGCGTCTGCTCCAGGAGATTATCCGCGTTCGACTCTCATACGCCAAGAAGATCAAGGATCCGTCACAACAGGGTGTCATGATGGCCGAGCAGATGATTGCGCAGTTCCAGATCCTGCTTGCCATGGCTGGCCAGGTCAAGGAGAGCTACATGGTAATCTCACGGCCGGAGCCTGGCTGGGATCTGCCCCCGTGCATTGAGGAGAACTTCGACACGGTCGTGCTAGACGCCCTCAAGTTCTACTTCAAGATGCTAAACTGGAAGTTGGCCGCCAACAAGAACACCTTCAAGGAGGCCGAAATCCTCGAACAGGAGTGGGACTTTTGCAACAAGCTCGGTCGACAACTCCAGGGCGGCGACGTCGAAACTGCAGAACAATTCAGTGTGCTCACATCCAAGTCGCTCACTCGTCTCAGCGCTCACTTTGAGCGAGAGCTGCAGCGTCGACCTGACGAGCTCACGGGCTCTGAGATGGAAAAGCGGTACAAGCAGATACTAGACTCTGTCCGTGTTCGACAGCGTAAGCTGTTTCGTTTTTCCAGAATTCTCACGCAGCGCTTCGAGAACTGCACCGAGTTCAATGTCAACAACATCGACCTAGATGAGGAGCAATTGCAGGAACTGTACGAAGCCCTCGTCGCCACTGGCCACTTCCTCGTTGAGACTACCGGGGGAAACAACACTGGCATCTATATCGTAGCATCACCGACAGCACTCGACCGACCCAACGACATTCAGTCGCTTCTGACAACCTGCTACCACGCCGAAGAGGCTCCAGAAGACCCCTCCAACCCCTACGTCTTGATCATCCGACCAGAGCAGCCCCTGTACTGGCCGGGCAAGAAGATGTCAGCCAACATCATCGAGCCCCATCTAGACCTCAAGCCTGGTCGGTTAAGGCTCGTTGCGGATGGCTCCCAACAACGTCTAGCGAACGCGAACCTATCATTCCTCTCGTCAATAGGCATGGAGCTCACTACCCTAATCGATCAGCGCGCCAATCTTCCCCGTGTCAACGCAGAACTGCAGAAGATCAAGAAGACGGCATACAAGCTGTCCAACACCATCATGGACAGCGTCGAGATTGTCCGCAGGCAAACAGTTGGTCTTGATTGTCAGGATCTCATCCAGACTTGTTTCGCTTTCGCGACGGAATTCGGTCAACGTTCCGTCCTCTACATGGACTACAACCGGAGGGCGATGAACAACATCAAGCTAACCAGGCTGGCACTCGACTGGGTCAGCTTCATTTGCGACGACTGTATCGCTTCGGACCGGAAGACATTTCGCTGGGCTGTCGTCGCTTTAGAGTTTGCCATGATGATGACCCGCGGTCAGAACATCCTTTCCATCAGCGACGAGGAATACTCACAGCTACGACTCAAGGTCGCTGGCTGCATGTCCGTCCTCATCTCCCATTTCGACATCATGGGCGCGAGGTCGACCATCGCAGCTCAAGCCGAGCGACAGCGCCTCAACGCTATTGCTGGAAAGAGCCTGCTCGATCCAAAGAACGCAAAGGATGACGATGAGTCTATTGAGATGACTCAACAACAGTGGATGCAAAGGCTCGAAGAGATTGACACGTTCCGCAAAGACAAGGAAGCCGAGCGCCAGGCTCTTGGTAGGGTGCTGGAGGACTCTAATGAAGCCGATCGAGCCCTGACCTACCTGTCTTCGTCTGCGACAAACGTCACACTTCGATGGCAACAGGGCCAGTTCGTCGGTGGAGGTACATTCGGATCCGTCTACGCGGCCATGAACCTCGACTCCAACCACCTGATGGCCGTCAAGGAAATTCGTCTTCAAGATCCACAGCTCATTCCGACGATCGTTGCTCAGATCAGAGACGAGATGGGTGTACTGCAAGTGCTCGACCATCCGAACATCGTGTCTTATTACGGTATCGAACCACATCGAGACAAGGTCTACATCTTCATGGAATACTGCTCTGGCGGATCGCTTGCTGGGCTGCTTGAACATGGACGTATCGAAGACGAGACCGTCATCATGGTGTATGCGCTTCAGATGTTGGAGGGTCTTGCCTACCTACACGACGCTGGTGTTGTGCACCGCGATATCAAGCCCGAGAGTAAGTTAGCTTCTGGTCCTTTCATGATTCGCTCTTGCTAACAAGATCCAGACATTCTGCTCGACCACAACGGAGTCATCAAGTTCGTCGATTTCGGCGCCGCCAAACTCATCGCTCGCCAAGGTCGAACCCTCGCCGCTGAACACAGCGCTACACGTCAGGGCCGCCAACGCTCTATGACGGGAACACCGATGTACATGTCCCCTGAAGTCATTCGGGGTGGAAGCACAGGTCGCCACGGCGCTGTCGACATATGGTCACTCGGCTGCGTGATTCTTGAAATGGCTACAGGTCGCCGCCCGTGGGCTTCCATGGACAATGAGTGGGCCATCATGTACCACATTGCCCAGGGTGACCCACCACAACTGCCATCTAAGGAGCAACTCAGCGACACTGGTATCGACTTCCTCAAGAAGTGTTTCGACCGCGACCCGAACAAGCGAGCCAGTGCGGTCGAGCTGCTCCAGCACGAATGGATCATGACGCTCCGCGCTCAGCTCAGCCTGGAGCCAGCGACGCCCAGTGATAGCAATTCAAGCAGCGGAACACCACAGAGTAGTAGGCAAAACTCCAGCTACAACTAATCCTTGACGCCCTCATCAGCATGCTTCGGCATGAACTCTGATGATGTTGGCTGATAGTGCATAGTGGCTCGCCGCCTTTCCATACACAGGGCCAGTCTCGATTCTGGTCAAAGCCTTCTACCCTCTCCAGATACCGCCTCAGCAGGTTCCGGTGTTAGTCCCTTGACTATACCACCTGGCTCCTCGTTTATTGGAGCTTCACCTTTCCGACAATTCAACTTCTCTGAACCTTGAGATGCTTACCTACCTGTTATCTCGCATCCCAACCTACGGTACAAACTGTCGAGGACTCGTAGATTGTACACCTTATTGTTCCTCTCTGGCCTCGATCCCTTCCACTTCCCGCTAGCGTCTCTTGGGAAGTATGGGTAGGGCGTTTACATGGTTCTCTTTCCCACTTTTGTTTCTTTTGTCAGGCGGTGTCTCCTTACGTATGACTACCGTCGGTTGGGCATTCTGTTGTAGGTGTTTCTGCATTAGCGAGGGCGTTTCTCCATATCGTTATTGGTATGAGCTTTACTGTTGGTAGTCGTCTTTATACATCATGCTTGCCTGGGTGGCTTTGGCGAGCAACACTTTCTCTTATTGTCTAATCGTCCAGATGATGAAGGCGATGCGGTATATACTAAGCAACGATTGCCCTGCGTGGCTTATACATCCTTTCAACACGTGTGCTCCTATCCCTTCAGCGTGATGCTTCTCAATGTTATCAGATCGTCAGGCATGTAAGTTGACTAGCATCATCCGTATCACCGTCGTGATTTATGCGCACATGCAATGTACCCGAGCTACATATGCGTACAACATATCCATATTTTCCTCATGCACCCCGATCCTGGGAAACTCGCACCATGCTCTAAACCATCCACTCCCTCAGCACCTCCTCCTCTACGTCCCTCACCAGCACATGCACATGCTCCAAACTCCTCACACTCTGCAAATCCGTCGTATTCTTGAACCAAATAACCTTACTCCCTTCCTCTTTCTCTCCCGCCTTGTCCCTAAACTCTCTCTTCACAAAATCCTCCACCATACCCCTCCCCTCCCCACTCAACGCGCCCTTTTCATCTACCGGCAGCCGCTGCTTCAACCACGCCACAATGTGCTTAATACCAGGCACAAACGCATACGTCCAATCATTCCTCAGAATCCTGTAATCAGCAGGATTCGCAAATGGCGTCTTGTTGACTACATCAAACCGCAACGCCCCGCTTTTATCTTCGATCGGTTCCCAGAGTAAGCGCTGATCGATCAGATATGTCATTACGCTGCCGTACTTCTGCTTTACGTGCGCTGTCCACGCTAGATACGCTTTCAAGGCGCTGGGCCAGCGTTTCAGCTCTTCGAGGCGGTTAGTGCTGATGAGGTCGTGCAGATTGGACCAAGAGTGTGGTGTAAAGTCCGAGTCGGAGAGGGAAAGCTGTTGCCAATCTATGGCTGTGAGGGCGAATGGGGGGTCGTCGCGGGGAAAAGGCAAGGCGGTTGGGTCCGGGTTGGATTTCCATTGCTGTTGGAAGATGGAGGGGAGGGAGGATTCGTCGAGCGTTTTGGAAGAGGACATTGTGGTGGATGTGTGTTTTCAGGTATGTGTGTAGCCTCGACGAGCGGTGTTGGGATGATATATTCGCGAGTATGCAAGCTTTGTAGCTTTGAAAGTGATACCGAAACGGCGGCCGAATTGATCTCAAGGAGAGACTGTGAGTGAGTGAGTGAGTGAGTGAGTGAGATGAGGTGGGCGCTAAGGTAGATGTATCAATCATATGGACTGTTGAGTCGTGTTATCAAGTACCGGTACAAGCTCGGGTTGACAGGCGTACTTGCATAGTCCGGCGGAAGCGATTCCTGATTTGGGTTGCTAAGATAAATGGCAACGTGTGGTGCACATCGATGTTGATGAGAGGTATGAAGGATGCGGGAAGATACTCCGAGCATGAACGATGTATGAAGCTAATGCGTTTTCGTAAAGATGTGCGGCAAGTAGGGTGGTTGTGGTTTGCGGAAAGAGCGAAGGGTGCCTGGCCATCTAAATGCCCCGATCGCGTCCGGTTAGTAGCAACAGCTCATTGCCTGCATGGCGAACGAAGATGAGAGAAGAAAACATACAGATGCGTCAATTCCATTTAGTTGATCGCACGAACATTGTTTGATGAATGAACCAGAATAACCTCAGCTTGACTACAGACCACGATCTTACCCACCTAATTCTCGTCATCAGAACTCCAGTATTCATCTTCTTCACTAGCCTGTCTCTCGGACTCAGTTCCATCCTCGTCGTCGCTATTAGCAGCGTACCTGCGAGCCCGAACGCTCCGTCCATCATTGATGTTCTTCTCGTACTTATTCCCATCATCCTTTGCATCGCTCGACTCTTCACTAGAGCTACTGTCGCTATCATCGTTGTAGTCCGCAGCGTGTGCTTCAGCGTGTGCTTCAGCGTCCTGTACGCGCTCGATTTGACGTCTTCAACAGAATCAGCACATGCTACAACGACCCTACAAGGTTGTGCGTACTCAAGCTCGGTGATATCTTCGTTCCACTTCGCTACGTCTTCCATCCGTTTGTCGGCTTCATTCTCTACGCCTTCGTGGACACCGCCAGTCCATTGTCCGTTCCACTCGTAGCGACGGTTTGCTTCACTGTATACGATGCCGGGTCAGACTTTGTGTCTTCATTGGAATGTGTAAGGTCATACTCTAGAGCCCAGCCTCGAGCTTCACGGGCGTTCTGGAGTCGCACCCCCTTGCTGTCATGATTGTCTTCCTCATCAGGAGAATAATTCTCCCCATCAGCGTCCACGTCATCGCCGTACCTGTAGCGACGGCGAGCTCGTGCGCCGTTTTCTTGGGTGATCTTGTAGGCTTCGTGCTCCCGAGTGCGAGGGTCGTCGACATCGTAGCCGTCGCTGTCGCTATCACTGTCGCTGTCGTAGTCCTAGGGCATACTGGGTATGGTTTCTGGGAAAATGCAATACGGAGGGAGGATATAAGACAATGACTGATGAGTGATGAGCATGTACTTCACCCGACCTTGTACATGCTGCCATCACAAGGCCGTATCTCAGCCTGATCGTGCCACTTGCATCATAAACCGCCTAGTTGCTTCGTCCCTATTTCGGGAGATGGGAAGTTCACAGAAAGAACTCCAAACCAGAATGCATGAGGAAAGCCTTACATGGGTATCATCATACATGTTCGAATCAAATATATGCTACTCTACAACTTTTCGAGCAAAATCTTCGCTCCAGCGTTTCCTCTAGGAGCAGCGTCTGACTTGTCACCCTTGTTTTGCTTCTTACTCTTGGGCTCCCCGTTTTGCGCGCCTGGAGGGTTGGCAGCCGCCTCTAGCGCCTTCTTCTCCTTCTTCAACGCTTTCAATACTTCATCCTTCTTGGCGAAGCCTTCGGCTTCGGTCATGGATACCACGACGAAGGAGCCCTGACCAGTCGCCCAGTTGACCAGGTTAGACTTGATATGAGGCCAGAGCAAGTCTGCAAAGCCGAGCGCAGGCTCTACTGGAACGACCTTCTTGGTGGTAGGGTCGAACTTGCCACCTTGTACCAGCATCTTCAGCATGTTCTTGCCATGACTAGTAGCCTTGTTGTCACCGGCGGAAGCAGGCAGCGCGGAGTCCAGGATCGACTGTGATAGACGAGCGACCTCTGTTAATGCCTCCTTGCGCTTCGCCGGCTCCACCTCTGGGGCTCCAACGAGAACCTCGCCCATGAATTGCAGGCCGAATGTGAAGGAAGCAAAGTCAGCAGCGCGGGCGGTAACAGCCGTCAGCAGCTGCGGCTCGATGCTCTTTGCGATTTCTTGCGAACGGATGGTTGCGTCCTTCTTTGATGTAGTCTGGCGAATGACATACAACTCATTCAATCGATCCCGCGTGTTGTCATCCAACAACCATTTTGCATCTGTGGCAAACGGGTATAGTAAGACTGTGCGTGCGCGAGCATCATTGACCAGGTTCAACACCTTCTCGGGGAGGGCATCGTTGCTGGGTAGGAGTTCGCTGAAGATCGACTTGGCGGAAAGCTTGGTATCATCAGTGACTGCCATAGCAGCAAGAAGAACGTGATGGGCGTGTTGATCGAAAGCCATTGTCTCTACTGTGTCCTTGTACGGGCGCAGGAAGAGCTTGCGGTCCTTGGCTGTGCCGTATGCGAAGCAAAGCGACACCAGTCGCGACCCTGATTTTGTGAACGCGAGGTTCTTCATGAGATCTACGTTGTCGGCTTCTTCGCCCTCCTTGGTTGTTGGGTCCGGCTTAAGGTGTTCGAGGAAATCATTCGCTTGTTCGGTGCCGGGTTCGCAGACGAGGAAGTATTGCAACATGGCGTCGTGGAGCATGGTGAAGCCGGTGAGCTTCTTCTGAATAAGCGAGTTGATCTGGTTCTCCAGGTAGCCCATGATAGGCTTCCTCTTCTCCGGCGATTCTTTCAAGATGGCTGATAGCTCTGCGCTGTCGGTGCCCTCGGCAGAGAGACCCTTGATAGAGAACTCGGGACCATACCATTCCCTGAGAAGACGGTTCTTCTGCTCTGGAGTGGCTACGGCTCGGTATATGTCGTCTACGATCCATGCGGCTTCGGGGTGGTTGATCATGCGCTTGACGTGGCTGTAGAACTCGGTGATGACAAGGTCGCGAATTTCCGGGTCACTGCGATCGGTTAGACGTGCTATGCCGTGCGTTGATAGTTTACTCACCCCTTCTCCACCAACTTGGCGATCAAGAACTTGGAGTACTTGCCCTCAGCCAGGACTTTGAATTCGCCCTTCAGCTCCCTCGCAATCATTCGCCTCTGCTCCATTTTCGAGTATTTGATGGCCGTCTGGATGACACGCACAGAGTCGTGCTTGAAGACGAAATCCTTGACTCTGCCAGTTATGATCTCGAACAACTCCTTGACGAGCCCTTTCCTCTCTTCCTTGTCAACATGCGACTTCAGCCTGAGCTTTTCCCATAGTTTCTTGGATCGTTCGATGATGTCGGCGTTTGGTTTCGCGGCCTTTCGTTCTCTGGCCAGGGCCTTTTGCTTCGCATGCGCCTCTCGCGAATTGTTTACTGGAGGGACAGTTAGCTAAAGGATGACGCAGGGCACATGGCTCTGTCTTACCATTCAACTCCGCCAACTTGGACTCTACGCCCTCGCCCTCGGGCTTATCTGAGGCCTCGTTGTCATCTTTGCGCTTCTGGGTCTTGCTGTTGGACTTTGTGGGCTGTTCGTCGCTGCTCTCGGCGTCGCTCATGTCGACATCGGCACCGTCAGCCGCGGAGAAGCCGTAGAAGCCATTATCCTTTTCGCTCGTATCCGACTCTTCAAAGTCGTCGGAGCTCTCTTCCTTGGTCTTCTTCGCCTTCTTGACCGGCTTGACGTCGCGCTTCTTCTCGCTCTTCGTGGTGGGCTTGTCGACCTTGACTTTTTTGCTCTTGTCCTTGACTTCGGACGCACTTGCGCCAGTGGATTTGCGTTTGATACCGGCCATATTGGGAAAGTCGTTGTCGTGTCGCAGTCCTCAAGCTCGAGGTCGCAAAAGTTCGCGACTTCCCGAACTTTTTCTGACAAGCGGGCCGGGGTGCTCTTCTAGCCTGCCCCCTTTGAGACTAGTGCATTTGGCGAGCGATGTGCTCCACATGCGCGCGTTTCGCCGTCTCTCCGAACGTCAAGATCATTCTTTCCAGACTTGAAGCATGAAGGTTATGAAGTATGAAGATGTGTGTGGAAATGTAAATTGCGAATAGTCTCGCCTCAAGCCCCGTATTACCAGAATATCTGAGTCTATAGCATGCTGCTTCGAACAGTCGCAACGTATTGATGAGCCAAAAGCCACTCAGAGCTCGCTCTTCCACGAATGATCCTCCGGTAAGCCCAATTGCCTTCGTTGCGCATTCAGTATGTGTTGCAAGAATATCGGCTTGATGCTGAGTACGCCAACAAGACTCAATAGCAGCATGAGTATAACGCCCAAGCCCACACCCAGAGCTACAGCATCCTGCTGCCTGCTCACCTTCCTGAACCAAGCCTTCGTGTCCTCCAAAGCGATGTTCTCGTCATACGATCGCCGCGCACTCATCATACCCGGTAGCCCATCAAGCGAGCGGTGGTTGAACTGCTTCTGGTAATCGGCGAGCTCTTGCTTCTCAAGCTGCTTTCGCGCCCAGGTATCCATGGTATCCCGCTGCTTGAAGCCGTTCTCTTCGCCATCTTCATGATCGTGATCAACATAGGCGATTGCGTCACCAGTTGCTTCCTCCGTGCTTGCGGACTTTCCTCCACTGATCTGAGGTACTCCGAAACCACAGCTAGTCTGCACTTTCTGGATCTTCAACACGATGATAGCTCTTGCGCCCGTAATGTCGACTTCATCACCGTTCTCTGACGCCATCTTAGCGCGCAATTGCCCGTAGTACGGATCCCACTTTTCGACTACCCTTCCTTTGCAGAACAGTCGCATGATCTGTGGCGAGGGTCCAAAGGAAGAGAACATTACTGTGACACGGCCATTCTCATAGACGTGAGAGATGGTCTCACACCCGCTGCCGGTCGCGTCCAGATAGGCAACGGTGTTCGGTCCAAGAATAGAAAAGGTTCTTGATGGATGGCCTTTTGGCGAGATGTTGACGTGATCTCCAGCCCAAGGAGCGCTGGCCACGAAGAAGAGCGGTTGACTGGAGATGAAGTCGATGTGGTTTTCGTTGAGAGACGGGTAGAATTTGACCATGTTGAAGTGACGGAGATTGGAAGCAAATAGCGGTCAGGATTGAAGATGGTGGCCTAGTATGGGACGGTGCTGAAGAATGTAGCCGGCAAAGATGTCGTTCGGGAATCTGACGATTTGCAAGAAGGGTCGTAGCAAGTGAAAGGAGTTCTGCGGGAACTGCGTTCAATGGTCGTCTCAAAGTGGAAAGGGGAGATCCAGGCCTGGGAGTCGTGATCTGCCGGCTTGTTTAGTTGAACGGTAAGGTCAGAGTGGTTATGCGGTTATGCTTTATCAGACGAAAACAATGGAAATTTGATGATATACGCGTTCTTGTATATTTGCAGTGCAATGCGTGATTAAGATTTGGAGCGCAAGAAAGCTGCGATGCACGGTAACACCGCCTTGCTCTTTGCGTGCTAGCTCGAAAGCAGCTCGCGTGCGAGTGGGGGCGGGGCGCATCACCAGAAGCGCAATGAGATGCGACGGGAATCTATCCAACGCTTACATTAACACAAACAACATGGTGCTCGCACTAGCATTGAAAGCAGAGCTGAACGGGTGAGTCTCTCTACCTTCACGTGTCTGTCCCACTAACACCCCTCAGCGTAACCGACCTCCGCCCCAATGACACGGAAGACACGCCCTTTTTCTACACATTCAAAGTCCAATGCACGTCATGTCGCGAAGTACACCCCAACCCCGTCTCGGTCAATCGCTTCGAGATGAACGAACAGAGCGGCAGCAAGGGTGAAGCCAACTTTGTCTGGAGGTGTAAGAACTGTAAGGTCTTTCTGCCCTACACCCATCTCTATGCCTTAAACACTGACATGGCCTACAGAGAGAACACTCGGCGAACATCACAGCCGCGCCTACCTCCTACGAACAAAGCGACCCACCAAAGAAGACCAACATCCTAATGTTCGACTGCAGAGGTCTAGAGTTTGTCGAATTCGTGGCTGAGGGAGAGTTCCTCGCGACAGGCACGGAATCCGGCACCAAGTTCTCAGGTATCGAATTGCCTGACGGCGAATGGTACGACTACGACGAGAAAGCTGGCGAGGAAGTTAGCATCACGAACGTCGAGTGGGAAATACGTCGCGCGTAGATTGCGCAGGGAAGAGGAAGATTTAATACGGCAGCTTGTACAGCTTGGAACAGTGCACACCAGGCCTGGTATAGTCGAGCTGATAGAACAAGAGGAATGCAAAGAGGTGGCTATAGTACATCATGACAGTGCCGAGCGAGTCACACGCACACATCAAGAGAGGTGGTACTATGTGCACACAAAATATGAAGGCGCATGTACATCAATAACGACAGCAATGCTCAACAAAGACTGCAAAGGGAGATGCAACAAGTTGCGCACGTTGAAACTACACATCAGATCTCGTGAACAGCGAAGCTATCGAACATAAGTATATTGGAAGTACTAGACAGGCATACAGCCCTACGCATATCACAGTTTTACACCCCAGCTACCAGCCATAATGAGTCAGCGACGGTGGAATCTACCTCCAAACTCTACCTACAAAAACAGCAACAAGATCCTACAAAAAAACTACAAAATTGTCAGCGTACAAGGTCAACGAGGATAGCTAAAGCAAACTCACCACAAAAGACCGAAACACTCAAGACCAAGTAACGACTGTAGTAGCCTTACCAAGCTTGAAGCTATCCTTTGGCTTCTCTGTCTCGCGCTTGCTCCACGTCGTCTCCGAGTCCGAATTCTCCAACGTCTGGCGCTTCTCCTTCCCCCAGCTGACCTCGGAGCTAGGCTTTCCCAAATCGATGGTGTCGGGTTGTGGGATCGTGTCGCGCTTCTCTTTGCCCCATGTTACAACTGTCTTGGGCTTGCTGATAGTAAAGGTGTCTTTTGGTGCCCCGAAGGTGACAGCGCGTTTCTTATCTTTGCTCCAGATGATCTCGCTGGTTGGGGGCCCGAGCTGCATATCATCTGGGTTGGTGGGTTCGTCGTCGCGCTTGCTCCAGATGACTTCGCTGGAAGGCTTGCCGAGCTGGAAGTCGTTTGGATTGGTTATGCCGAGGGTTTGTGCCTGCTCGGCGTCAGCTTCAATACCTGTGACGACGAGGGAGTCTGGTTACCTCAGCTGAAGGCACAGGTGCAGCGCTGCTCACACCAACTAACACACCAGCAGCAAGAACGGATACAAATCGGTACTGCATCTCTACCTTCCGTCTGGTTCTTTTTTAACGTCGAGTACTATTGTTGGGTAAAGACAAGAGGTCGGTGGGGCTCGCTTGCAAGGCAAGAATATCAGGATCTGGGGTTGATATATCAAGGACGAGATACACGAGATCGACACGGAACCGGCATGCTACTTCATTTATACGAATCATTTGAACCAAAGTATAGACACACCTTTGCCACTTTGTAGCTTCCCGAGATGTTAGGTGAGTAGTTGGTGTTCGAGGCTGTTGGATACGGTTCGTGCAATTTGGGTAAAGTATTTGTGCTTCCTGTTGTGGTTAGGAGATATTTAGGCCAGCCAGCCTCAAGCAAGTATGCAGATGAAAGGGTATGCGTGACTGGGGGATTACATGTGGGGTGATTGGGAGATACGACATTCCAGAGGACTACGTTGGGTTATGTTGCTAGTATTCGTTCTTGGGGATTCAACAAGAACCCCGCATACGAGAAAGATTGGTTAGACGTCTACTAGCTCTCCCAAGTCATAGGCCACTGTTTTTCAGAGATCTTTATCATGGGTCTTTCCGACTTGTTGCCTAGCGCTCTATCCTGCTCATACCCAAACGTGTCAACACTTGTTACGATGGCGGGAATGGATAGAATGCTGTCCCAACATTCTCTTGTTGTGTCTCAAGTGTACCTCATTACAACAACCCACGCTGCAGGTAGTCGCCTTATCACAAAAGAGGATAGATGCAGGGACTTCCAACATTCACAACTCGTTCTAGCCCAACCCACACCTCAATCTGCGTATCCAGCATTTAACGGCTTCCCTGCAGAGACGCCCCTGCACACGATGATTAGTATTCAGTAAGGGTTCGCCTGTACGTCCGAGTGTGATCGTCGCACGACACAAGAGGTCTCGGCAGAGGTGCCATCTACCGTCAATGCAATATTGTGGGGTCTGGTCCCCTTGGATGGCATGGGGACATGAGAAGCCTGGATATTCAGGCAAACGCGAATGAGTTGTAGGCATGATCCAAAGGTCTAGAACAGGCATCAAATCTGGAGTTCGATGGAGTTTACAGGTACTCGCTCCTCGCATCGCCCTAGACAAATCATGAGGTCAAAGACACGCGAACAATGCAACATAGATATCGTTGAGGCTGGAAGGAACGGCTTGCAGATTCTGGGGAAGGTGCTTGCACGATCGATTGGAGGCTAAGTAGCGATACAAAGCTTCCGCATAGTATGCTCGTCCTAACATCTCTGGTGGAATGATCTCCATAGTGCGCCGGTCTATCTTTAGACAAGAAGGCAGTATCGCCCGACACGACTGCCTTTCCTGGCTAGAGCGAAGACGAGGATATATCAAACGTCCCTAGTCATATGAGCTCTTCAATCTGGAATAAAGATCAGGAGATTCTTGATTGAGACGAATACGAGAAGAAGAAGATTCGCGCACGAAGGGAAGCAATTCAAACACGTAGTAGCAACAAAACATGACAAACACGAAAACGCTACCGCCCGTGCTAACGAGAAATTTGTTGGTGATGAACAGTAGTAACAGTCATGTTGGTGACAAGCCTGCTCAAGCGAGAAGGATAAATGAGGCTGCGGATGCAGTTAATCTAAATAAATGAGTCATCAAACAAAGAAATCTCTCGGCAAAGTAATGGTCTGGTGACACCTTAGAATGGGAACGCGATAAGGTTTGTTTGGTAGCGGCTCGTCATTGTGCCAAACATTGGGATGTGGTGGCGGCAAAGGAGTCACGTTGGCATGGCCTGTACCAGACGGAATGTTGCTACCGCTGGTTGGGCGAGAGTTTGATGTGACAAGATTGTCTGCTATGCATTCGAAAGTAGCGCTATCGTAGGGCTATGGTATATACACTAGTATACATGTGAAAACTCGTACTGTACATATGGTCGCCTTTCAAGGCTCCGGATCTTCAGGTCTCTCTCCAAATTCCCGCTCCAACCATGAAGCCCAAACCTCTTTTGGGTCAGCCGTGTTATGTGCGATGTCCTCCACTGTATCCGGCGCGTCAGGCGCGTGTTGAGTGAATGTAGTGTTGTTGTCCTCGTCTATGCCTTCTAGCGTCTGCTCTGCCTCCGAATCTTTCGAGTCCTTGATGTAGGCGGAAGCGGCTATCATGACATTATCTGCGACCCAGGGGGGAGCGAGATACTGTTTCTTCTTCTTTGCCACATGCTCATTTCTTAAGGCGAGGTCGAGGATCTTATTGCGATCGAAGCCTTCGGTAGAGATGTCCGTCAGGATCTGGTTGAAGGCGACCGTGTTGCCGGTGATGGAGCACAAGCCTAGCATTTGACCGTATGCTTTAATCATGTCTTCATGATTCACTCTGGCCTTGATGCTACTAATTTCTCCCCAGATGTATAGGCCCCCTTCCCAGTCCGCGCGGCGGATACAGTCGTTGAGCATTCTCGTCAGACCTTGAACGTCGAGACCCCAGCCGTCCGCTTTCATCTCGTAGTAGATATCGAGCGCTCGGTCGAACCCTGCGAATCTCATGACACCAGTTATGAGGGAACTAAACACCATGGGTGTTGGGTGGACTTTCTGGTAGATCTTCTTTTCGTCGACCCTCACGAGCCGGCCATGGCTGGCTTCATTAACGTTGACTTTGGGAGTAGCGAGCATAAGCCCGTCGCCTACACCTCTCATCCTGGCGACGAACCTCGAAAAGTCTTCAGGGTTTCCATGCCTCAGGGAGGCGTAGTGATTGAGTATTTCTCGACAGGTAATCTCGTTCGGACGTATTTTGTTGTAGTAGAGGGCGGGTATCACACAATCTATGAGTTTTCGACGCCGCCACCGTCGGAAACCTACCAGCAAAGTGTTGAACGTCTGTAAGTCCGGTGAGGCCGATGAAACGAGGAGGTTGTGACAGATCTTTGCAAGCACGACAGCCTCTTTGCGGTCGTTACCGTGTATATCGCTTTCAAATAAATTTTGAATGCTCCGATTCATCTGGGTCGTAATAGCGTAAAAGTCTCCATCCACGTCCTGATAGTATTCCGGAATTCCTGGATGATCTGGGTGAATTTTAGCCTGGGCAATCACGTCTGCCGGACTATCAACAGGAACTTTGTGGAGGTTTTCAAGAGCCTCTAGGATGTTTAAGCGCGCTTGCTCACGCTCCACAGCATTCAAGGCTATAACGTCCCGGATCTGATGTGATAAGTTGTCGGAATCCACATCCCAAGCCTTGTCGAATCTAGGCACGTTGTTTTTGTGCAGTAGTTCGTGTATAAGGAGACCGGTGGAAAGTTCCTGCATGGCCAGCTTCTTCCACGAGTGTCGCCTTTGTAGGGCGTTTACGCGTAGTGCGTCTGGCGCCCACAAGGACTGGGGCGGCAAGTTGTAGCGTATAAGCTCAGGGCCGGTATTTGTTGGGAACTCCAGAAGCTGGACACCTGGGAACCTCGAGTCAAAACGCAGGTCTTCCCAAGCCAGCTCAGCGTAATCGCGGATTTGCGACTGGATTTCTTGGTCTTCCAAGATTGGATCCTCATCCAGTTCCATGCCTACAATGCGCTCCAACGCGCCCCAGTCAAAGTCGTCGGGCAGATCGTCGAAGGTCAAGCCATGATGTCCATCCGACAAGCCGATAGATTCAGTCGCCGTGTTTGTGTCTTTCGCTCTCTCTCCTGGCGGCCCGTCACCCGTAGATTGGGCTAGTTGCGAAAAGGCCTTCTCCCATTGTGTGTTCCTAGCGGCTTTTGCTCTCGCATCGATAGCCAGTCCTGCAGCGAATATGGTAGTGTATACGAAGGTCGACGTTGGTGTACCAATTGCCCACGTGCGGCGAAGAGCCGTCCGCCCGCTGCGCCTAGCGAGAGCGCCGGAGGTGGAGACGCATGATATGCATCTGCAGGTACCCGGGTTCGACGTTGCCCGGGACCAGATGGCTCGCATTGCTACCGGGGCATGCTGCGCGACAAGTGGAGGGGCGACGAAGGACCGGGTCGCCGGCGGGGTGAGGAGACGGCGCACCGTGGTAGGCGCAATGGTGCTGCTGAGAGGAGGCAGCTATGAGGATCCAGCTGGGGTATGGCGGTCGAATGAGTGTGGCTGGAGGTTGTGATGTCGGGGTTTCGCAATTGTTGTACTCGTCCGGTCATTCGAAGAGGGAACAATTTCTTAGCGCGTCCGCTAGTCGCGTCGCTCTACACCTTGGACAGTCGGTAGGCATTGGTGTGGAAGAGCAATGGAGGTGAGTTCATGGTTGATCATTATTGTGACGTGAGTCTAGGACAGGAGAGTGCGAGTCTCAGTTATCCTCTAATGCACCTTCCACCACGAACCATCTTCTGTTGCGCGGCTTCCCCGCGGTGAAGCACGGTGACCAATCGGCGCTACCTTTTGCCGATGACTTTCCAAAGCTGCAGGCACGACCGCCATAGCACCACGACCCTCACTGCTATACCTACCAAACTCACGGCTACCCGACAGCAAGCCCTGAGACAGAGTCGCAAACATGGCTGTAAGCTATCCCTCCTGTTCACCAGTCAAGCGCAAAGCTAACACCCATCAGGCAGTCGCACCCTTCAACCCGCGTCCTTTGCTCCAAAGCTTGTACGTCGCACACCGTCACCTCTCGAACCACCGTTACCAAACAAACACGCGCTAACATACGCGCAGAGTCGACAAAGACATCGTTGTCAGGTTAAAGTGGGGTGAGACCGAGTACAAGGGCAGACTCGTCTCGGTGGACCTCTACATGAACATCCAGCTGTCCAACACCGAGGAATTCGTAAACGGCGTCAGCTCCGGCACTCTCGGACAAGTTCTGATAAGATGCAACAACGTCCTGTGGATCGGAAAGGCCGAAGAGGTGGAACCCAAGGCGACCAAGGACACGGCCATGAGCGGTTGAGACGCTCAAGACGGCAGACACGATGCGCGAGACAAACTGAAAATCGCAACACGAGCGCCCGGCGGCGGCGCGCAGAGGCTGTCTGGGAGCAAAGCTCACATGCGCTCGCAGCAGGAAGGCAGTAGGTGTGCTCCACGTAGTATGCGCACTGAAGATACCACAGAGCAGATAGGCGCACAATTGGAATGGGTAAAAGTCGGGATACCACGCTTCGGTTGTGAGGCGCTACAATGTTACAACTATTCAAGCTGCCAGCTATTCGATCTCCTCTATGATCATCCTCGTCTTACCCTCCCCATTACCAGTCTGAGGCTGGACGTCGAGCCCTCGGAGATTTCCTTCTAGCCCAAGATCTGGTCCTAGCCTCAGGCCTTCATCTCTGATCTTATACAGCTTCTTCATCCTCATCGTTTCGAGACCCTCCACGACATTTGTCGCATGGTCTCTTACGAGCTCGTCTGTGTCTTCATCCCTAACCCACTTCACCACTCGCTCGACCTCTTCCTGCTGCTTCAAGTTCAGACCCACCACACTTTCCTGTCCACTCTCGATCCTTGCGTCAATGGCGCGCAGCAGGCCCATTATGACAAGCACGGCCGAGCGACGCAACAACGCCTTCGAGTCTTCTCTTTCCATAGCAAGAACTAATAACACCATCTGCAACGTCGCATCAACAACAGGCTGACGCAGAACGTCCAATCGGTGTTCCATGACAGTAGACAGCACGCTGAGCGCAGAAGCACGTATACGGACGTCTTCCTCGATGCCAGTATCCTCCCATCCACCGACAATCTTCTGCAGCATTTCGTACTCCGCTTGTTCTTGCGGGTCTGCGCCCTCGGGCTCGAGAACATTAGGTATCGGTCCGCCCCAGGCAGCCTCGCCTTCATCTCGAAGCTTTCGTTCGCTATCCGCGAGTTCGTTTCGTGCTGACAATGTCTGCGTACGTTGACCACGCCGACTCGCCAACGAAAGACAAGCTTCCGTGATCTGCTTTGTGCACCGATGCAGTACCGCGCCATGCTCAGGCGAAGCCCAAAAGTTGTCTTCCACGACAAAGTTGTTCAGAACTTCTCCGACCCGTAGCCTAAAGTCTAAAGCATCCCTCAACTCCCTCTCTTTCTCGTCTGTGTGCCTCCCTCGCGCTAGCTTTAGTGATCGCTCGTCGATGTCGATGAACGCGTCGACTATTATGCCGACCACGGGCTTTGGGGCGCGTATGGCCAAAGTGACGAGTACGGGTATGGCGGCCAAGTGAACGTAAGACTCTGGATCTGCCAGTGAAGCTGACAAGAGCGTGTGCGTGAGAGATGGTATGTCGATAGCCGGAAACGCGATAGGGTTTCTAAGAAGCTTGTGCACAGTGTTCAAGGCCCATGTTCGGTTTGGGGGATCGGGTGATTGCAGCTCAGCGAAGCAAGTCTTCAAGGTTTTGCGATGTTCGTTCAGTGGGTCAATTGTTGATTTCCCTGTCGACGACGGCGTTGTCGTGGTGGGAGCGATAAGATGGAGAGCCGTGGTGGCGGAGTTGCTTATTACAGACGATGTGGATGACTGTGACTGCGAAAGGTATGCTAGCGATGGAAGAAGTGCATGTAGCGTCTCGATGACAGTAGGTGTTTTCTTGAGGTCCGACGATGCAAGCAGTGTGTTAAGGATACTTAATGCGAATGACACCAAGTCTTCATCTCTGGCCTCACCCTCTTCATTCTCCTTTGTCATGTCTTGTTTCCGTACAATGTCGTCCAGCATTGCCCTCTTCGATGTACGCAGTTTGTCTGACTTATCTTTTCGAGCTTTGTGCTCGCTCACATGGTTCTGGATCAGCTGTGCGACGAGATCAATTATATGCTGTGGACTTCTGGCAAAGTGCTTCTGGAAACGCTGCGCTAAAGCTTCCGATAACTTCGCATCGACAAGCGCAGAAAGAGGGTCGGCGTCGGAATCGTCGTCGATGAGCGTTTTCGTCGCAGGTTTCTCTGGTACGAGCCACCGCTTTGTGGCGTTCACGAAAATGGACCCAGCTGTGTCGTCGGAAACTTTGGCTTCCGTCAAAAGGGTAATGAGAACACCAACTCTATTGTCCAAGTCGCTGATGCGCCCGAATATACCTTCCATCGTTCCTATTCCTCCAGTCTTGTCTGTCGTGCGAGTGCGAATTTCGACACCGCCTTGAGATCCAGGACCGAACGTCCAGGTAGCATCGCCCTCCCAGAAGATGTTGGTCGCAACATTGTCAATCTGCTTCGTATCGCAGGCAACCTCCATGTATCGCGACAAAATGAGGCTTGGAAGCATGCTCCATTCCTTGTCCAGGGAAGGCCTGTCTTTCGCATAGTTGAGCAACGTCCAGAGAGGAAGTATGATGGGATGAATGAGACGTCGAATCAGTCCGCCGTGAGAATATGATGAAAGAATAGTCTTCAGTCGTCTCAGCGCCGTCTTGAGCTCCCCTTCCTTCACGATGGCATACTCAGATCTCGATGGGCTCGTATTTTTTGGGTGGATTGCTTGGAACAGGGGCTTCGCAAAGGTGTCCCATCCCACGGTTCCCGGTGCGCCAGTCGTCTTCTTACTCAGAATGCCACCGGCAATGATCTGTCCTGCAGCGCGACTCAGCTCTTTACCCTCGCTACCATCTAGGAGATGCAATAGCTGAGGAGATATCTTTACCAGCCATTCATCCTGGCTGATGCCGCTCGGTGGCAAGGCTAGTAGCTTTGAAGCTTGCGAGACAGCCTCTAGTGGAATTGGTATCTGCGATTGTGGGCCTGACGCGCTCTGAGGAACGTGAGAGTTCTTCGATAAGTATGACAGCGAAAGGAACTCGATGATATGGCGAACGCCTTGGGCTCGAATGGGCACCGATGAGAGCTCTGAGGATATGGCAGGTTTGAGCCAGACAGGAAGAGGCTGCTGGAGGAACGTAGTCAAGATAGGGAGAAGTCGAGATGTTGGGGTGTCTCTCATGATGTGCTCGTATATCTTCGAATACCTGGACTTCGCTGTCTCAGACGACGTAGGAGAGTATGATAGCTCAGCCACGGCAGATATGATGTCGGGGAGGATTCTCTGGGACAAAAGTGGCTGTACACCCGAGCCCTTCTGCTCCATCATAGGCAGAAAAGCTTCCATGACGGCCGCCAACGCGTCCAAATTGTGATTCGGAGGCGTGAATATTACAGCGGTCAGCACTGACCTTGGCCGTTGACTGAAAGCGACACCGGAAGACAAACGTGGGATCACTGCGATAATGGTGATGAGATCTACGAGACCGTACACCACACCGGCGAGCGATGCATCGTAGGGTGCATTTGGATCTGCGGCTAGGTCTGCAGTGTTGATGGCCTGGAGGTGGACGAGCGCTTGCTCGACAAGAGTATCAGTAGGCACGTCAGCACTGTACTTGCGGTTCTTATCGACAAACGGGCCGATGAAGTTGGCCGCAGCATCCACTGCATCTTCGACCGCTCCCATCGTGCTTAGCGGTGCCGCGAAGCCGGGCGTAATGTGCTGAGCGCAGCCGTGGGTATGATGGTGGCTGTTTTGCCGGAGCTTGCTGCTTACGATAGATGTGCGAGATCCACCACAAAAGTTCTAATAGTCCAATGTTGTTCTCAAGATCTCTGAGGATTTGCCATCTATTGTTAGGTGAAATAATGCGAAGGTCAATGGCAACGGGCAGGCGGAAAAGGACATTGCTGATTAGTCAGAGAAAGATGAGTCGCACGTGCTAGCGTCAATATGACGCGAATTCTTGGCGCGAGCCGACGCGTCTTCGCTCTGCTCATGCCGACATGAATTCAACAACCACCCCGATGTACCCATCGCCACACGACGTCCATCTCTGTTCAAACGCTACAACTGCTCATCGCGTCTCGATTGGATCCTGAGCCATGCACGCGTCACCAACATCTTCTGACAATGTCAATCGCGGCGGGACTGTCCCGTGACGCTCCCTTTGGACACAACTTCTTCTCTCGCTTGCTTGCAAGCACCCCACAAGTCACTTCCCCCACAGTTACCGATGTCTGTCTTCCATTTGGAATGCGGTTCGTCCGCACCTCACGCACTTGCGCAGTCATCACACGCCTGAGCCTCTTAGCATGGTCTCAATGGGTCGTTTGTATGTTGTCTGGGCGCTTCGGTGGAAACACCGGGGTTGTGTGTGAGGAGGGCAGGCTCGGATCTTAACCCTAATCATCTTCTGGTATTCGACGTGCTTTGGCACGATGAAGAGTATCGCGGTCATGTCGCCGACCTTCCGAATAGCCCCTGCATATTGGTCTGCTCAGGTGGACCTACTTGCCTGGCGTGCAAAAGGAAGGCTCGAGGTACGGAAGCGAGAGCTCAAATTGGGATGACATGTGCCTGTCGGGGTATTAAAGTTCTCGCACGAGGACCACGTCGGCATCTCATCTGTACAACAGACTCTGGTCACGAAAGATAGCTTCACGACGAACGCGACGAGGCGAAAAGGAGAGCTCTGAAGTCAGACGCCGGTCACCTCACCAGGGGATCGACTTTGGGTTTCATCATCGCGCTTGAACCACAGTCCCTTCGATTCTGAGAGCCATACAGGAGCTGCAACACCTGATGCCGACTATCACCATGTGGCCAGCAGACGTCATGCCTACAGCGACAGGACAGAAGAAGAGCGCGGTTTTGACATTGATCGAGCCAAACATACAGACACATCAACTTGTTCGGCTTTGGCTGGCGTGAGATCCACTCGTCGGAAAGGCGAAAGCCTAGCGAGGTCTCGATACGTCGCAGGTTGGTGTTGTCAACTACGGCGGACCGTCGCGCTCCGGATCTGATGTCTTGAAGTTTGAGACACGAAGAGTCTGCTGTGCCTACATGTGTTGGATCAAGTAAGTGGCGTTTGTACTTATGGCAATTTGTTCGAGCCGGACTCGTTTATGGCGACGGATTACCCGTGCATCTCACCCACATGGACGAAAGTCCTGATCAGATCTCCAACCTCTTCCTTCATCTACTACGTTACGAAGCCGGTGTCACAGTCTTGTCACTCGACACCAGCCACTCTAGGGTGATATCTGACCAGTCGCGTTAGTCGTCAACAAGTATGTTTAGCATACGTGTATATTGGCGAGCGTCTACCCCTTTGATCGAACAGTTCTTTTGCTGTTGCGATCGTCGATGCGGCTTTTGAGGATGTCCTTTGTCCGTATTATCATGTCCTTCGTTTCTCATGAGAGCGGAGCGGAAACAAAGACTAGTCTCAGGAAGTCTTGTCACTACGAAAAGAGAGAAGCATCTTGGCTTAACAACCCATGATGATTGTGTCCATTGGTGAGTGTTGCGTGTCTGTTGTGCTAGATTGACTAGGATCTTGTTTTTCCCGCAAGCTGGAGCATGGAGACGATGGTCTTGCAGCGATGAGAAGAGCTGCTAGTGTTGGAGTTGCGACGGCGCCTTCTATGGAAACACGATCGCACTGACGGGACCTACAACCTCGGATTCATCAGTCGGCATTCTCTGGTTTGGCCATGCGACAAGAGAGCTGAGCATGAGAGACTGGAAACCCGTCGACTGCATACTGGTGGACAGTGAAAGTCACAACGCAGTACTTATCGAACCAGAGAGTGAAGATGGGACCTCTCACGAGTGAGGCTCAAGGTCTAGACCTGTCTGTCGACATTTTCTGCGACAAGCTCCTGCGGGCTCTTCATTCTTCCATCCAAACATGCTTCGCGGTCATGTCACCACCTTTCTTCGCTACAGTCTCTTAGCCCATGCCCTGGATGCATTCCCGCTTGTTCACCGACGTCGGTCTTGGATATGTGATTGGTGTGAGAATGGGAGAGCGTGGTATGGTGTCATCGTGGGTGGTTCAACGGCTGTCCTTCGGGATGGCCCGACTCTTTTTCGATGAGTTTGCTGCACCCTGACAGTCAATACTACGCTAATCAACGCAGGTCCCGAAATCGGCTCTGTAGTACTCTAATGCTCGTATTGACGCTTGCAGCTGCAGCGGGTGCAACCCGTAGGTGTGTCAGCCCTCAGCCAAGCGAGTTTGTACCCATTCAGCCTATACGAAGACGCTACAAAAACGTGCTACCAAGACCGCCACATTCTTTACGCGACCCTCCATTCTCGAAACATTGTCCATCAATATCTTTGGACTTACAGATCCGACCGCGAACTACCGATCCCAAGCTACCAAGCGTGATCATTCTCGTCAGTCTGAGCCTTCGGTTGGAGCGACATTTCCGACTCTGTTGCTTGGCTCGAGGCCTCTTCTAAACGGTGAAGAGGGAACAATTCTCGGTATTCATTGTTGCTGGTATGCACCAATAGGCAACACGTTAGAGATGAAGCCTGGCAGAGATTACGAGGGCATGATTCGACGTACACGCTGCAATGCCGCGTATCAGAGGTAGTACAATGCAGACCCTATTTTTGAATGACAGAACATCTGTGAGTAAGCGATACTGCTTACTATTCTGGGTATATATTAGCGCGGCGTTATGACAACGGCCGGCTCTTGTGCTACCTGCGCTCTCTCAAAAGACAGAAGCGACGTTTGATTCGCGCCTCATTGTGACTGCAAGTACATGCATCACTCCAAACGCACTCTTGTTTACCATCTTCAAGCGATCTCAGACTACGTCATCGACAGCTGTAGCAATCTGATGATGGGTATAAATCGAGGTGTAGCCCGCGACGATCTCAACAACACTGCTTCGAAATCTTCTATCCGGAGCTGAAGATGTTGGGCTTTTTCATCCACCTTGCCTGCGCGTTGACGCTACCGTCCTTGGCCCGCGGTGATACTTGTTCATCAGTCACTTCTCTCGGTTACATCAATGTCACATATGCTCTCAACCTGGCCTACATTGAAGAACAAACCCAGTACTGGTCTACTTCCTGCTCTGCTCTCCTTCCATCATGTATCATCTTCCCGAGAACGGTGGAAGAAGTCTCGACCGTGGTGCAAATCCTTGCAAACACCACTGAATCCTTCGCCGTCAAATCTGGTGGCCACAATCCCAATAATGGATGGAGCAGTGTAGCTGGTGGCCCGCTCATCGCTATGGAGCACTTCGACCAAGCCGACCTAGACCGTAACACAGGTGTCGTCGACGTAGGTCCTGGTAACCGACTTGATGGAATCGCTGCCAAGCTGCAAGGCACGGGCTGGACGTTCGTCGGTGGACGAATCGGTAACACTGGAGTAGGCGGACTAGTACTAGGCGGAGGGCTTAGCTACATGTCGACGCAGTATGGATGGGCTGCGTCAAGTGTGCTCGAGTACGAGATCGTCTTCGCCAACGGCACAATCGGCTACATCCGTAACGACAATTACCCCGATGTATTTGTCGCGCTCAAGGGAGGCGGCAACAACTTTGGCATCGTAACGAACTACAAGCTGCAGGCTCACCGACAAGGCGACATCTGGGGTGGCAACTTAGTGTATCTGCGCACGCCGAGCAAGGACAAGCAGCTACTCCAAGCCGTTCGTGACTGGACGGAGCACAACGAAGATGACAATGCTGCTGTCATAGTCACGGCGGAGCGAGCGAATCTCAATGTGGTCGACTCTTGGATCATCTTCCTGTTCTATGACGGTCCAACGCCTCCACCCGGACTTTTCGACAACTTCACCGATATTAATCCCTTGCTTGACACCACCCGAACACGCACCTACGCCGATCTGATGGCCTTGAGTAACTGGGTCGTGATCAAAGGCAACGTTGTGGACATCGCCACAGAAACAATACCCTTACCTTCTCGCGCCAATGCTGTCGAAGTTATGGAAGGTCTGCACAAGCACTGGCGCGATATCTCTGACACCGCACTACTCATACCTGGAATCGTAGCATCTATCGCATGGCAGCCATTCCCCAAGAAGATTGCGCAAAAGGCCCGAGAACTAGGCCCTGATCTCATCGATGCTGATGCAGACGTCGACCGCGTTATTATCGAGATGAACTATGCCTTCACGCCGCAGTCACTGTATGAGCAGATGGCTGACACTATGGAAGCGACCTATTCTGGTGTGAGGAACAGGGTTCTGGCATGGCAAGCCGACGGCAAGTTGCCAGAAGCGTATTTGCCTATTTTCATGAACTATGGGTTCTTTCGGCAGGATTACTTTGAGAGGTTGAGGCCCGAGAGTCGGGCGTTGGCGAAGAGGGTTGCGGATTTGGTGGATCCGGCGGGTATGTTCAGATCACGTACTGGAGGCTGGAAGCCATGAGCTTGGAATGAGTATAATATGATTGAGTGCATCGCTTGATACGTAGGTAGTGAACGAGACCGTTATTCCGAGAACTGCTGCTTCTTTACAGATCTGCTGGGGGTCGCGTAATCTTTGTTAAGTGGTCCCCGTTTAGCTCCTTCATGATCTTGCCTAGGCCTTCATGACTGTAGTCTTTCTCATTCCACATGTCCTGCTTGAATTCAGTAACAAATTTTTAAAATCAATGAGCTGTTGCGCAGAACGGTACTGTGCAACGCTTCTAGCGTACCTTGTGATACCGCACCTTGCCCTCTTGATCGAGCGTCAGTGTAATCAAGCTGTTAACCTTCTTCGAAATCGGCAAGGGTTTGGGTGTGTACTCTTGCTGCAGCTTGAAGATGATTTCATCGGGCTTGGAGGAAACGATCTCTGTCTTGATCGTCCGACTACTCTTCATGAGTTTAGGAATGCCTGTTATGTGTCAGCAAAGCATTGTCTCCATGTTCTTCTCTAAATCAGGGATTACTCACCATACCACTGCCCAGCGATCTTGTATCTCGTATCGCAGTAGCTCCATGGATCATCGTAGACCGCCTCTTTGCCATACACCATCATGTCTTCTTCGCTGGCGCTTCCAGAGTAGAGATTGCATATCGATTGTACTATTCTCTCCCTCCCAGGCTCCAAATTTATCGAACTTTCAGGGTGCGGCTCGTAGTCAACCCCCGAAGGGCTGTTTTGTGACTCATCGGCGTTGTGGGTTAATGCGATAGGATCGGGTCGTTTTTCGAAGCCACTCTCTAGACGTGCAGCAAGTGTATCCTTTCCTGATTTCCCCGTAACTGGAAGTGTCATATCTTCGGATGGAAGAACGAAAGTGAAGCTGTGCGAGATTTGCGGCTGTCTCAAGGACCGCTGCTTTTGATGAACGCGATGTCTTGACGTCATGGCCGGCTGCCTCTAGGACCAATCCTCGGAGCGCTAGCTACGCAGCGTGGCACGCCTCATCTGAACTACCCATCACTTGCAGCAAGTGGCATGTTTCGAGAGCATTCCGGTTGGTATCCCAAACGTCAAAGCTTTGGTTCAAGAGCCAGGTTTGAGTGTCGCACCCCAAAATACAAGTTATATCCTGCTAATCAAGAAGATTAATTGGTGTCGTGGACGACGATGTGTGATACTAAAGATTTTCAGACATAAACATCTGTAGTACATCTGCCTTCTACGAGAACAGTCAGGTCAAGGTCCTTCAAATAGGGCACTATCTCTCGATATGAATTGGCCATTTCTCAACAGCCTCATAAAGCATCAGCAAACTGCCTATGAGATACAAAGCGGGTGCCCATACCAGAGCTATTGTGCTCTGGTACTCGCACCAATCTGTGCTACAATATCCCAGACAAGCACTCCAGATCCAACCTATGCTACCCACCAAGTTTGTCATTCCAACCCACCACCCGACCATGCGCGGAGCAGGCTTCCACCACTGGTGTTGTACTTCGAACAGGTATAGTATCGATGCGACGAGGAAGCAGACAGCTCCGAGGAGAAAGGATGGATAGTATAGCCCATACAGCACGCCCTGTGGGAGGTTCTCGTATACACCAGGTAATGTGAGGAGATTGGTGACCCAGTAAATGACTGTACCGACGAAGAGGATGAGGTTCGCGTTGAAGCCGATTTCTCGACGGTAGTGAGCGCGAACATCCTGCCATGTGGGCCACCAATTCCAGGCTTGCTCAGGTCCTGACTGGGGACGTGCCTCCACCTTGAACGTCTTAGTATGCATTATTCGATGCTTCATGCGGTCGGGGTTGTGGATATGCGTGCAGTTTCGACGGTCGGGTTGGAAGCCGGAAGCGTTCTCAGTAGCTTTCTCTTCGTCCGGAGACGCAAATTCGATGTTCTCGTTATCGGGTTTCAGGCTTTCCTTCAACGCCCAGCCAAAGCAGTCACTCTGATTGGCGTTCACCGCTTCGACTACGAGGAGCATGCCACCCAACAGAAACAACATTCCACGGAAAAAGGATATCGCGCCGCTGACAGTGGTCGGGTCGGCGGCGAGTTGTCTCTCTGGATATGCGACTGGAAGCCATTGAAGGACGCCAGAGGTGATGGAGCATATGGAGCCGACAGTAAAGACGACGCCAACCCACCACGAAACGTCCCACCAGGCTATGACTGTGATCATACGCACAATCGCTCGAAGAAGGCGCGTAGTACGTGCGGTGCGCGAGGGTGCTCGGCCGTGACTGAGAAGAAGGATATGCCGGCCTAGAGCAGAAGTTGGTCAGTAGGGTCCCCAACACATATACGGGTCAGATTGATACGCACCCTTTCGATTCTCGCGACTCCACCACTCCCATTCCGTTCCGCTTACGTGCCCATCTTCATCGTTAACAGCATAGCGCCGTGAATTGGCATTTTGGAAGTTCAGAACCTTGTGCGAGCTACCGTGAATGTAGTCCAGCTGCTGCGATGAGTCCTGGATGCAGTCTTTGTCGTCGCTGGAGGCTTTCATGGCTCGAGAATGGCGCGAGAAGTGTCGACCGCGATCGGGCTTTCAATGAGTAAGACTTCATGTCTTCCACAATTATCGTCGCAATATCTTCTGGCATCATCTTGAAACCGCGAGAATCGCGTCCTGAACGGGGTAGATCACCCCGTCGACGAAAAGATGATGAAGGGTGATGTCACGGTGTGGGGAGTTTCGCATCGATCTTGGCAGGGAAGCTGTCGGCAGCGTCTAGGCTTGTCCCGAGGCAATGACACGACGCCATGGCCATCACTCAATAACAATGACGAATGCGAAAGCTGAGGCAGCAATCTGATCTGATGGCGATGATTTCCGCTGCTCTGGAGTTTCAGTCACGACCCAGTGTGAGATTGGAATTTCACCTGGGCACGTATGAGCATGTTTCGTGAAACAGACCAAACTCCCGGTGACTACCCATATCCGTAATAGGTCTTACATCTCTAAAAGACAGCGTTTACGAACGGCAGTAACGTCAAGGAACCAAGTCAGAGGGCTCGGGGTATTGCGATGCGATGCTTCCTGCATCTATGCACATGATCCGTCCTGCATTCGTCGCGCATCTATCCCGAGGTCGTCATCCAACAGCCGCAGACCATGCAGTACTTGCAGTGTACAGTCTCAGTTCGATCAGTCGAGCAATTCATGCGCTCTGGCGTTCTCCAAGAGGTCAAGCAAGATTCGCCCTCCTCATGGTGGTAAAGCACTTACAGACGGGTCTCCCATGTTCGTCGCGTCTACATGAAGGTGCCACGCGTATGGAAACTCTTGGCTTTTGTGTATAGTCTGCTAATACATTCCGTTCATGACATTCGCGCACTAAATCCGATAGACAACTAGCAATGGCTTCATTTCGGGCGCATGGCAGGACGGGTTCTTCGGCGCCGAAGAGTAATCATGCGAACAGCTTCACACCAATGGTTCGGACACCACGGAAGGCTATGGGACAACAGATTACTTACCAGATATGAGGTTGACGGCATGCGCTCTTTTTCTGGGTATAAAGCGGGAGCACTCGTACCGATATTCCTCACCACGTTCATCACGCACCATCTATCGTCCACCATGCTTCGTCGCCATTCTCTCAAGCCTAGTGGTCTACTCACGCTCATCTCGAACATTGTTCTTTTTGGATCCATTTTAACAGGTGATGCAGCTCAGTACGATGCCACCAAACTCAGAGACTGCTTGAGTAGCTCCAGCATCTTGGCTTCCTTAGCGACCTTTTCTGATGCTACCAACTGGGAGACTATTACCTCCCCATGGGCTCTGCGGTTCAACCCAGAACCAGCCGCGCTTGTTGTCCCTCGCAGCCGAGACGATATCGCTGCTGCGTTGGGATGCGCTGTAAATGCGGGCGTGAAGGTTTCCCCGCTGAATGGAGGACATTCCTACGGAGCTTACGGGCTGGGTGGTGTGGACGGAGCACTCGTGATCAATATGGAGCGCTTCACTGAGACCACATTCGACGAGGGGACTGGTCTGTTCAAGTAAGTGTAATGCAATCAACATCAACTTAATTCATGCTAATAAACATAGGTACGGTGGTGGAAGCCGAGTTGGGCCTGCTGCAACATGGCTTTGGGAAAACCACGGGCGTCACTTCCCCCACGTTCGAGCTAACTGGGTAGGCCTATCTGGTTCTTCCATCGGAGGAGGCTTTGGAACCACAAGTCGTTTCCTCGGTACTCCCATGGACAACCTCGAAAGCGTGGAAGTGATGCTATACAACGGTACCGTGGTGACTGCTTCCCGCACGGAAAACCCCGACCTGTTCTTCGTCATTCAAGGCGCAGGCTCGTCTTATGGCATAATCCTGTCTCTGACTACTCGCACTTGGAAACCAGAATTCAATATTGTCACAAACTTCACGATCTCACTGGGTGCCGCCGACCTTGACACAGGCGCCCAAGCCCTAGTCGATCTTCAGGACTGGGCAATGACTAAAGCACCCGATACCTTCGCCCTGCGATGGCAACTGGCTGGAGAATGGAACGGTAGTGGATACTTCTATGGTAACCCGGACGAGTTTGATGCTCTATTCGCTGGTCTCGTCGAACGGCTCCCAAACACTACCACAACGACCGTGCGAACAGCGGATTTCTGGGCTATGGAGAACTTTGCCGTTCCACAGCTCAACGGAACTACCGATGCCTTTCCTCCACGCAGCATGTATCTGCAAGCTCTAGTCCTGCGCAAAGATCAGCCTTTCACCTTCGAGTCCGCCAAAGCGCTCTACCAGTATACTACACTCGCCTTCAACCGCACTGACCTGACTGAGTTTGGCTTCCTAGACCTATGGGGAGGCGTGTCCAGGGAAGTTGACGACTCGAAGCAAGCGATGGCATACTCTAACAACCAGTGGCTCATCCGATGGGAAGGACGTCTTGCAAACGGCCTGACCCAATGGCCTGCTGACGGCATTGAGTACATGCAAGCTGGTTTCCGACCTTTCCAGGAGCAGTTGAAGAAAGAAGGTGTTCCACTGAGGGGTTTTGTCAACTACAGAGACACAGAGCTCACCGTTGAGGAATGGAGCGCAAGGCTGTACGGCGACAACTTTGAGAAGATGAAGAGGATCAAGTCGGACTTGGATCCGCAAGGTATTTTTACGACGCATGCGCAGAGCATTCCCACGTCCTGAAGTGACGACAAATGAACTATCGTAGGGTATGCCGAGGGAAGCGTTTATTAAGTGATGCATCCGACGCGGACGATTGTCACGATGGCTTTTGAATACGTATGAGAAGTTAATTGTCAATGAAGTCACGTTTACGTTATTTATTCTTGATCTCGATTGTGCGTAATGATTTATAAGTACTTCAACAGGTATTTGATAGCTGTGGATGCTCCGAATCGAGCGTTCCCGTTCATTAAATCTATATTATATGCAAGACGCGCTGTCTTGAGAGTCTCATGCGGACCATGAACTAGCACTGACTGTCTAGCAAGTCAAATCGAAGAACGGCGTGTTGTTCTGGAGGGGCGTGATAGCAAAAGACAAGTCGGTCTGCGCGGCATTGGCATCCTTCAAGGTGTACCAGAAGGTGTTGCGGGTACCGAAGAGAGAGCAGCCAACTTCGTCCCAGTAGCGCTTGGAGTTCTCGAGAGAGGCAACGGCCGAGCCAGAGTTAGGGCCAACTACACTTGCGTTAGTTTGATAGTACTCGAAGGATGTTAGAATACAACTTACTTCGTGGCCATCCGGTCTCGGTAACCCAAACAGGCTTTCCGTCGGATACGCTCTCGGTCTGACCAAGACCCGCGAAGAAGTTCTCGCGCGCCAGATCGATCGAGTTCGGCCTCGTGGTCTCGAAGTACGGGAAAGAGTTGTGTCCAAGCCAGTTCACACTGCGCGCAACACCACGGTTCTCGGGTAGAATCCACGCAGTGAATGTGTCCACATGGCCAATAGGCTTGCTCTCGAGCGCGGTACCACGGATCCAGTCGCGCATCCAACCAATGTAACCCTCTATTTCCGCAGCGGTAGCACCGGCACCGGCGTTGTTCTGTACACCTTGCGGGCTGCTGCGGTACAAGTCCTCAGATCCTACGCTGATGCCGACGATCTTGTCTGTGAAAGCGCTTCCGAGCTCCCTGGCGCCACGAATCAAAGCGTTGAGTTCGTTCTCGTATGCTGCACGTCCAGCACTAGCCCAGAGACCAACAAGGATTTGGGTGTCGGTGTCGATGGCTGCTTGGAAGGCAGAGATCGGATCGGCCGCGGTACCGCATTGAACCGAAGTGTACAGACGCGCTGTGTTGAAGCCTGAAGCTCCGGGCAGGCTCTTTGCCTCATTGAAAAAGCGAACAAAGTCGTTGTAGCCGCGGCATGATCCGTCTGCGTTGGTAGCGCCGTAGTTGAAGCCCTTGCTCTGTGCTACAGCGGTGGTCGCGAGGGCGATGATAGAAGCAGCTTTGGCCCACATTTTTGATGAATTAAGAATATGATATTAAACCTAGTAAAACGAAGGAATACAGCTGTAGAAGCCGGGAATGCAGCGACCCTTTATTCCTCCGTAGAGCTGAAGTTTAAAATAGAACGTTTGCCCCTGCGCATCATCGCTGGCTGCATGCCAACCCAGATGACGTGGATGAGGCTCGTACTTTTCTTTGCCAAGTGTTGTTGAATGGCGATCTGCCGAGCGCCATGCTGGGCGGAAAGCTCTTCGAGATCTCTCCCTGAAGACCGTTGTGCGAGGGCTCGTCCACACGAGCAAACAAAAGGCTGCGTGTCACAGAAGCTGAGGTGCGCGTTTGCCAGAAAGGTTTGCCAGAGCGGACGAGAACCGCCAGGACGACGGCTAGTTCTCGTGATGATGCAAGCTGCCACGGAGGCGACCGTCGACATGTGCCATGCGCATTAGCATAAATACGATCGATACCCCGAGCAGCCGGATCGATTTCGCGCTGGTCTCGAACGCGCGTTGTGGTGAGGATGCGGTCAAGTCGCAGCTGCCCAGACGGAAGATGTGGGGTAGGGAATCATAGCGGAGCGAGGGCGTGGACCACGTTGCATTGCGGACAATTTCCCGCCGGGTCAGCCTCGCTGCCCTTCAACATTCCTTACTGCTCATTGCACCAATGAACTATCGCTGTGCGACGAATCTTGTCAATGTTTACTGGCATGGTCTCGGAATGAGGCCACGCGACAAAAACCTGGGTCACTCTTGATGGACGCAGGAACGCGCACCTGGGCGATGGCTCACCGGTTGTCTAGCGAGGCATGGGCCTTGCTGAGCATCCGCGCACGGTGCGACAGATGTCGTGCTGCTGGTCTAGAGCTGTCTTTTGTTTTGGGGGACCAGGAACAGAAGATGAACGTTTTGTCGTCTTCCATCCGTGACTGACATCCATGGATTGGCGGTACCGAAATGTCGCGTTGATCGCGGTGGCACCGCCTAACTATGCCAGTCTCACAGGACGGTTCACGAGACGACGGGAAATACGATCAAGAGTTTCGTTTGTTGATAGTCAATGTAGGAAAGCCAGAGCCTGCACGCGATGAACTGAAAATCCGAGCGAGCACCAAACAGCAGCATCATAATTGTGCAACGTTGCGGTTCTTTTCGCATAGCATGCACTTGGCATAGACGTATGCTTGGTACGATTTCTCTCCCCTATTTTTGATGACAGCCTGAGACAAATCAGCGATTTAGAGTCTCGGTATACGTTCATCACCATCCCTCGCGTTTGCATTGCTCATTTCGCGCTGTGGTTTTGTGTTGATAAGACCTCTTCCCGAGTAGAACGTTCGAGAAGAGGCTGAAAGTATCATGGACGTCAGTGGTACCACGGACGCCGCTTTCGCTGTCTTGTATGAAGGCGAGTTGGTCCTATCAAAATACTTGAGACCGCTTGACCGAGGGAAACAGCTCCCTGTCGACGAGGAGATCATTTTTCAATGCGCAGTGCTGACCAAGGCTATCTTTTCTGCCGCAATGGCTATCTGCGTAGAAGAAGGTCTCTTCAATTGGAATACACCTGTTCAGGCTATCATGCCTAGCTTTCACACGCAAGACGAGAAGCTACATCAACAGACGACTATAGTGGATCGCTTCTTATATCGAGCCGACATGCAGTCAACGATTTACTGAGTTAGCAGCAATTACAAGATCCTTGTACTGAACAACAGAAGCCTCGACTTTGTTAATAACCTAGAGTGCGTTTAGCTGTCGCGATTCTTACTAGTATATTTATCTCGCCTATTAGATCGCAAAGAAGTACTCTTTTAATAATTGTTTTAATTAAAGATTTGTTTTATAAAATAACATTAGTATAAGTTAGGCTAGAACCTAGACAATTAAGATCACGGCTTTTAGTACAGTTAAGTTTCTAATAATTTAAGCTAGAAAAGAAAGTTCTTTTAGAGATAACGTAGGTAATAAGTAAGTAGCTAGAATAAGTAGGTAGCTAGCTTTTGCTAAGACTCTACTAAAACTACAACTATATATAATAGTGTAGAACTATATAGAACTATAATTAGAAATTATAATAAACTAAATTAATTAGAAACTTCTACTATATTATACTTATAGGTACGTAAGTTATATTCTACTTTACTATAGTATCTATAGCGTCTTTATAATAGTTATATACTTTAATAAATACTTTCTTTTTTATTTTCTTTCTATTACTATGTACTCTAAATTTCTTTAAAGTTAATAGTTTCTAACTATTATTAACTATAAGAGTCTTTTTTTACTATATTTACTTTCTTTTATATAATTTATAGTATATAGTAGCTTTATTAGTATTATAAGTAATAAAGAAGAATTCTTTTCTTATTAGAGGTAGAGGGTTAAAGACTAACTAGAACCTTGTTACAAGTAACAAAGAAGAATTCTCTTCTTATTAGAGGTAGAGAGTTGAAGACCAACTAGGACCTCTAACAGAAGGCAATAATTATCGCAGAGCTAGGGGTTACGTAATATACTATCTTACTAAGGCTAACTATTAGAGACAGCAGTGTATAAAGAGATAGCACCGCTATTACAAATATTCTATAAAGATAGAATAGATAGAATAGCAGAACCTAAGGCAATAGGTATAAGAATGTGTTAGATTTTATTATTATACTTATTATAGTTAACTTAAATAGTTTATCTCTTACATAGATTATTAACTAGTTATTCTATTATTTATAGAATTAGATTGTCTTTACTTGTAGTTATTCTACAATAACTCTTTTCTATAGAATTGCTAGACAAACCTTACAGACTACCGCTTTAGTCTACCTCGCCTTAGTATAGACTAAGCCTAGAGAAGTATAGCCTAACCCTGTGTAACAAACCTCTAATAGAAGGTAATAATTATTATAGAGCTAAGAGTTATATAATATACTATTCTACTAAGGCTAGCTATCTAGAATAGTAGAGTACTAAAAAATAGTAACACTATTCTAGAACTTCTACTAAGTTAGAAAGAATAGAATAGTAGAACCTAAGGTAATAGGTATAAGAATATATTAGATTTTATTATTATACTTATTACAGTAGAGTGTTAATGCAGAGCAGAGTAATAAAACGTAGTTAGTAACTCTATATAGTAATCTTAACGTAGGTGTATTTTCTAAATACCTTATATTTACTATATATAGCTATAAGTATTAATAAAACTCTCTCTTAGTAATATTTACTATAGATCTAGTACTTTAATAATAATATACTTATAGGCGAAATAGTAATAAAAGTGTTTTTAGTAAACTTAGAGGTAGGCTTAAAAATAGTAATAAGTAAGCTATAAGTCTAAAGAGCTATATAAATATTAAAACATTCTCTATCTAGAAGTTAATATAGAAATAAGCTTTCTAAGCTATAAAGGTAAGTGCTAATAGTAATAATAAGTAGCTCTTATTAGTAGAAGAGCTAGGTATAGAAACACAGTATAATATTAAATAGAAGCCTTTCTATTAGCTATAGAACTTAGTAGACAACTGTAGTAGAGGTAGTATTAAACTATAGTAGTACTACTTTAAGAGTAAACTATAGTTAAAGATTAAGTTAAACTATAGTACTATAAAAGTTAACTATAGTTAAAGATAGTATTAAACTATAGTACTATAAGTGTAGAGATTTCTATAAGAGTCTAGTTTAGAGTTAGAAGAGCGTAGCTATAAGAGAATAAAACCTCTCTTTTACGCTAGAGATACTTCTCTTTATTCTACATCTTTAATTCTAATTCTAATTCTAATTCTAATACTAATTCTAAGAATAATAATAATACTAATACTAATAATAATACTAATAATAATATAATTAATATAAACTATAAGTTGCGTCTAATACTTAAGCGTATATACTCTAAGTGTAAGTTATAGCTTACTACTTAGAAAATAGTAAATAACTACTACTATAGTCTAAGTAATATACTAGAGAAAGTTATTCTTAATAGAAGAGTTAGGCTAAAGTACGCTAGCAGCTAGATTAGCTATACTTATAGCACTAACTTTAACATTAATAATAAGAAATTTCTAGATAAGCTCTATAGTAACACTATATTAGTAGTTATTATTTTCTTAGTAGGCGCAGTACTTATAAAATAGAGATTAGACCTCTTAGCTACTAAGTAGACCTTTATAAAAGTATAGCTATAGTAACTCTAGTATTTTAAAAAAAAAACTTCTTAATATATAAGTTTTATTAATAGCCTAGAAAAAAGACTTTATTAAGATTACTTTAGAAGACCTTTACAAGAGGTAGAAGCTAAAAGTTATTTACTATATTTATATAATATATAATCTTAAGTGTAGTATTTTATTATCTTTATAGCTATAGTAAAGAACCTAGAAACTTATAATTATAGATAGAGAATAAAAAAGTAGATAATAGTAAATATAGATAGTAGCTATAGTAGTTACACAATATAGCTACTACTAATATAGCTAGGCTTATAGATAATTACATATAGAATAAAAGTTACTAGTAATTATATAGATATCTTAGATTATCTTAGAGGCTTTATACTAGTGTAGATAGACTTACTAGGTATTCTTTTAGTATTGCGCGATTATATAAAGCTAGTATTAGTACTACTACTAATTAATAACTTAGATAACTATTAGTTATATATAATAAATATAAAGTAGTTAGCGCGTCGCAATTGCGCGCGTAGTAATTATTATGTTAGTAGTAGTAGTAGTAGTAGTAGTAGTAGTAGTAGTATAAGTATAAGTGTTATAGCAAGGCGCAAATCTATACTTACGTTAGAGATTTTTAAGTTTGCTATTAGATAACACAGTACTATGTTATCGCGTAATTACGTGATTTTAAAACAAGTACACTATAGGCCTTATCTCTTAGGCCTAGAGAGGATTATTATACTTATTATAGTTAACTTAAATAGTTTATCTCTAATATAAATTATTAACTAGTTACTCTAGTATTCATAGAATTAGATTATCTTTACCTATAAGTTATTCTATAATAACTCTTTTCTACTAAATTACTAGATAAACTTTAATAAACTACTACTTTAGTCTATCTTACCTTAGTATAGACTAAGCTTATCCCTCTAGGCCTAAGAGACGGGGCCTACAGTGTACTTGTTTTGAAACTACGTAATTATTACGTAATAACGCAATTACGCAATAACGTAGTACTATGTTACCTAATAGTAAACTTAAAAATCTCTAATATAAGCATAGATTTGCGCCTTATTATAATACTTATACCTACACTACTACTACTACTATAATAATTACTACGCGCGTAATTGCAACGCGCTAACTACTTTATATTTATTATACATAACTAATAGTTATCTAGATTATTAATTAGTAGTAGTAGTAGCACTAATACTAGCTCTATATAATTGCGCAACACTAAAAGAATACCTAGTAAGTCTATCTACACTAGTATAAAGCCTCTAAGATAACCTAAGATACCTATATAATTACTAGTAACTTATATTCTATATGTAATTATCTATAAGCCTAGCTATATTAGTAGCTATATTACGTAACTACTATAGCTACTATCTATATTTACTATTAACGTAAAGCACCAGTGAGCCGGCCACCCCAGTGAGCCGGCCACTTTTTCTTGGCATCGCGAACACCATGTACGAAACATAAAATTACTCTACATCCTCTACAGATCCTTCGTACGATGTAGCTACATTAGATTCAGAATCTTCTTCTGCATCTTTCTGACACGTACGAGCGTTGTGTCCAGTCTCTCCACAGTTGCCACAGCGCCGTTGAGCTGGCTGGGTCCTTTTTTGACTACCTCTACTACTACCCTTATTAGACCTCGTACAAGCAGCAGAAGCACTTTCAGCTACCTGCAATGCGCCTGCACCAAACTCTAGTGTACCGCCTGTCTGAATTCGCTTCCTTTTGCGCCCTCTGCGCTTTGTTAACTCTGCTACTTGCTCTTCAAGCTCTCGTACGCGGGCTTTGATAAGAACATTTTCATGCAGCATCTCTTCAGCTCCTTTAACAAGCTTTGAGAAGCCTTCTTGAGCACTTGTTGGAGATCGTACGAATGATTCCCTTACTAGCCTTGATTGCGACCCAAATTCGTACGTATTACTTGGTGTTCTAGACTGCCAGGGTGTTTCTGGTAGGACGACTGGTGGTGGCGTACGAAGACGGACCTCAAGGCGATCAAGGACCCTCTGCGCGTTGATAGGAACTAGTCCTGCTGCCTCAAAGGCCTTCTTGCAGTTCTCGTACGTGAATACGTCGAAAAACGCGTCTTTAAAGGCTGGAAGGAAGCCTTCTTTGTTGATGTGGTAGACGCGTCGGCGTGCCAAGTCTCGTACGCGCTGAGAGTACTTCAGCTTCAATGGCGAAAAACACACTACGTCAAGTGGCTGAAGTATGTGCGATGAATGAGCAGGCATACAGAGGGTTAGGATCTTTTGTTTGAGGCAGTAGTCCTTAAAATCCTGGTTGAGGTGGCTCTCATGGCCGTCTAAGACGAGCAGCCTGTACGACCCTACCTGACGCGACTTTGTATGCTCATCAAAGTGCTTTAACCACTCAAGGCCAAGCTGATTGTTTGTCCAGCCATTCTCTGATACAGAGAGCTTCCAGTCGTACGGTATTGAAGTCTCCTCGTACCATGCTGAGATATGGACGCGTCCCTTGTAG